CTGGGCTGGCTGAAGCTTGTGGGAATTGCAGTCTAAAACAACTGGAGGGCACCAGATTGGGAAAGGCTTTGTTACAGAGCTTGATTTAAAACTGCAGGAACCTGCTTTAGATGCCAGAAATGACATCACCATTTGGAATAAATTTAAATAGGGTCACAGTCAGACTCCATTTACTTATATGGGCAAAAACAGCCCTTTTCAGCAGTATCACAGAATTTTTTAAAAAAAGTTCCAAACATTCCTCCATATTTCTTGCCCTGCCGCCAAATGTGCCCAGGCCAATGTGTACATGTAACATTCATGGAATGTGTGCGAGAGTGAGCGAAGCACTATTTGGGTTACCCCCTTTTGTTGGTAACAATATTTTTATTAGGTTTACAGAGGATTAGCGTGACCTCAGCAGTTCTAAAGCTATCATTTTAAACCACAAGGCTAATCTACGTCTAGAAAGACATTTTTCCAGTAGATATGTCATTATGTACAGTGGCGGCGGCAGCATAGACCAAAGCCTGAAGTTCTTAAGCAATTATCCTAAGTGTGTTTACTTTCATGGAAAACAATGGGACTTGCTTCTAAGTAGAGATGTCTTTAGGGTCAGTGTAGCAAGACCACTCAGAAACTTATAGGCATTGACACTTACCGTTTTGCAGAAGCAGACAAAGGCTATTGTCATGATCTGGCAGGACTACGGGGAGGAGGAAGAGGATCCTGGCGAGAGATGTAGCCAGGACTGGGACTCACTGGGACAAGCTGGGGATGGGGAAGGGAAGGTTGGTGTAGGAAGTACTCATGGGGTGACTGAGGATGACAAGGGGATGAGGGTCAGTGCACAGGAACCAGAGCAGCAGGACCCATCACCAGAGCCAGAGGGGCCCTGTCTTCACAAACATGACAGGCTCTGAGGCAGAGGGAGCAGTGGATAGGATACTCTAGGAGGCTGAGGCGGGCAAGGGCCCAGAGCCCAGCTCCCTAGCTGGCCAGGTGGGGCTTGGTGTGTGATTCCTGAGCTGGAGTAGGTTTGGAACAGGTGAGGGTCACATGCCTCATCAAGCCCAGATGCTGCAATCAGCATGCAGAGTATAAAAGGGCAGCAGAGCTGGGGTGCTGTGTCTGCTCAACTGTCCATGTTGATGGGGTTCAGCTTGGGTGCTCCTGGATCTCTGTGGGACTGTGCTTCAGTTTGGACTTTAGACATGTGGATTGACCCTGGACTGGACATACTGACTTGCTGCCAGGTAAGCCAGGGGTTTAGGACAGACACCAAGTCTAGCTCTCAAGTTCCCAGCAGTGGACACCTTGCTGCTCTTTCTTCTTCTCCTCTTTCTGAAGGTCCAACTAGGGGCTCATTCACCCTTCTGTTTGTCCCACGATTTCTAAGCACAGGTCTAAGAGGTTTTTCTTTTGGCCTGCTGCTTTCCCCAGGAAAGCAGTTTACTGCTGAATCAGAATAAACCTCAATCCACAGAAAACCCCATAGATGTTACAGCTGTGATTGGCTATCCTGACAAGGCAGCCACAAGCTTTGGTGGGAGAACAAGCTGTGATATAAGTGGTGGTGGCTTTAACTCCTTCTCCACTGGATCTCCACTGGAAATCCCCCCAACTGGTATTATTTTACTTTTGTTTTTTCATTCTGCTCTTCAGCCCAAAAAAGGCTCTGAGTGGCTTGCAGTACTCTTTCTCGCTCTCTCTCTCAGGCTTACAAAGAGATGTGACACAAAAGGAAAACTGATCAGGAGAAGATGAACAAACTCGGATTCAGATTCTTAGTAACTAGTTATTCTAACAGCCAGCTGAGATGGGGAGGGGAATCAAGGAGAGGAGCCACCAATAGAGTCCTTTCTCTTCTATCCTCTGTGGCAGCCTGTTGAAATGGCTGTTCCAGGTTTCATATGGGTGTCTGTATGTTTTCTCCTCCATGGCTAACGTCGCAGGAGTAGACGATCTACACCAAAGTCTCCATGTAGTAGGAAGGGGTCAGGTCCTTCTCCTTGTACCATGGCCCCCAACCAGCTTGTTATACCAAATTTAGGACTTTAGGTGAGCTTTTTTTGTTGGAATCCATTTGTCTCTAAAGACAATGGAGCCTGCCTCTGGGGGTGAGGTCAAACCACTGTGTTAGCAGACCTGAAGTGACATTCTAGTGTGTAAGCTTCACTGATGTGGTCCAAAGGAAGTCAGAGCAATACACATGGCACCAGTTGTGCTGTAGGATATGCTTTAAAACAAGGAAAGATGGTGGATTTGTTCTTGTTTAATAATTGCAAGAGGCCACCTCTGTTCAAAATGCATGTGTTCCACTTAAATACTGTCTGGATTTGAGTCTAGTACTATGAACCATGGTGTTACATGAAAAACGTATCTTTATTATTTAACTTGCTTTAATAATTTGGAATTAATAAAAAAGAAATATAAGATAACTGTTACTTATTATTATTTTATGAATCACATCTGGATTCTACCCCCACTCTAAGGAGTTCAGACTGGGTGTATCCCAGGATATTCTCACAACCACCCTGTGAGGCAGGTTAAACTGAGAAATAGTGACTGGTCTACAATCACTTAGTAAACTTCATGGCTGAGTGGAAATAAAATCTCCCTGGTTCAAATCTGATACCATCCACGACACTAGCTGTAAAGACATACAATGCTGCCAACATTCAATTTGTCTTCAGTCAGGTTATTAAATTGGAAAATTGCCAAGTAAGTTTTTGCTGATGCTAGGATCATCTTGAAGTATATGGCAATTCTAATTGAAATTTCAACAGCCATTAAAATTGACCAGAAGTCTGCACATCTGCATGAAGTAAGGCACACATGACTTCACTGTGTGCCTTACCCAAGCAGCTGCAGGTAAATTCAGTATGTTTAAAAAGCTCCATAAAAAAATGCAAAGGAACAGATAAACTCTTGCTCAAGGTCAAATCAGACATGTTCATTAAAAAAAAGCTGCAGAGGCAATTGCAGTAAGGATCATGGCAAGTGGGAAGGTGAATTAATCCCCCCCCCATCTTGGTCACAAAGAAAACCACACCCCTGTAAAAGATGGGGGAGGTACTTCCAGCTATCTCACCCACTGCCCTTGGAAACCCTGTAAGAACCTGCTGCAAGAGAGAGACTGTCTGCAGCATCATGGGAAGGTTCTTTCTAGGACCAAGGTGAAACTGTAAAGCTCCCTTGTTATTTTTGCTATTAGATAATGGATGTTGTTTGTGTAATCTTGTTATATAGTACTGAAATGTTGTTTTTTGTATGTTACTATTTTTGATGTGTTGTTTTGCTATGTTATTATGGAATTGTTTTTGCAATTTGGTTTTGAAACACATTTCTATTTTCTTTGCTTTAAGCTTCTTTGAGTGTGATTTTTCTCTTTGTGCATGGAAAAGCAGCATACAAATAAAAAGACTGAATGAATCCCCTTAAAGCTGCTGTTAGGCCCAGTAAGGAAACTTCTATTGCTGCAAATGAATGGGAGCATAACTTAATGGTACAAGCATCTGCTTTGCAAGCTAGTTCAAAGGATGAGATAGCAGACAATAGGAAAAGACCTCGGTCATTGCCAGTTGGAATGGGCTAGATGGACAAATGACTTGACTTGGTATAAGGCAACTTCCTATGGTCCCCACCCTGTTCCTACCTCCTGCAATTCTTTAGAAGATAAAACTAGACACATTAAATATGATCATGCATGTAATGTTGTCTGCTTTGGCCTTCAGTTACAATGATAGCACCCAACATCCAAGGTTTTAAAAATGAAACTATTATGTGATACTGACAGGTGGGGATTATGCTTCTTTACTGGTTTTTCAGTCTCTACCTTGGGGTGGGACATGTGCATACCACTCACATCCTCCCATGTACGTATTTGTATAGCAGTTGCTTCTGTACCAGAGAAAGGGTAGTCTACAAGTTGCACACTAAATCCTCAGCAATAGGCACAATGCATGCTACTAGGCAACTGAAGCCCCACATTGGAAGGTGATCTATTTGTAAAATGACTCATGAACTAAGCTGGGGTGACAGTGCTAAAGGAGATCAGTTGAAAGGTCTCAAGGCAATGTGTGAGAGGGAGGGAGTGACTTACCTCTGTTTCTTCTCTCTGGTGGCAGGAGGACATTCGAGATCAGGTGAAGTTCCACCTCTAGAAATTGATAGGTAGGCTAAAAGTTGACGTTCCAGGGAGAAGCGGGTCTTGCCCTACCACCCTCAAAACTGAATTGCAAGAAAAGCTGGAACACAAAATATGAGGCCTGCATTGCAACATTAGCTGGGCCAAATAGCCTTAGCAGGCAAGACAGAAAAGCTCCACACCTGCATCTGGAGCTTAGACACCCAAAGTCTAGTGTTAGAAGCCAAAGTAAAGTGGGAGTCAGAATGCTTGAATATGCTGGAACTGATCTGATAGGGCACAGCAAGTGGTAGAAGTTTCAAATGAGCAAGGTAATAGGTGAGTAAGATATTGTATATAACAGCTAAGCATCACACTAAAACTGAGGATGTCTGTGTCTGCCTTTCCTGCTTTTATCCTAAAACTTTGAATCACTCACTCACCTCGCTATTATTTTGATACCTATCTTTAAGACCAGAAACATTTTAATTATGCAGAAAAAGGAAATTGGGTAAAGGCATTCAAAAGATCTTAGAGCAGCACATACATTCAAATATACTTTCCTACATCACTATATCCCAAAAGTGCTGCTCCTATACAATACCTACCCTTTACATTTACACACAACTTCTTTACACTAAGATTTTATGAATACTTCTCTGTACTGAACTATGGTGGTTAGGTTTTTTTAAACCAAGGCCACACAAATACTTTTTTCAGTGTGCAACCTTAAAATTAAGCTTCAAAACTGCAATATTTTTCTTCATGCTTTATATCCTCTTGGAAGCCAGCCAAACAATACTTTCCTTCTTCTCTGCTCAGCAAAACCATTATGTTGATTGAACTGAAGCCAACATGCACACTCATGACCAATCTTGTCTAAAACTTTATTCAGGAGGGAACAAAATTGCATTTGTGATGCTACAGATTAGATTGTGCAAGAGCTTTCGTTCTGAAGCTGCAATTTTTAGAGATTTACACAGGCCTCTTTCCAGATGCAACACATTCTACAGATAAGATAGAATACCTGTCTCCCCAGGAAATCTGAGGGAGAAGACAGAATTAAGTCACACACTTATTGAAACAGTAAGACTGTAAATGCTCCCTACACCTCTCTACTTTACAACTATTGGGAGGAGCGGGGAAGCCCAGATTGTGGTATCTGAGCACCACCTTCTTTCATTTCAGGATGTGCTTGCATCAACTGAGCTGTATTTTAGTGCAAGAATAATGTACCTGGGAAGCACCCATTAACAAGATAAAATAAACTAAGCTGCTAGGGATGAGTTTAAAGGAACATTCTGCAGACCAGTATGACGAAACCTTTCCATCCCTTCATCTGTGTGTTGAAGTAGAATCCCAACTTTTGTCTGTTCAGCTGAATTGTAACAAACTCCAACCAACCAACCAAGGCCGAATAGTCCTGTTATTTGAGAAGAACATCATATACCTTCTCCAAACATCACTTTCTTCAGTTTTCTTTTAGGGTAGGTTAAATTACACTTGAATCCCTGTTTTGGATTCATAGTTCAATAAGCCATGTAAACATATGGCTGCAACCTCTAAAAAAAAGGCTGCTTTCAAACCCATATCCCCTCCATAACATGTAGTTTAAATTATGTCATGACATTTAGCATTTTGCACGCGCACACACATCATTGCGTGAATAAATGCAGAACACTATGATACAACTCAAGGACATTCTATTAAGCTGAGAAGAGTAAAACTTCACTGAAGATCCAGCCCTGGGTTGCCCTGCCATCTACGTTATTGTCAGGTGAAAGGCTACCAGAAATAGTTCCTTCATGGTGGTGACACCCTGTTGTGGAACTCCCTCATTGTGATTGTTAATTCAGACACTACTGAATTTTAGATGCCACATAAAAATACGTGTTTTCTTGGACAGGGCCTTTACTACAGTTGAACATTTATGCTCTTTTAATGAGATGACTTTAAAAACCTAAGAGCAGCCCTGCTGTGTCAGATTGAAGAGCTATCTAGTCCAGCATTTTGTTCCCACATTGGCCTATGGGAAGCCCACAAGCTAGACATGAGCAAAAAAAGCACTCTGTGGCTCATGTTTCTTGGTAACTGGTATTCAGAGCCTTAACCGTCTGATACAGGAGGTAATGTATAGATCTGTCATGATGAGAAGCCATTGATAAGTTTATTCTCCATGCTTTGATCCTTGATATGCTATTGATTCTTTTTATAGTTGTTTTAAGTATGTTGTAAGCTGAATTATTATGGTAAAGCTGCATAGACTCAACTGAAGGCATCATGAGAGGGTGGCTAGATGCCAGTGACCGCCTACTTATTGTTAACATCTAGGCTTTTTACCATTTGTAATAATAACAATGATAATAATAATAACAATAATAACAATAATAATAATAATAATAATAATAACAATAATAATAATGAGAAATTTATACCCCGCCCATCTGGCTGGGTTTCCCCAGGCACTCTGGGCAGCTCCCAACAGATTAAAACATCAAATATTAAAAACTTCCCTAAACAGGGCTGTCTTAGATGTCTTCTAAAAGTCAGATAGTTGTTTATTTCCTTGACATCTAATGGGAAGGCATTCCACAGAGCGGGCACCTCCACCAAGAAGGCCATCTGCCTGGTTCCCTGTAACCTCACATCACGTAGTGAGGGAACTGCGAGAAGGCCCTTGGAGGTGGACCTCAGTGTCCGGGCAGAACGATGGGGGTGGAGACGCTCCTTCAGGAATATTGGGCAGAGGGCAACACTTGGAATTGTGCTTGGAAACGTACTGGGAGCCAATGTAGGTCTTTCAGGACCGGTGTTATGTGATCTCAGCGGCCGCTCCCAGTCACCAGTCTAGCTGCCGCATTCTGGATTAGTTGTAGTTTCCGGGTCACCTTCAAAGGTAGCCCCACGTAAAGCGCATCACAGTAGTCCAAGCGGGAGATACCTAGAGCATGCACCACTCTGGCGGGACAGTCTGTGGGCAGGTATGGTCTCAGCCTGCGTACCAGATGGAGCTGGTAGACAGCTACCCTGGACACAGAATTGACCTGCACCTCCATGGACAGCTGTGTGTCCAAAATGACTCCCAGGCTGCACACCTGGTCCTTCAGGGGCACAGTTACCCCATTCAGGACCAGCAAGTCCTCCACACCAGCCCGCCCCGTCCCCCCAAAACAGCACTTCTGTCTTGACAGGATTCAACCTCAATCTCTTAGCCGCCATCCATCCTCCAACTGCCTCCAGGCACTCACACAGGACCTTCACTGCCTTTGATTTAAAAGAAATGTAGAGCTGGGTATCATCCACATACTGATGGAACACCCAGCTCAAACCCCCTGATGATCTCTGCCAGCGGCTTCATATAGATGTTAAAAAGCATGGGCGAGAGGACGGAACCCTGAGCACCCCACAAGTGAGAGTGCAAGGGTCTGAACACTCATCCCCCCAACACTACTTGCTGAACACGGCCCAGAAGGAGTGGAACCACTGTATAACAATAACCCCAGCTCCCAGCCCCTCTAGCTAGTCCAGAAGGATGTCGTGGTCGATGGTAGCAAAAGCTGCTGAGAGATCCAGCAGAACTAGGAAACAGCTTTCACCTTTGTCCCTAGCCTGCTGGAGATCATCAATGGTGGTGCCCAAATAATAATTCTGTGTGCATATACAGCAAAAATAGTGTGGTAATATAACTAAGAAAGGATTTCAGGAAAGGACCTTCGACACCAATTTGAATGCAAGCTGCCCTTCTTTTTCAGGGTATTGTAGAGCTTGCCACATGCCAGCACCTTTGTGAGTTTTTGGATGATCTAAACAGAACTCTTAAGGGACAACAGAAAATTCCACTTTATGCATAGCAGAAAATATGTCCGGAACAATCACCACATAAGGCAAGTAGATGGATATTTTAGGAGGTATATTATGTGATACCGCTTAATCACACAACACAATTACTTTGCTTTCTCCTTGGCTCAGGAGCATCAGCAAAGAGATGAGGGAGACTTGTTCATGGCATATGAGCCACGGGGAGTGAGCAACGTGAGGCTAAGACCAGGTGTTTACTGAATCTACATATCAGAAAAATAATGTGAACAGGTCTCTATATACAGTAGCCTATGTCTACACATCCCCATCAATGCTACCACTCACTGTAATGCTGTGCTATGCCTTCTTTTTATTTGATGCATGCTATGGTGTGGGAAGCAGAGGAGTTAGTGACTAACAGCCTTATGTCCGATGCACGTCTTCATCGTTCCCAAACAGGCGAACTTTGGTTGAGACTGAAACTCTGCAATTACAAAGACCAGGTAAACAATGAGCTACGAGAACCAGTGTAATGATCCCTGCTTAATATACATACTAAAAATAAGCTTTCAACAGTCATTAAACTAATCCCTAAAAGGCAGCCAAACACTACCCAAACAGAAGCCTTTCTCTGAATACTGGCATGATACAAATAAGAGATTACACGGCTACTTTTTTAACAGTTACCTTCTGTCTCCATGATCTTGAAAATACAGTATTCCTTATGCAGATATTTGTGGAAGACTTATCAGTTCAATAGTGATTTGAAAGTCAGTGAAATGGAGTAAAGGATGGAAAGTAATGCACATCCCTGCTCAGAGCGAATGTTAGCACCCAGCATTCTTGGGCAGATGCCAGGGCCCCAGCACTCTATCAGGGTCCCTTCTTGAAAATGCCCTGCCAGCCCCAGCCCCTTGCCGCCCACCTCCAAAAAGATTTCTGACTTGGTGCCCCAAACAATACTAGTTAAGTGTTTTCACTAATTCCTGAAAGCAATGTTTTGTTGGAAGCATTAAATGTCAGGTTGACCTAATTGCTGATCACTTTGAAGTACGTACTGCTGCCCATTGCCAGGTAAGCTTGCCAGGGTTGACTGAGAGGGGGGACGCCTATGAAAAGGCATTTTGCCTAGGCCTCCCTCCAAGCTGGAGTAGACCCAGGACTATGATTTAATGATTCTTTATGACTCATCTTTCTTGGAAAACAAGCATTAGAACTTGTGAACTGCTTATTTGGTGGGTTGCCGAATCAGAGCTATATGAACTGCAGAAGACAATGAAATGAAATAATAAATGTAAAAAAAAGTCATGTTTAAATTTAAAGCATTAATTTTGATGCTTATAGTACGGATTATATATTCATAATTGCAAATTACAAATTGTTTAGGGAAGCTTTTAATGTTTGATGTATTATAGTATTTTAATATTTTTTTGGAAGCTGCCCAGAGTGGCTGGGGAAGCCCAGCCAGATGGGCGGGGTACAAATAATAAATTATTATTATTATTATTATTATTATTATTATTATTATTATTATTTGTAACTGAGTTATGAAACTTTATATTCTTTGAAATGACTACTTACAAAATAAATGAGAAAAGGAATTATATTGTTGGTTAGTTTTTTAAATAGAGGTAATTTTGTGAAGTTGCATGAAATTATTCTGTTGTTTTTAAAATGGTTACTCTGACTATATTTTACAAATATTCTAGTTCTTTAGTTTTTCTACTTTTAGAGATCTATAAATTTTGCATTTATGGAAAAAATAACAAGCAAACTACAACATAAAAACAGTACTACAATAACAACTGTAAAAACATAAAAAATATACTAGTTGGTAAAAAGATTTAGATGTTTATAAACTTTGCTTTCTGGAAAATCTTTCTCTCCCCCCCCCCCACCTTTTATTACACACAAATGAATCAAAATAAGAAATGGATCAAAATTGCAGAAATGTATGGCTACATTCCCTTCTGGGAGTCAAATGCCAGTGGTGCATGGGATGGAGGCAAAAGTGGACAGAGCAATAAATGTGAATTTTACCCTTGTACAGGAGGCTACTATTCTTTACACCCACCTATCCCTTGTTATCCTCCAACCAGGTAGGCAAGAAGCATTGAGAGTTGAAAGACGCACTCCTAGCAAGCAAAAGTGCTTGATGGTGCATAACAGGGCTGATGAGGGGAGTTGCTTGGGTGAATCTGAGGACCAGACAGAGGCATGAAGGGTCATATTTAGCCCCCAGGCCTAAGGTTCCCCATCCCAGTGTTAAAAGGCATAATAAGGCATTACAGGCAGATTATCATCTCACATTTAAAGGAACAGAAGAGCTAATGCACCAGATTCAACTAAACTGTAGAGCTAGTGGAAGCCAGCACAGTAAGTTCTGCTAGTGCAAGAGACATGCCATCCTCTCATCCATATGTGTTATCCCCGTATCTGCTTAGGGGGGTCAAGAGAAACCCCAGAACAGTGCATGTAGCAAGAGGAGATTGTTCCCATCTGGCAAGCTGAAATACTAGTGCTGGCAATGATCTCCTCAGCACAATGCTGAATTCCACCCAAAATCTCCGGGCCTAGTTATTTGTTTAGAACAGATTCTGATGAAATGGCTTGCTTTTTCTGCATTTAGGATTGAATGAGCAGTAACAATCTGTACAGTAACAACTAAATAAGCCTACAGATGTTTTAACCACTTTTTAAAGTTTTGGGGAAGACACTCTTGTTGTTAATTAATAGACAACAGATTATGGTTCTAAAAGATGCAACAAGATACAAGCCACTTGGGAGAGGGGTTTAGCCTGAATAAGAATATTAAATATGACTGGAATATAGTTCACAATATACAGGAGGCTAGGTAGCACCATAGTTACAGAAATAGCAGCCAAAAAGAGTCAGAAAGAATACTAATTGCATTTTCTAGTAATTGTTTTTGTTATATTATTGTGACAAGCATTTTTTAAAAAAATCTTTACTTTTATATTTAAAGTAAAGAATTTTTTTAAAAAATGCTTGTCAAAACACTGCACTAAGGAGGACGTATTCAAAACTGTTAAATAAGCCACACGTGGGTGGCACTGTGGGTTAAACCACAGAGCCTAGGGATTGCCGACCAGAAGGTTGGTGGTTCGAATCCCCGCGACAGGGTGAGCTCCTGTTGCTCAGTCCCAGCTCCTGCCAACCTAGCAGTTCGAAAGCACGTCAAAGTGCAAGTAGATAAATAGGTACCACTCCAGTGGGAAGGTAAACGGCGTTTCCGTGTGCTGCTCTGGTTTCGCCAGAAGCAGCTTAGTCATGCTGGCCACATGACCTGGAAAAACTGTCTGCGGACAAACGCTGGCTCCCTTGGCTACAAAAGCGAAATGAGTGCCGCAACCCTAGAGTTGTTTGCGACTGGACTTAACTGTCAGGGGTCCTTTACCTTTTTTTAATCACTATTTACTTATTAAAAATCCACAAAGAAGTAGTTAGTATTTAAAATTCACCAAAAGAGAGCCAAGAGGAGCAGAAAATGTAGTACACTCTGGAAAGCTACAACAGTGCTACATAAAATAAATACTGTTTGATTATCCATAGCAGGTTATAGTAGAGCAAAGGGGAGCATTTCACAAATCATTTAACAGAAGTGGTATCAGAAAGTTCCTTGACGTCACACTCTGCAAACTGGTTACATAAGTACAGTTAGATTAAAGCACACATAGTCCCACAGCTGTTAACAGGCCCAAATGAGCTTAAATCCAAAATCTCACTCTTAGAAAAGATATGCCTTCTTACTCTGACATTACTATAAACTTCTAAAGCAACAATCTCAACGTTAAGCACAGGAGCACTACAAGTTGCATCTGCAAATACAGTACCTAAAGTAGAAGAATATTAGGGAAAGGTTGAAAATAATTACTTTTTATTGTTTAAAATATGGCTCACAATGCATCACACATAATACATTAAAATGACACTGACTGTGTCCTGCGTGCCTTATTTTAACAAGAAAATCAAAAACATTTGCCTACGATTAAGGATAGCTGTTCACAAAATGTTGTCAGTAATACATCATAAATTACACTATAAGGCCAAGTTAAAATAAAAATAATGAGCCCTGAACTATCTCTGGATTCTGCACAATGACCCAATATAAAGACTGCTTTTGGATTTATGAAAAGGCATAGAAGGTCTATATGTGTGACTGGATTTAGGCCTCTTATTTTTCTTCATTGAAACATACTTTTCTTCCTTGGGAGGAGGCACATGAACTGGTTTCCAAGGGACTGGATTGTAAAAGGCTGGAGCTGGATATGTACTTCCTTCTGGATAGCCTGGAATGTTTAAAGAAGCACAGTGTTTCAATCTAAACTATTGGCAAAAACATTGTTTCTTAGGGTGCAATCCTACACACTTACCTATGAACAAAACCCATTGAACAAAGAAAGGTTCGCCTCTGAGTAGACAAGACTGCAGGGTTAGTCATTCTAAGTTAAGATTCAGGGATCATTCTATGCTTCATGGGAGGGCAGCCGAGGGGCTGGAAGATGCTGTAGATCCACCTCTCTACAGGCAAAGAGGGAGTTGTGCAGGCAGAGCTTTGCTATGTGCAGGAGTGGAAAGCTCGGCTACTGCTTTACTGAAAGTGGTTCTCTAAGCACAGCAGAACCAGACACAGGGAGAGATGTCAGCATTGTATCAGGGAGACCTTGGAGCTGAGTAAAGTTCAATTGTCTCCTGACACCTCCACCCAAAGTGAGAAAGAACGCTATCTGCAGAGTTGGCTTATTTCTTCTTTCATTAGTGTCATTGAAATGCAAAATAGATATAAATAAATAAGCCATATCTCCCCCTCCCCCCCCCCCCGTGGCTTGCAGAAGTTGCCAGCACTTTGGAAGTAGCGATTTCTCTCTCTGCACAGCATCCCCCATCACCAGCTTATGATTGTTCTGCCCAAGAACTCCGCCACTTTAATGAAATTTTACACAAAAGGTTTTTTGGGTTTTTTAAATGTACCATCTACCTAAGACTACAAATCCTTCCAGCAGTTATAGTCTGCATAGTTCCTTTCCTACATTCAATGAACCAGGATTTATTTTCACTTTCAGAGCTTATGCTTTATATACAATTTTATAGTCTGTAACAAATAAGGGATCAGCTGGCCTATATTGTATCCTATTTAACTTTCTTCACCTGAAAGATCAACTGAGATCTCACGATACCTTACAATGGCCTTTAAGGATGTCTTTAACACATCCCTGGGCAATTTACAGGACAATAAATACACAAATATACTTCCACTCTGTAGATCTCAGCAGTATAATGAACAGTGTCTTGGATCCTGATATTCCATGAATTTAAGAAAGTTCATGGAAGGGAACTTTGCTCTCATCGCTCCCTGGAGGGTAAGGAAACTTTCCTAAACAGAGTGGCATGAGGCACAGGAGGCTGCCAGTGGGAGCAGGGGGGAGTCACACAAAACTGGGTGGAGGCATCATGTGTGAGTAGAGCTTGGTTTGAGCAAGGTGCATTGCCCAATTTTAGGTGACCTCCCTCCCCAAGCGATCTATGTCATACTCCAACCCTCCAGAGACAATTTCAGGGGCACAGGAAGAGACACAAAACTCCTCTTCTGTCAATTTCCTTCCATTCACCAGTGTGAGAGTACTGAATTTGCTACCCAAAATGCCAATGTTAAAGGTCAGTTTATTTTCATCATTGCCTAATTTTTATCACTGTTTATCAGAGAAGGAGAGCGTGCTGCATGGGCTATACCTAAATTATGGCAGCAGGAATGTGGTGCCTTTGCCATAACAATCCTATTTGTCTGGAAAGAAATGTAAATACATTTCATTGGTGGTCAAAACAAAGTCTGGAATATGTTCTCTACTGTGAACAAAACTGGGAAGAATATTTTTAATAAATTACTTAGACAAGTGACAGCAGCTGTCTGCAAGTACTGTAACAATGTCCCAAGACAAAGCATGAAAGAAGTATGCACCACTATCTATAATCAAACCAAAGCAAAACAGCAACTGGTTTTGTGTCTGGTGTGCTGTTTAGCGTTCAAAAGGAACAGCAGCCTCTCCCAGCAAATAGTTTAGGTTAACATTTTTATAAGTGCAACACATTTGGCAAATAACTATGAAAGAAATGTCATTTAAATGACAAGTATGCTTATTTTTTTCTAGAAAAAAAAATAAGGCCAGAAACAACAAATATGCTTTTCTGGCTGTAACAGGATGTGTTTTATTGAAAATAGGATCAAGGGTGGGTAGGCAGGCTGGAGTCATGCACACGGTGTCAGGCCAACTGATTTCAACAGGGCATAAGCCTGCATAACTTGACTCAGGATATCTACCCAAAGACAACTTCTACACTGCACAAAAATTAGATCTGGGCCGATATGAGAGAGGCCAATTTTCTGCATTGGTAAAACCTTCAATAGGCCTATCATGAGCTGAGGTCCAAACTTATGAATCTGTCTCAAAGGTGGTGGCTACATTTGCCTTGAAAGGTTTGACGATAAGGCCCAATGTTTTAGGTGCAGGCAGAAACCATAATCTTTAGCCCCCTTCAGTCATTACTCATGTGAAGAGAAAAAGTGAGTGCAAAGAAACTATGGAACTGCTTTTTGCTCCCCTCAGCACTGCATGGCTTCTGTCAGATGCTCACAAGTTTAGCTTAAACTTCTGCAGCAAGGAGTCTTCTCTAACTGAGGAGGCTGCCATCAACTCTGGAAGATGTTAATCAGTATAAAGGCAGATTAAACATTTAATAAATATATGAATAGAAGAGCATTCTTGGAAGAATAGGCACTGCAAAGAACAAGAATGTATGTGCCAGTATATTTTACTGAACTCTACTGACCAAAATGAATGCTTTCAAAAGTAGATGATTTCCAATGATATAATCTTGAGTTATTTGGGGTGTGGAATGGGACCAAATATACACATTCCTTAATGTGGGGCAACATCTACTGTTTGTGGCCTGTCTGTATCCACATCTATGGCTAAGGAATTCTAGCAGATGAACATTTAAAACAAAATATTCAAAAATAAATAGTAAAAGTATCAGAAAACTGCTCCTGCTACACAAGTTATGAAGACGGTATTAGTCTGTCTAGTACAGATACAAACCAGTATCTTTCCCATCTGCAGAGGCACAGCCAGCTGATGCTTGGCGGGGCTTAGTTTTGGAATTTTGCAGCCATTCTTTGAACATCTGCTCTGATTTTTCTTTTTTCTCCTGTAGTTCAGCTTCCCGTTGTTTTTCCTTCTCCTACAAAAGGAAAAGAGCCAAGAATGCCAAAATGTCTTAATACAACTGTCTTCTTCCAGATGTATTACCTCACCACTGTAACCAATTACTCTGGGTACAATACAATTATAGTTAAGCACCTGTAAATCCTACTGATTTGAATTTGAAAGATTTAAACTCATGTTCTAATTCCAACACTGACATAAACAAGATTTTAAAGTTTCTAATTTTGGCTGGTTTATGCATTTGGTGTTTCAAAAGTTTCATGTATGTTTTCATGATTTACAAAACAAGGCCACCAATGTACTATCAGGACAGTGTAGTGAAGCATCCTCTCCCTAATTCAAATGTAATCTCAGCAATGAATTCACCAGGTGAACACTATTATTTAAGTCCTACAATCTGTAATATGGAGACGTTACTGACCTACCTTAAAGAAGAGTTTATTTACAGTGTTTAGAGGACACCCTATAACAAAGTTCTCGGGGAGGCATAAATTGAGAAAGAAATCAATTTAAAATTCAGTAATAAGATACTAGAAGTATAAATACAGCTTAAAGAAATGAGCTGTAGAGTTAAAACACCTTAATGCCAAAAGAGATTTAAAAGGCTTGGGAAAATAAAAAAAGATTTTCACCTGGTGCCAAAATGAGAATAAACCAGGTGCCAGGTGAGCCTTTCTGGGTAGAACATCCCACATCTAGGGTGCTCCCACCAAGTAGGTTCCCTCTCCCATAGCCACCTGCCACACCTCACTCAGTGGGAGCACTTGGAGAAGGATGTTTGAAGATCTCAGGGTCCAGGTAAGTACATGTGGAAAAGGGCAGTCCTTCAGCTAGCCTGGTCCCAAGCCGTGAAGGACCTTAAAGGTCAAAACCAACCCCTTGCATTGCGTCCAGATTACTGACATGATACATGGGTGGAAGGCTGTGAACAATCAAAAAACACTATATAAATTTTGTTATTACTATTGTTATGGAGTAACATGTTTCAGTTGCATCACAATATCAGTCCAACAAGATATGTTGTTGGTTTAAAAATACAACTTTCAGAGAATGGTATATCTGCAAAATCTACAAACTGGCGCCAGTTGAACAAAAACACAATTCTTTTAGAAATCCTGTGATTCTTATGTAGCTGTGGATAACAGTTATACCATGAAGGGGAGCTAGAAAATGAAGTGTGCATTTAATAAACTTCGATAACACTGCAACGTTCACAAGCTTCACTGTACCCCAGTCCCTTTTCTGCAACAAAAACGGATTACTCCTCACGTTAGCATACATCTTCATCACCCATTAATCCCTCTGAAAGACATCTCGATTACAATATTGCACATGCAGTATGCTATAAATTTCTCTATGATTCCAAGACTAACTTAATCAACAAAGCTATACAGATAAATTCATCAAGTAAGCCAAGCTGCAAAGTAGAGGATAAGAAAAATCCTCAAAACGGGAACTCATTCCAGATGAGAACTATGTGTGGGTTACACCTCTAAGAGCAACCAAAACCAGATCAGCATCTCTTCAAATGAAAAACTGGGATAAAAGTTACCTTCTCTTCCTTCTTCTTCTGACCTTCTTCCATTTTCTTTTTCTTTAGCCATTCCTGATACATCTCTCGCGACTTTTCCTTTGATTGTGCTCTCTCAAGTTCTTTGGCTGCTTTTTCTGCCATCTCTTTGCTGAGCTTAAGTTCCCTTTCCCGTTTTTCCTGTAGATAATAATAGAAAACATGTAAGAGAGAGCAGTAATAACAACTCCTACAAAAAAATGACTAGACTAGAACCCTTTCCCCTCATATCCTTGTTCTCTATTTGCAGATTTTTTCTTCTTGTACACTAAGTATTTATGGGCATCCTGACCTACTGAAGTGGTAAAACCCAGATAAAGGTAATTCACTGGTCCAGATAGGTGCCTTCTGTCATTCTTCTTGCAGCATTCAGCTCAAATGTGAATAGCTCCTGGTATCTGGAAACACTGTGCTTTCTCATTGTACTGACACTACTGATTCACATGAATGTTGCACAGGTGGTATGAAAGTCTTGATATGATTACTCAAGTTGATGGTTTCTTTGTGTGTGTGTTGCTGTTTTTTTTTTGTGTTGTTTTTTTTACAGTGAAAGAGATATGACGAGCTTGTCGATGGTTATCCAGATGAAGAGATGAGTTACCTGCGGCTAGGCCAAGCATGGACAGCTACAGATAACTCCATTCAGCAACCTCTGGACACTATAAACAAAAGGACCAGTTAAATAACGGAAAGCTCTAGCTGCCTTTGACAATCTTCAATAAAAGTGTAAGTAATTTTTTTTTATGCTGTGAGTTTTTATGTTCCCTGTAAATTAATAAACTGGTTTGTGAAATAAGTATTTGCCAATGTACTCATGCTTCATGAAAGAGACCGCCTAGATTGTTTGGCTTCACATTTTCTTGGAAAAGGGCCTTATGCCCAGATTAGCCAAGGGGAACCCAGAACACAGGCTGGAACATAAAAGGGTGTGTCAGGCCCTAAATCAAGGTCTTCCCACTGCTCAGGCTTGTTTCAGAGTGATTGGCATGGAGACCCTGGTTCAATTCTGCCTATTTATTTCTATGATTATTATCATATTAAATATTGTTTAAAGTTTTATTTGTTCCACAATTTATTAGTTAAGAGAAAAATACGACTTGTATAGACAGCCCATTACCTCAGTGAGTTTTTAGTCCTGATAAAAAGAACTAGAAAGCCACATATTTGTCATGCCTACACTTCAAAATACACATATGTTTTCAGTCTGCTTCTCAGAAAAAATGCTTTGATCTTGTCTTCATTAGTGATACGATCTATTTTTTAAATTACTGATGAGTTTATATACCCTTTAATGCCATTGACAATCACAGAGTTCTGTCAAATTAATTTATTCTAAAAATACCAGTTATCCTTAGGATGAAAGACTTCAGTTCCCACTACTCCACCCAAGAACATTATTAGAGATAATACAAACAAATGAAGCTTGCAGGCATACCCCTTTTCAACTTTATTTCTATCAAAAACTTAAAAGGAATAGGGGGATAATGCAATACCTTTACAATACCTTCTACCCTTTACAAACATTCATTACTGCAAACAGTGGCACTTGCAAACAGCAGCAATGCATACATATACCAGGCTAGTTTGTTATTATTGTATGTATTTTTATATTGTAAACACCCTGTGATCCTTGAAGGGTGGTATAGAAATTTAATAAATAAGGAAAATAAAAAAAGATCAGATTAATAAAACAGTAATGATTCCACTGACTTACACATTACCGTTTTAAAGAATTTCAACACTGCATTAAGAACGCTTTCATTTATTTTCCTGTGCCTACTAGTTTCCTTTATACAAAACGTAAAGAAGAGTAAGTTTGGTGTAGTGGCTGGAGTGTTGGGACTTCAACTGCTAAGTCACAGGTTCAGCCTTGAACCTCCCCAAGATAGATTGAGTCAATAGCTGTCAACCTAGCCAACTGATGCACAAGCAATGCTGGAGAGGGATGACACCATGTACACTACTCCGAGTTCTCAGAGAGGTAGTTATATTATAAATGATGAAAGTAGTTTGGGCCAAGATATTCAAGGGTGAGCAGACCGTATTAAGATTCTTCTCTTAAGAAAAACCTTTACAAAACTTACCCCACCCTCTAATGTGATTTGAAGCAATGCATAAACCAAATACCTTTGTCATTATCCCTTTTCTATAATCCTGCTAACCATTTTGCTTGGCATTTATTCAGATGCCATTCTATGTCATGAGGAAATTCTAATTCATTCAGCTGTCCTTCCCTGTTTGAACATGCACTGTACACCTCATCTGCTAGTATCAGCTTCTCCAAATTGACAATAATTAAATCAGCGCTTGAAGTGTTTATACTACTATGGTTTAAACAGATGTCACTGTTCTATGATACTAGTAAGTACATGTAAGAACATATGAAGAGTCTGTGGGAAAAAATATCTAGTGCAGTATCCTGTTCTCACAGTGGCCAACCAGATGCCCATGGGAAGCACACACAAGAGCAACCTCCCCTCCTGTGGTTTCCAGCAACTGGTATGCAGATCTGCTGGGATCTGATGTAGCATGGTCCAATCACATGCCACTAGTGAATCATTGCAAAGGAGTACCACATGAAACTCTGAAGGAGCAGTGGTTACTTCCCACATCACTGTCAACCTCCTCTGTGAGCTGGTGATGTCAGCTTAGGAAGCAATAAAATTGGAGCACCTATTCATAAGGTGCTTCTTTACAAACATTTCTGTACTTGTGCTGCTGTAGGTATTATTACTGATTTATTATTTAAATGTATATCCCACATTTCCACACAATGTTGCCTGAAATGGCTAGCCACCAAGATAAAATACAACATGCAAAGAGTATATTAACCTAAGCTCATCTACTTTCAAACTGAACTAATTTTTTACCCTGGACTTTACCCTGCAAGAGTTAACATTTTTCACTTGGTCAGTCTAATTGATTCTAGTCTCAAACTACCACACTTTGCTTCAAAGGACAAGCTTATAATTTATTTAAATAATGTTATGCCAAAACCTTTTCGTTCTTGCATATGGTGAGGAAGTGGTGGACTGAAAGGACAAACGTTCCTTTAGCTCTGCAGATCTATAGAATAAAGTACCGTATTTTTCGCCCTATAGGACGCACCGGCCCATAGGATGCACCTAGATTTTTTTTGGGGGGGGGGAATAAAGAAAAAAATTTATTCCCCCCCCCCCCCCCAGGCGCGGGGCTGGGGCGGGGGAAGCCCGAGCTTCCTCAACCCCAACCCCCAGAACGGGTCCCAGAGCGATGCCGAAGCTGCGGGCAGCTTCAGCATCACTCTGGGAGCTTGCGGCTAGGGGAGGGGGAAGCCCTCCGCCAGCCTCCAAACCACGTCGGGAGACAGCGGGATGGGGTGCTGCGCCTCCCCGCTGTCCCCCGAGCTTGTGGGGCTGGCGGTGGAGCTCTCCTGAAGCCTGGAGAGCGAGAGGGGTCGGTGCGCACCGACCCCTCTCGCTCTCCAGGCTTCAACGAAAGCCTGCATTCGCCCCATAGGACGCACACACATTTCCCCTTCATTTTTGGAGGGGGAAAATGCGTCCTATAGGGCGAAAAATACGGTATGTACTAAAATAAGGTTTGTGACCTGGTGACTATTTAGTATTAGCATACATATTCTCAAAACCAGTATGCTTTTAATCTGTTTTGAATATCTACAGTAAGACTACTCTGAATCTCAACAAGACACAATACCAGTCTAATATAACTTTTCATTATTCAAAAGGAGGTATGGAGTGGAATTGGCAAACTGGTTTTGAAGCAGACTCACCTGATGTGAACCACCTGGACCAATAAGCAGACTGGATTTGGAGTCCACATTCCTACAGGTTCCACAACAGGATGGGTTTGAGGGCTGCTTCCGAGTCTATTTTCATTTTTTAATGGTAATTCCAGCCACCTGAATAGCATCTGGAACATGAGCATCCTCTCCTGCTGTTGTGCATTGCAAATGGCAAAACTGGGAGTCATCAGAATTTATGACATGCCATCACTCTCAGGGAGACTGTATAAATAATGGCTTCCCTACTTGGAATTACCTTTAAAATTGAAAACAGACTCAGAGGTAGCCCCTGGACCACCCTATGAGTAGTTTTGTTTTCTGTATAGAAACAAGATGGAGTATATTTAAGTCTGCTTCCATGCTGAAAGTGGACAGAATGGAATAGGACTGATGTGCCTACTGATATTAAAAATAGCTAGAAGAATACTAAGGCTACAGTCCTCAACCCAGTCTTGGGAATTAGTGCCATTTAATGGAACTTTCTTTTGAATAGACATTTGTAGGATTGCTCAGATATTCTGCCATTTAATAAACTTGTATTAATTACTGCCGCTGACATTATAGGTGTCAAGCTTTAAGCACAGACCCCTGTAGACTAAGTAAGCGATTCATTCCTGTTGAACTTTTAAAAAAATGTGGGGAAAAATATCTGTATTAGCATGAAATCCAACAGTCTTTATGATAGCTTGGTAATTTATGTTATTCCTAGACCAGGCCAAGTACACATAAAAAGGAAATAACTGGCTATGTGAAAAATGTAAGACATTATTTAAGAAAAAAAGCTATGGAATTCTTCACCCTTTTCACCTCTTCATTTTTTTTCTGGACCCATTCTTTGTGCTTCTCTTCAGCCAGCTTTTTTTTAATTTCGCGTTCCTGTTTTTCCCTCCTTTTCTCCTTTTCCTGATTCACCTCCTATAATAACAACAACAAAACTTTACTACTACTATTATTATTATTATTTTTCCACCCATCTGACTGGTTTGCCCCAGCCACTCTGGGCAGCTTCCAATAAATTAAAATATCAAGCACAGTAAAACATCAAACAGCCCTTCTCCATACAGGGCTGCCTTCAGGTGTCTTTTAAAAGTCAGATAGTTTTTTATTTCCTTGACATCTGATGGGAGGGAATTCCACAGGGGGAATGATGGGGCTGGAGACACTTCTTCATGTATAAAGGGCCAAAGTTGTCTTTAACAGTGGTATCTCTGGTGGGAGACATGTTGTGCTTTTTCTGAGTAGTTTGCCCATCATTGGTCCTCATCCACCCCACCCCACAATCAGTTCTCAGCTGTTGCTCCTAAAAGCTGTCAGCATGTGACAGTGGCAACACCCAGTGAATGGCTTCAGTTAACAATATATGGAGCAATATAAATCATCCAAATCTGTTTTTCACAAATAATACGGGAAATGTACATTTTGGTGCCTGGCAATCTGCTGTCAAATGTAAATTACATTAAGTATTCACCTTCATAGCTCGTTCTTGTAGTCGAGCACGTAACTCTTTCTCTTTGGAAAGGAACCACTCTTCCCATGGCGAGAGATTTTCTTCCACAATTGGCCGATTTTTCCTTTTTGTATCTTTAAAATGGTCTGCACTGTGAAGTGACAGGTACCAAATTAGACAGTGTTTTATGGGAATGCCATTTTCTAGCTAATGGTATCAAGGATATCTTATTATGTACATCTTCCTCTTTTGTACAGTATGCTTGGAAGCAATTCCTAAAACTGACAAACTAATTTTAAAATTCATTGAAGTACAAGGACCAAAGTATAATATTTAAGATACTTTTATAATGTCCTTTAATAAAAATGTCTGAAAGATTATATTTAAAAACACAAAAACAGTTAACCTACAAAGTATTCCAGCAGTGGAAAAACAGTAGAATTAAAAGGTACCAAGTAAAAAACATCTGAAGGACTATGGTTTTGACTAGAAGATATAGAAAGATAAAAGGACTTTGGCCGCATGCTGAAACGACAAAGAAGTAGGCACTAGGTGAGCTTCTTTGAGGAGACCATTAGATTATGGACCCACTACAAAGAAGGCCATCTCCTGAAAGCCATCACTATGCCTCAGACAGCTGGACACTGACATAATACCATCTACTGAAGATCTTAAAGCACAAGTAAACAGTCCACATGGAGACAATATAGTTTTCAATCAGTCTGATCCTGATCCTAAGTTGTGAAGAGCTTCAAAAGTCAAGACCAGTACCAAAAACTGGGCCCAGATATGGACCAGTAAACAATACAACCTGATTAATACTTGCTGTAATGGTTCTAGGGGTTGCTCGTGCGTAAGCCGGTGCAAACACCTGGCTGGGTTGCCTGAGTGAACCTGTTCTGTCCAGACAGCCACTCACCCGTGGCTGTCTCAATCGCTGGCAAAATCCGTCAGTGGGCGTTTCTTAAACTTCTTCCAGCAAAGAAGCTCTTTGACGCCTAGTCTCCTCCTACTCTCTCTGCGCGAAAGCCTCCTGCGCAAGGAGGGCGTAGGCAGCGGAGGACCTCTACTCTCCCCGCTGGTCCCCGGCAAGGAGTCATGGGACCGCCTCGCCGCTTCCCCCATCTGCCCCACTTCTCCACTGGTGCTACGCTGATTCTCTTCCCCAGAAGATGGGCTGCCTCTCCCACTCCCGGGATGCTCTCCGGAATCCCCCTGGATTTTGCTTTCTCCCTCCGGCACTGATGGCAGTTGCCTGACACTTGCCTACAAGTATCATAACACAAAGTCTCAGTTAAGAATGTAAATACCACATTCCGAACTTGTACTAACTACAGTTTCCAAACCATTATCAAAGGCAGCACCATCTAGAGTGTACAGTTTAACATTATTTTAACAACTGTATCAATATTATTCTTAGTTAAAAGCATGTTTATGATGCACAACAGCAAAGCTCTCTAAATGACATACAATAATATTAAAGTACAAAATAAAACCATAAAACCAAAGTAAAATACAGTATGGAAATGCAACTGGTCTCTTGACTTTTATATTAAACGCCACAATTAGAGGCTGGGGAGGAGCAAAATGGGAAGGTGGAAAGAAAGACACTGATTAATCCTCTCTGCTGTGTTTCTGTTTAAAATCCTCTCCCCAAGGGGAGAAAAGCAGCTGGAGAACAACTTGAGCAGTAAGAAGGGAAATATATTCCTCTGTTGAAACTTGTAATCACAGAGCCTCATTTCACTTATACAAAGAGACTGAAATTGACTTGCATAGTTGTTAAGATGTAGCTTGAACCTAAGAAGCTATTTGACACTGGTAGGCACAGTGAGGAAAGCCTATCAAAAGCAGCACAGAAAAATGCATTTCAGGACTGCAACCTGTTCACTAAACCAGATAATTAACCATTAAGGCCTGGGGATGGGTGGGAATCAGATATCATTAAATAATTACATTTATGGTATAATCTCACATATAAAGACTTTCAATTTATGAATATAGTTCTTAAATAACTAAATTCAGTTTTATGTGACAAGCTACACACACATACAATACTCAGGATTATCTGAGCTATAACGTACTAACTGGGGGCTTTGTGACATAGCAAGGTGGGCTATGTCTACATAATGTAGCATTGCTTGGCAAGGTTTCTACATCAAAATGTTACTGAAAGTCACTGGGCTCTTTTTGAAATAGCCAGTGTATTCATATTCCTGTGTTTTCTAAAAGAGTCACAATTTATGAATTTATTTTTCAAATCTAATATATTTAATAATTAGTCAACTAGACAAACTACTTAATGAGGCCTACAAATCAGCAACATATTATATTACCCATTTAACATACACTGTACACTGAACTAATATTTCAGAAGTATGAGAAAGTATGTTCAAGATCAAAGCTATTCTGTGTCGAAGATCAAAATGTTGATATAAACATGCCATAGAAAATACAATACTCTCACTAATGCCCGGACTAAGATTCATTTTGACAGACTTTCTAATACCAATATACTAGAAGAGTTAAATAAATATTTACTATTTTAGCTTAGTTTTTAAATAGAAAAAAATGAGGCACTGGTGTCTCATAGCATTTTTAAATTTTAAAAGATCTTAGTCCATCTTTCCCTGAGATTACTTCTGAGCAAATGTGCTTAGGGGTATGGTGTTAATATGTAATGGAACTTAGACCAGGAACACTCAGATATCTTTAGCAATATTTCCTACAGGGTTTTTTGGAGGGAGGATAAGAGAAAGAATTACTAAATATTACTATTTGCAGTTAACATACTAGCTGGGTGTTTTAATCTGGTTTTATCTTATTGCTGATTTTAATCATTCTTTGAATATTTTAAATATTTATTTTTACTGATACTTTTACTGTTTTTGTCAACTCAAGTTTCATTACAATCAAGTGGTATATAAATGTTGGGGGGGAAATTTAAATAAGATGCCAGGTTCACTATTTCTTCATGCCAGCCTTGAATGGAGGTCTTGTTGCTTTCTATTATTTTAATACCCAGGCTTTCTGTGGCTTAATAAGAGCCCAAACAGGTATACAGTGGTACCTTGGGTTACATACGCTTCAGGTTACATACACTTCAGGTTACAGCCTCCGCTAACCCAGAAATAGTACCTCGGGTTAAGAACTTTGCTTCAGGATGAGAACAGAAATCACGTGGTGGCGATGCGGCGGCAGCGGGAGGCCCCATTAGCTAAAGTGGTGCTTCAGGTTAAGAACAGTTTCTGGTTAAGAACAGACCTCCGGAACGAATTAAGTACGTAACCAGAGGTACCACTGTATGACCAAAAGTGTAACAAACGAAACTATCCATGTTTAATTTATATGTATTTTTCCGTTACAGTATTTTCTTTGCTGTTCTACAATTCTTAACAGCCTCCTGAAGTTGATTAGGCTGAGAGATCACAACTTGCCTAAATTCAAGTGAGCTTTACATTTGCACCTGGTTATGAATGCTAAAGTATTAAACAAATACACCGTTTGTCAAATATGAAGGGCATGAATGCATCAAAATTGGTGCATATTCCTTACTCAGAAGTAAAGACTGAATCCTTTTTCAGTTACTGCTTCTTACAATTTTAAAGTAATAAGCATTTGTCTTATTTTATGAGAGGTCCATAAGAACAGGATGAAGCATGGGCTTGAATTTAAGCCTCAGCAAACCAAATCTACTTCTACTCACACATGCTTTCTCACAGCCCACATCTGTTTCAGGCTGCTTTCCTTATTATGAATAACAAGGGAGGTCTGCACTAACACTAAAAGAACAATTTCAAGCACAACTATTGTATACATAATGCATTTTTATGTAGAATGTAGTATGCAACATCTATGTAAATCCACAGTGATCAGTTTTTTGACCAGTATGCTATAAGGCAAAGCACAAGATAATACTAGTCCAAAATGAATTAAGGTACACAGAAGGCCCCAGTGCCTTGTCTGATTTTGCCTGTAGTCTATTGACCACCCGGACAGGAAGGTGACATCTGGCTACATCATAGCCAGCTCCACAGATCCTCCAGCTCCTGTCGTGCCACAAATCCCTAGTTGTGCAACCCATGTGTCGAGACTGCCAACCACAATCCGAGGGAATTCTGCATGTAGAACACTTTTCATGTCGGTATGATATACAGTTCAAAAGGGGTTGCTATTCTAGTGGGTTCAAGGCAGAGATATTTAAAGGCTTGTATTGCTTTATTGCACAGTACTGTAGTTTTATGTGATATTGCACCGTATTATACTGTAGTATCTCAGTTTCATTGCTGCACAGATTGCATTTGCTGTTTAGTAAACACGCAGGGACTGTCTTTGGTATTAAGCAATAAGTACAGCACCTTGCCAACAAAGGTTCGTATAGTTAAAGCCATGGTTTTCCCAGTAGTGATGTATGGAAGTGAGAGCTGGACCATAAAGAAGGCTGATCGCCGAATAATTGATGCTTTTGAATTATGGTGCTGGAGGAGACTCTTGAGAGTCCCATGGACTGCAAGAAGATCAAATGCATCCATTCTTAAGGAAATTAGCCCTGAGTGCTCACTGGAAGGACAGATCGTGAAGCTGAGGCTCCAATACTTTGGCCACCTCATGAGAAGACTCCCTGGAAAAGACCCTGATGTTGGGAAAGATTGAGGGCACAAGGAGAAGGGGACGACAGAGGACGAGATGGTTGGACAGTGTTCTCGAAGCTACAAACATGAGCCTGACCAAACTGCGGGAGGCAGTGGAAGACAGGAGTGCCTGGCGTGCTCTGGTCCATGGGGTCATGAAGAGTCGGACACGACTAAACAGCAACAGCAATAAGTACAGCAGACCCGTGGCTTACATGGGGGTTATGTTTTGACAATAGCGCATAACGCCAAAATCAATATAGTCAAAACACATTGGGTGCGATAGCAGGTGGGGCTGCCAAATTTTCCCCGGGCAGCCGCCCCCTTTCTAATTTTTTCCTCAAGCGCCTACAGCTGAAAGTGCACAAGCGAAACGCGTGTAAGTTGCAGGTCTATTGTATGTAAACATACTGAGCAACGGAATAATCCAAAGCCACTTGAGCAGGGCCTAAGAGCTGCAGCCCGGGTGGGCGACACGTTACCTATGCTGTTTAATCCTTTGAGGGATGCCTGATCCCCTGCTAGCTGATGTTGCCTCTTCCTCCTGCCTCGCTCGGTGGAAACCTCGGTGGAAACTCGGAGAGATCAGGGAGAAAGAGGAAGACTTGCCGGCCCCCTCGTCGTCGGAGCTAGCAGGGGAGGGTGGGGTGGAATAGGCTGCCCCCCGCCTGCTACTTGGGGGCACGGAGGTGGGCATGGCGCTGACACGGACCTGCTAGGAAGGAACGTGAGAATGAGCGGCGGGCATTTCTCCAAGACCGCCTTCCGCACCTGAGGGAGCTCCGGACTCAACCTCTTTGTTCCCACCTCCTCAGCTCCCCAGGGACCAACTACTAGGCCTTGCTCGGCCCGCCCTCCATCCTTCCGAGGCCCCCCGGCCTTTGGCCGCACCTCCCTCCCCCAAGGCCGCGCCGCCGCTGCCGCGCTCTCTCCCCAACCGCCCCGAGGACAGCGACGCCGAGAGATCGGCCGTTCTACCTGAGGCCGCCGCTTTGAAACTCGCAGCGCCTGCTCTGCTCCCAGCGGTCCCCGCGGCGCGGCCCGCTCCGCCAACCACTACGCGCAACGGGCGCCATGGCAACGGCGACGCCGGCGGCTCGCTTGCCCGCCTTGAGGGCATCTTTCGCCGCTCTCTTGTCCTCAGAGAGAGAGGGGAGCCGGGCCCGGCTACTCCTCCCGCGTCTCCTCTTCCCTTTTAGCTTTCCCGAAATTAGTAAAACAAAACGAAACACCAAAACGGCCTCCCCTCCACAGCCCCGCCCCACGTCGCTTGGTTGAATTACCTCAACAATGCCCGCCGCCTCCGTCACTATAGTTCGTTCCTTCAGAAACGCCCCCGCCCTCAGCCACGCGCGGGCCTGGAGTCGGCGAGGGCCCGGCCTCGGCCGAGCCGCTCTTTTTAGTAGGAGGAGGGCTCAGAATATGCGGAACCATAAGGAGCGCGTGTCGGGCTGCCTCTTGTCCCGGTGGACAAGCCACCAGCAGCGCAATAAAATGACTATGCTTATTTACGTACAAGCTAAACAAGCTGTAGCTTAGGGCCCCTCTCTCTTGGGGGGCCCTCAAAAAAATTAAAGAAAAAAAACAAACGATGTACATTTCCAAAATGTAAGATAAAAAATAAATAGAATAAAACCTACATACAGCAAGAGTGTTTTGTGTTGTGTAGGCTCCTATCTGCAAACGGCTTTAGATACCTATTAGGTCCATAAATTACTATATAGCATATATTGCTGACAAAGGACAGCTGGACATATAAAGCGCCCCATTACCTTCAGTAGCTTAGGGCCTCATCAAACCTAAATCCGGCCCTGATTAAGAGAGGGAAATCTGCATATGCTAAGCCAAAATACCCATCCATAAAAAACAAATGCATTCATTTTTTTTAAAAAAAAACCATTCAGTGGAACATCTCAGTAAGGAAAAAAACCAAGTAATGCTGGATTTTTAAATAGATCTCTCTCAAAGCTTGGCCACTGCAACTACCCAGGGGATGGGGAGGGGTGGGACCCTCAGCACTGGTGGCGATGCTGGGTGGGTTTTACTGCAGTTGGGAAACTTAAATTAGGAAGACCATCTTCCAGGGCAACAGGTGTCACTTTCCAGCTCCACCACCTATTATTGTTTAAATTTGTATGCTGCCTTTTATCCATAAATAAAAACACAGGCTCAGAATTCTCAGGGCATAACTGGTACAATGGATTATGGAACCGACAATATAATACAGCAAAAAGCCTGGAGTGGCTGTGGTAACCCAGTCAGATGGGTGGTGTAAATAATAATAATAGTAGTAGTAGTAGTAGTAGTAGTAGGACGTCCCTATTTTCATCAGAGAAATGTTGGAGGCCATGGTGACGTATAGAAAATAGTATAGAAAATAGTAATTGTATAGAAAATAGTATAGAAAATTGAGAAATCAGCAGCCATCATGCAATGCCAGTAGTGCCCACCAATAGCTGTGGGAACAAGTACAACTTCTGCTTCACAATCTCTGCTTATAATAGAAATCAATAGGTATGTTCAGTTCAGGAGTACGGTAACTAATGCATGGAGTTCCCAATTTGGGAACCCATCAGTATTTTATTTTATGTTTGCCTAAGCAGAATTCACCCTTAGTCCAGATTAAATTGTAGCAACAGCGAGAGACTTCCTTAGACAGCATCTGGTTAATCTTCTAGGTCTTCAGCAGGTAGGGGTATGACTTAACCCACCATCATGCCACTGGCCTAGGCCATCATCCTCTGCAGTAATAATGATGTACACCTATTGGAAGAGATCTCCTTTGAACAAGTCAGTAGTTGAGTAGAAGGCCGCATGGGTAAGTTTTATTTCACAGTCAATGTCACATGTAAAATGAGCTTTAAATACTAGAGATAAAGCAGGCAAATGGAAAAGGGTGCAATTTGGGAACTAGCTATTCTGCCAGTGTTGTGGCCCTGGTCTGACAATTTACTAGGACAAAGGAAGTCATACTGCTAGGCAGCTACTATGCCCTCTCCAGGCATATTCTGACCCCATTCAAGACTACACAAGTGCAGTGATAGAGGGAAGCAGATCTCTTATCTATGGCAGTGTAGTACAAAACTAAAACTAAAAAACCCCCACCCATGGTGGCACACAGAAGTCGAAGTATATTTCTAGGTGGGCAAGTTGTGTCCTAAATGTTAAGTTATCCAAAAGACAAACAGCCAGTGTATTTAGAATCGGATTTGTAAGAGGTGAAAGGGGCCACGAGGGTCATCCTAGTCCAACCCCCTGCAATGCAGGAATCTTTGGCCCAACATGGGGTTCAAACCCAAGACCCTGAGACTGAGTCACAGCTCTACCAACTGAGCTATCCCAATATGTTAATGACATGAGTCTAGAAATGGGAGGGGCAAGCTTCTTGTTTGCAGGGTGCTGCCCCTGCCCCCACTGGCACCACCCACGCAATAACGTGCCTGCAAATTCTCCCTTCATTTTGTCATATGCACTATTTTGATGATCATAAGCATCATTTTTTATATTAAAATCTGATAAGTGGATAAACTCTTGTGTTATACAAATTCCCCATATGATTATCCTATTCTTCAACAATGATTTCACTTCATTCACTTATTAAAATGGAGCTCAATTGATTGCAACATTTGTTTTGAGTGGATTATGGTTTTAACATTATGAACTGCCTTGTTATGGGAACCATGAAAAGCCTGTTCTTTTAAGCTGTGCAACCTGTAGTGTATCAATATACAAGCAGAAGCATTTTAAAGTGCTGTTGAGAAGATTGTTGTTAAGGATTTCATTCACAGAACATCTAGCCATCCATTATGCAACAATGTGATTACAACCCAGTAAAAAAGTTTTTCTCCACAAGTAGGAGAGAATATGACAAGATCCTGGTGAACCATTTTTTAAACATTTAAAGTCCTTGAGGAGTTACTTGTGATCTCAGCTATTTTCAGTGACAATAACTAAAGCCTTCAATATCAGAGTATACAAGAGAATTTTGTTTTTTAAATGTTTTGAATATAAAATGTGAGAACGTGAAAATGTCATTTTAACATTTTCTCTGTGTAACAACAGCTACTTAAAGCATTTTTTTCAGTAATAGTTGAGGGAACTCTATTTTGAAACAAGTTTTATGTAATGGCCTATTAATGTAGGCACATTTATAAATAGAAACACCTTTGTAAAACAGGGCTATGTATTTTGTGAAATTTAGAGTTTTCTTTGAAATGCAGAACATCTAATACCTATAAACCAAAATATGCTATTTGTCAAATACTGATGAAGAAACTGATTTCTTTTCACATGAACATCACTGGCATAAATAGTTGTATAAAAGTTGTAACTCATGAATTCCACAAAAATACTTTTCAGCAACATATTCAGTGTATATGTGTGTATATTTAATATAACACCTTTTAAAAGATTCCAACATTCATAACATCCTGTTATAAACTAATAATTTAAACTTAAAATTGATTTGGTAGTTACACAACTGAGCCTCATTTCAGTTGGCAATATCATTTTCAAATGCTACTTTTCTGTAGCAGAAACTAATTCTTGCAGATAGAAGAGATTTCAACACACATGTGGAGCTATTGCACAAAACAGGCTTCCCCAGTCACTCTAATAGAGATAGCAGTTCTACATGCACCACATATATCTGCAGTAATGGCCAGAAAAGCAAACATTACAATTCTATGCATCTTAGCACAGACAGCACTCTGGGTTAGGGTGAATATTTATCACACTGGTTGATTTTGGCATCTGTGGGCATGTTTTGTTTGTTTCCTAACCAACAGCAACATTACAAAGTTAGCACTACTCATGCACACCATAAATTTAATATTTCCAGCAGGAATTTTCATTTTAAACCTGTAAGTTGAATTTAAGAGGTATAAAGTATAAACACACAAAACTCTAGGATACTTCTCTCTTGCTTTTTGATTTTCTTTGATTTTACTATGAATGATTTAGGCTTACAAAAATTACAGTATACGAGATTGATAGCATCCCATATTTTGCACAAGCTAAATAATTTCGATGTACAAAGCTTCTGGTTTTATTACAACAACAATGTACAACCAATGTTTATTTACAATGCAAAAAAGTATATAAACCACAATTTAAACATTCTGCTACTGGCAGCTGTTATATTTCAGGAGGTAGCCTTAATTAACAAAATGCACTGAAGCCATGTTTCCCATCATGTGTTCTATCAAATAATTTACAATACAAAGAAAAGACTTTTTATGCACATTATGTACAGTTTAATTTTACTAACGGCGATCTAGTTTTAATCATTTAGTAAAAATTATGCCAGAATTACTGGTATGGCAGTGGAATTGCGATCAACTTAACATTTTCTTCTAAAATATGTAAGATTTAGTTTGATTATGCATTCATATTATGCTGCTCAGACTTCAGTTTAAGGGCATATATCAAGGATCACTCCTTATAATTATGAAACAATCAGGGTCTCACATCTAAAGATGCAATTATTCAACTTGCCATGCCCCTCCCTCACTTTAATGCAAGACAATCCATTTCCACATTACTGTAAAATAGCATCAAAGCAGAAATTCTTAGCATTGTGGGACTCCTTACATGCCTTGTTTGGAAGTTTGTGAACATCCCAATCTTTTACTCCAAATAACCTTATTATTATTATTGCAAAGTACTATGTACTATGATTTCACCCCAAACATCATTTCCCTTCCTGAAGAGCATGTTCATTTCTACCTCTCAGTGGCTGTTCATGTCACACTTTTTTTGCTCTCTCGAGACACATGGCACAATCCCAGAACTGAGGTTCTCTCAGGTGATAGTGGTTATCCTGTTGTCTTCTATGTCAAAAATGGGTGTGCATTAGGCAACCCCCAATTATGTAAGTAGACTATTCCGCAACTTTTGATAAGTACTATATTCACCCTAGAGGTTGTAGGGTCAGAGCAATGGCAGAAGCAACCTCTGAACAGAGTTATGCTCAGGGGATTCTCCTGACAGCATTTGGGGCAAGGGGTGTATGGAGGGGGTGACTTTTGCCAATTCCTCCCATCCCCCTGCAATACATTCCACAGTATTGCCAAGGGTTAGGGGATCCTTCAGAATAGTGTGGAAGCTGGCACTGGGGGCTGCAGGTGGAGGGGAGAAATCTGCAAAATCTGTGTTACCAGTGGGACACTTTGATAAAAAACTGCCTGTGTATGCAAGCAGCCTTTCTATCTGTGGACAGTGAAGTCTGGATCTAGCCCTTTGAGACCACAAAGCACAAATTTGGCAAAACACATGTTGACGTTTGTCCAGCATGCAAAAGCCCATAGTTATCGTTTGCTATCAAGCAGTATCTGAGCTGAAAGGCTATTCAACCAAACTGTTCAGATTCTATTAAGAGGGGTTTAAAGTATTTTACTGAAATAAACGTTTTCATTCCAGACAAAGTTAGCTACAGGTTAAATTATGAAAACATAGCATGTTTTTCCCATATTTGTCTCACAGTTGCATTTGGGAAGAGTACTCTCTTCTTTTGGCCCTGCAGTAAAATGTCCTGAGATTCAGTCAGAAATGCTATACAAAAGTTAGCAACATTTTTTCCCTTGTTATAATAAAGTCACATTTAAAAATATTTGTGTGTGTGTGTGTGTGTGTGTGTGTGTGTGTGTTAACTGCTTTCTGTTGTATTGTGCTTAACTAGAAAAGTTGGCAGAATTCACATCACAACAGGAGCAGTAAGTTACAATTGGATAACAACATGGAAAAATAGCCTAAGAATGTAATACATAATTGCTTGGAAAAAAGAGTAAAAAACAATGGGATTATAAATTTTGGTTTTCCAATTATTTACATTAAGAGCAACAGCTCTTATTTAAAATACATTGTTCAAGACATTCACTGCCTACATCCCTTTTTAACTAACATCAGGTGATGGTTATAAAAGTGCTTCCAGGTAAAAGGTCAGAACAGCCATGGTCTTTGAAGCATCACACTTCCTCCTCTTTAATCACATGCTTTGCAGTAAAGTCTTTCAGTCTTTAATCCTTGGGATGTTGTAGGCATAACGAACCAATGGGAAACCTCTGCTTTGATAAAAACAGGCACGTCCACAGGCCTGTACTTGATCTGAACTGTCAGACACAAAAGAGTCCTCTTCATCAGCGTAATCAGAATGAGCAGACTGGGTACCACAATCTGACCAATAGCCATCTGGCCTTTGGCAAGGCACTACTGTCAGAGCTGGACAACTGTGGGATTTTATTAAGTGTTTACATGGCACAGGCTTTGACATAAGTAGTGATTCACAACATTCACACATGGTAAGGTTGCCCTGCAGATGTGTGTACATGCCACAGTCATAGTAAAAATCCTGCGCCCCACAGCCACCTTGAGTATTGACAGCAACTGTTCCAGTCCCACTTTTCTTGGTGATGTGCCATCTCAGTAATTTCCAATCTTCTTTAAATTTGGGATTGAAGAAGATGTACAAAACTGGATTCAAACAAGCAGGTAATGGGAAAAATATTAGAGTGACAGACTTCATGATTTCAGGGCTAATAGAAATTGCAGTGATGAGCGGAGCAAAGGAGAAAAACGCAACCGGGCAAAAAAAGATGCAGTTGGTGAAGATTAGCCAAGCAACATGTTTAATCATGCTAGCCTGTGAGTTCTCAGAGAGGTCTTCCTTTTCCAAGTTGCAGTAAAGTTTGATATAAATAATAGCCATGAGCAAAAAGGCTAATGAGTTTAGGAGCACTAATGTAACGGTGAACCCTAGGGAAGGAGTTTCTCCAGTGGGAAAGGGCAGGCAGAGAGGTGACGCAGAATACTCTCCCTTATGGAAAAGTGGTAAGCATCCTGCTACAAGTGCACACAGGAAAGCAAAAATAGCTGCAATTCGAAATTGTTTCTGATCATTGCTTTTACCCTTTTTAATTATTTCCTTTGCAGATAAGCTCCGCTCAATGGCTGCTAGCATCAGGAAAAAAATGGCACTTTCTGAAGAGAAGATGGCCAGAAACCCAGCAACTTTACAGCCACTGCCAGTTTCCCACCAGATACCAAATTCAGCAAACCTTCCCCAAGAAACTGCATCCAGGAAAGTTAAGATGCCAGTGTAGACCCCCATAAAGAAGTTAGAGACAGAAATCAAGCCTATGAATAGTTTGGAGGAAGGCAGTGAAGTACAAGGAGCAAATATAGTTAACATGACAAGCATGTTGAAGAACAAGGCAACCAAAAAAATAAACCAGACTGTAAGACGGATCATCCAGCTTCCTAGTAAGTATTCACAGGGCTTGAAAGCACCTTAAAAAAAGCAAAGAAAAAATATGGTGAGAAATACCAGATTGTCAGTGCTAACATATTTGAACACTATTGTAAGATAGGCATTAGTTAGAAAAATACAATCATAGAATTGTTGAGTTTGAAGGGACGCCAAGGGTCATGTAGTCCAACCCCCCGCAATGCAGAAATCTCAACTAAAGGCCATCCATGACAGATGGCCACCCAACCTCTGCTTAAAAACCTCCAAGGAACAGTCCACTGAATCTCATGGGAGTCTGTTCCACTGTCAAACAGCTCATACTGCCAAAAAGTCTATCATGATATTTAGTCAGAATCTCTTTTCTTGTAACTTGAATCCATTGGTTTGAGTCCTACCCTCCAGAGCAGGAGAAAACAATCTTGGCTCCACCCTCCATGTGACAGCCCTTTAGATATTTGAAGATGGTGATCATACCTCCTCTCAGTCTCCTCTTATCCTGCTTAAACATACCCAATTCCCTCAACTTTTCCTCATAAGGCCTGGTTTCCAGACCCCTGATCATCTTGGTCGCTCTCCACTTCACACGTTCCAGCTTATCAATATCCTCCTTAAATTGTGGTGCCCACAACTGGACACAGTACTCTAGTTGTGGCCTGACCAAGGCAGAATATTTCTACGAAAGTGCCTCAATTTAAACAAGCATAATTGGCGCTAAAATCATAAGATAAAACCACAAAACAATAAATAATAACACAGCAGTGCACAACACAAGAGGAGGAAGATCTTTTCTGAATTATTTCACCACAATTAGTAGACTGTTTATCAGACTGGTGAATTCTGTCTACCTTTAATGCAAACATTCAGATGATAAATTTAAGGTAGGGAACAGTCCAGTTACCTGTTGTGGGGGTACAGTGAATTATTGTCTGACCAAGTTCCTCATTCTTATCGCTGCTTAAGTAATCTGCTTCCGGTGCACCTTGATTAAAGAGGCAGATGATTAGGCCTAGAGAAATACTAAAATAGGAAACCACTGGGTGGTTCTTAGACTCTTAAAAATACATTCCTGTAATTGACACTTTTGCTTCATATTAAATTAAAATATCTTAAGTCTACTTGAGGGTGGGGAGAAAGCCTGCAAAATCCTCTTAGATGGCACTCCAAATTCTCATTAAGTTATGTAATGGATGCTTCCCCATAGTTTGAAGCACAGAAGATCATGGCATGATTGAGCAGTTTTGTGTTTGTGCTTTGGTGCTGGGAGTGGAGGAAGGAAGTATCACACTCATACACACCCAAATCGTGGCAGGCAAGATGTGATGATTGGATAAACCATGCTGATCCCCATCAGCCTTGAAGACTGGAGCAGGTTGAAAGCTCCCTGTGAGAATTGTGCAAACCAAAATACTACATAGTCCCCTTAGCAACATTAAATCCCACTAAAATTTGAACCATTTTCACACACTACTACTATATCGGAGGACTCACCTCGCTCATGTGCAACTGAATCTTGGTGACTGGAATCTTCTGTGTTAGCATTTAAATAAGAGTCACAGCCCCAGAAAGCACAGCATTGGTAAGCATATGGAACAGAAAGAGATCTGAAAATACAAGCAGGAATTCTTAATTGACTTTTGTTTTTCTTTATAAAACAACATCATCTCCCAGAGCTGCTTTCCTTTTCAAAATACCTTCTAGGTAAGATGAGCTTCAAATTAAAGCTAATTATAAGATTTCCTGAAGAATACGTTTTATATTAGAGAGAGAGATTATGAAAGTTCCAGCTGTAGTACTGTAGAATTCATTTTCTATATGAGCTCTGATCTAAGAAGTTTCTCTGGTTGTAGTCCAACATTATGTTAAAATGTTGTCATCTTAAGGCAAGCAAGATGTTACAAGCGATCGTGCTATTACCTGTGCATGTTGAAATGAACATTCATCAAGCTGCCTGGAGAGCAACATAGTTGCGCAAGTGAATTCCCAGGCAAACACAGAACTAAGCACACGCCTGTCATCCTTACTGTTAATTTTGTTTATATGAAATCCTTCTGGCTTGCCTGTCTGGATTTCCTGCATTGCCCCTGTCTCTCATCCGACTTAAGGATGTGCCAGAAAGATTCATGTATCTAGATGAAGGGTTCTGACACATTTTTAAAAGTTGCTTGCAACTATAAAGTTAATGCCAAATAAAAATAGAAACTAATTAAAATATTAAAAATATTGCCACTAAAGCTATACCACCATAAAAACTATAAAACTGCTATTGATGGGGTGCTGGGGAGATACTAGGTCAGTTTAAGAGCATGTGCCTTACTCTCAGAATGCCCACTAGCATTCAGTAATTTTCAGAAGATGTGGAAAAACCAAGCCTGGTAGATTTCTCTGATAAGGGACTTCTAAAAGGAGGGTATAACTACCAAGAATTCTGCTCCTCATCTCTACTAACCTAACTCCAGTCAAGGAAGAACTAAGAGCAATATCTATTCTGATTATAGAAGCGTGCATGCACACGAAAGCTTATCCCCTGAACAAACTTAGTTGGTCTCTAAGGTGCTACTGGACAATTTTTTAATTTATTTATTCTGATTATCTTCATGTATAGTAGGCTGGTGCACAGGCTGCTTGCCATAGTACACCAAGCAGAAACAACGGGCTTTGAAACTACTTCCTTTATTTGACAAATATAATGTAACCTCACCACATCCAATAATTGTGCTTACATCCACAAATCTATGGTGTGCAAATGTCAATGTTCAATATTTACAGCCAGCGATTCTTCTAAAATACTAGAACAAAAAGTTTTTTTTAAAAAAAACAACAACAGAGGCATGAAAAAGGGTGTAAAGGAATAAAGAGCAGCTGTAGAGACTTTTTTAAAAACAGTATTTTTTTCTGTAAAGCAATGATGGGCAATTCGTTTTGATGAAAGTCTGAAGAGGTGGGTAGGCCCAGTGTAGATTTGTTCTATTGTAGCTTGCAGTAGAGCTTCCTATAATGGCATATTGGACAAAGATCTTTGCTCCAGGTGAGCACTGGATTTAGTCATCATATATAAGCCATAATTTTCTATGTGGAAGTTAAATGTATTTGGTTTACCGCACAGCCCTATTAATGAGAAATGCAAGAGCAACTGCCAGCTGGATTGACTTTATTTTGGGGCAGTAAGATAAATCCAGGGTGTATTGACCCAGTTACTGACTTACCTGAGTTTTACAAAGTCCTTTGCCACCAAAGCTTCTTTCAGTTCTGTATTGCCTACAAGTTTAAGCTGGTTTAACCCAGCCAGGCCTCCAGTTGGAAATGAAGTCAATGCATTGAAACTTAAATCTCTAAAAGGATGACAGAAAAACCAAGTGTGAGGGGAAAATAGACCACATAAATTTTAAATACTTGAATATGCAAATCTAAAATTAAAAATATATCTAGCCATTTTGCTTGCTGGATGAGTGGAACACACTGCTGCTGGATCTCTAAGCAGTATTGTGAAATCAGTATTCCCTTCCTCCAAAAATAACCTTAGGGTATCATAAATGATGATAGCCCATAACAATCCTGAGAAGCAAGTTCACCTGAGAGATGATGAGAGGGGCAGAGGCATTGTTATATAGTGCTTAGAGTGTTGGACTATGACCTGGGAGACTAGGGTTCAAAATCCTACAGTCTCCTAAGCCTACCCTACCCTTTGTGGGTGTTGTGAAGATAGACTGAGGAGGAGAAAACTACAGCACCTTGAGGTCCTTGGAGGAAAAGTTGGATATAAATGTTCTAGTAATTAAAAAAAAAATAAAAATGGAGATCTGCCCAAGGTCACCCAGTAAGCTTCATGTCTGAGCAGGAAATTGAACCTGGGTCTCCTCCTTTGAGATACAATGCTCTTCCCTTTGTTGCACCATTTTCTAGATTTTCCAAATGTCAACAGAAGTTAAGCCAGCCATCACCATCTTCAGACGAATCTGGAAGCTGGCTTTTAAATATCTATTATCTTTCTATGCAACTATTTCAAAAGGGAATGGCTGTTATAGGCCAAGCCAAGTTGCCAGCCTAGCAAAGCACAGCTGCCCAATGCAGGTATTTGTCTAGATGCAGTAGTCACTAAATAGAAGACAGAAAGACTAGGAGCAGCAGCATAAGGGGAGGGGCACGACAGAAGTACGGTAAATTAAGCATGATGTGGAGGCCGACATTTTTCTCCCTTCTCATAATACTGAAAATTGGGTCACCCAATGAAGAATATCATCCTGAAACTCCCACCAGACAAAACGAAGTATTTCTCATAGCAAATAATTTATGGAATTTGCTGCCAGAAGATATTGTGATGGCCACCAGCTTCAACTGCTTGAAATGGAGATTAGACAAATTCATGGAAAGGTCCATCAGTGGCTATTATTCAAGATGGTATGTACAACTTCTTGTTTCAACAACTTTGTGGCCCTGAAAACCAGCTGATGGGAGAAAGCAGCAACAGGGGAGGGATATTGCCTTCATGATCGGCTTGTCAGCTTCCCAGAGGTATCTGGGAAGCAACATTAGGAAAGAGGGTGCAGGACTAGTTGGACCTTTTAGTCTAATCCAGCAGGGCTCTCCTTCCAGTCTTATGCATGCAACAGTCACAGAAATGCTCTTCATTTCTCCAGGTTGCTAAAAATGTGAATGCATACTAATATTTGTATAAAACTCCACTATAAATCATATTCTGCTTGGTTGTTCCATATGCAAAGTCAAGATATTGAATGACTTTGAAAGTTCCCTGGAAATGACTCACTCACTGTTTCTGTTTTTGGTTTTTTTTGTGTTTTTTTTGCAAATACGGGAGCTGCATACAAAGGGGATCAAGAAGCGAGAGAAGACCAAAATTACTCTAAGTTTCACAGGCTGAGTGGCATTCTTTTTACACCAACACACATCAAGCTGTGATGTGAGTAGCTGGTTTTCTTGTATGCTGCAAGAACATGGTACTTTTTGCTCTTTCAGGATGCCAGCTGAATGAGGGTTTAAGGCATTATGGGAAACAGAAGTGGATATTTTCGAGAAGGAGAAATGGTACTTGCACTGTTCTAAAAATGGTCTACTTACAGGTTGGTAATAGCACCCAGCAAAGTAAATGCTTCCTTGTCAATTCGGTGGATCAAATTTCTGCTGAGATCACTGCAATTTAAAGAGGTGCTATTGTGTTAGTGATTTATACTGACATCCCTAAATGGCTATTGTTTGCACTTCAGTGATTACTTTGTGTTTCAGGTCATACTAAATTTCTAACAAACATAAATAACTTGCAAATTAACTGTATTTTACAATGTCATAATGACCAATTTTCTTGACACAGTTCTCTTAAGGGCATTTTATTCACTGGAAAACTGAGAAACAAGGCTTGGTGGACCATGGCCTTCCAGTATGGCACTATAAAGGTCTACTTGCTCTCTTTTCTCCAGGTGCCAGGCCCAGCTACCTAAATTTGATTTCAGATGACTCCATGTCATTACCTCTCTTCCCTGGGACAAATCCTTGACCCTGATAAGGAATAACCTTACATTCCGTACTGAAATTCATTTTGTTACGGCCCAGTTTTCCAATCAGTTAAGGTCATATTGAATCCTAATTCTGTCTTCTGAGATATTAGCTCCCCCTCCCAGTTTGGCATGAACTATTGGATTAAGATCTTTCACAGAGGCTCCCCTCCCACTTTCAGGATCTATACTTTATATGAAGATGTGGGAGAGGGCCCTTTGCAACTCTGAGGGCCCTTTGCAATTCATTTTGCTGCCTAATACTGTGATTACCTTATTGTTTTAAGATTAGTATTGCTTGTTTATTGTTTTAGGTTTGTTATTCTGTGTAATGAATGGGGCAGATCCACTCTGCAATACAGCATCTGTTGCTCCCAAACAGTGATCCACTTCTGTGTTCTCTCATCAAAAACTTGCAGTATCTTACCTAAGCAAGCTCTCACCCCAGTGATCTTTGCAAGTCCTACAGCACCCACTTCCTGGCCACTGTCCTGCCATCAATACTGCAGCCTCCTTCTCCCCTAATTTTCTAGGGTGAATTTAAACCAATACACCCACGCAACATAAATTTTATAAAGTTTGTTTTGGTATGTAACTGCCACATATGCAACATGCATTCAAAGTGGCTTACAATATAACGGATGAAATATTAATCTCATTCTAATTTATTTTTAAGGGGAAATAAACTATGGCACTTATGTGAGCTCAGAACTAGAAGTGGATAAAACCCATCTGAAGGCTGCCTCCTGTCTATGGTGACATTTCAGCAAACCATCTGGCTTTACTGATTTGTGGATGTGGTTTTAAATTGGAGGAGAAAGGAGTGCATATGTGTGGGAGATGCCTAAATTAAGCATTGGGACAGGAGGGACAAAATAAAATGAAACATTTTGAGGAGTGCTGGATCGGTTGGGCTGAGAGCTATTTTACAAATGATTGCCTTGCTGTGGTTAACTGTACGTTGACTAGCAACATTGAATGCAACTGTTAGTTTCCAACATTTCACTTAAAATAAAAGCATTTGTAAAGAGAATAGACTCACAGGGTACGTAGAGAAGTCAGCCCCTGGAATATATCGTCTTTGATTTCTTCAATTTGATTATGCTGCAAAGATCTGAAATATGCAAATTAGTTACACAGAGAAGGATTTTCACCAAAAGGCAGCACAGTCATGGCACTGCATTCTATCCTGACAGGAACAACCCCCACTTTTAATTTATTAACTTCAAATTATTAATGAATGATTAAGTGAAAGACACTGTGGAAGACCGAAAGAAAGGCAGGAGGGGAAGAAAGAAACAGAAGGAGTTCAAGGAAAAGAGCATAAAGCAAGATACGAGGCGAAAGTCTGATTTAGCAACACAGTAATAGCATGAAGTGGACTTGGAGCTTATTGCAAAACCACGCTAGTTAGACCTCAACTGGAGTACTGTCTCCTGCTCAGAGCAGCAGACTTGAAGAAGTAGGTAGACAAATTGAATGTGTTCAGAGGAAATCAATGAAGACAGGTAACAATACAAGTTCTGTGAGGTTGGTGTTTTTTTTAAGCACCTCCATAAAGGGTAAAGATTTATTCTCTGTTTCTGCAGAGGGCAGAACTACATCCAACAGCTTAAGTTTCAAGAGGACAGATTTGGTGGTAAGAGTAGTTTGACAATGGAAACATTTTTACATAGCAGGGTAGTGGGCTCTTGGTTACTGGAGATCTTTAAACAGAGTTTGGACATTTGTCGGGGATCATTGAGCTCTGGATTTTGTGCATCAGGTAGGGCATTTATATTATATATCCTACAAGGTTCCCCCCAACTCTTATGATACCACAACATCAGTAAATGTAGCAAGAAGCACAAGGCGAAGGGGCCTTAACAGTTGCTTAAAACACACACACACCACCCAGACACAAGTCAAAAATTGAATAAAGGCCGAAGTCTAGAAGCCACTGGGGCAAATAGAGAGCGAGGAGGAAGCAAGAATGACAAAAGAGAAGTAGAAATGCACCAAAAGGCAATGAAGTAATGAGAGGACTTAACATCTATCACCACTTTGTACACTTCCCACTCTGGTCACAAAACATTAACTTAGGGCGAAAACAAGGAATGCCTGTTTTGAAATACTGTCCTCTTGCTATCAGTTGTAGACAAGCTATAGAGTTTCATTTCTGGTGGCACAGATTCAGGCGCGGGGCGTGGGGGTGGGGAGAGAATCAGATTAGACTGGGAGTGCTCTATACTCACATTTCTTCCAGGGAACTGCAACCTTTAAAACTTGGAAGTTGTTTTATGTTGTTATAAGATAAATCCCTTGTAAAGGAAACAAAAGGAAAAGGTTACTTTTATCATTTTGTATGAAGGTATACTGCTTCTAATTCAGTGTCACAAATATATGGTCAATCTTCCTCTCCCAACATTCTTATAACAATCTATTTCCCCACTAGCTGTTTTCCAAAGAAAGTGGGCTGCCTTCTCTAAAGTTTTTCGAACAATTTCAGCTTAAAAGATAGTATAGATGTGGGATATGATCAGGAAGTTTACAAAAGCAATTGAAACTAAAGTCTCAAATTCATAAGGGCTGCAGTCACCATTAGTCAACTCTCCAGGAGCTGCGTATCAGTAGTGGGTTTAGCCACTCTTGCATTCACACACACCATATACACATGCACAGGCCACCTATCCTGAGCTGATGTCTGCAGATCAGCAGTGAAGGATTATTGCTCCCTCCTTTTTTAACAGAGGCTCAAACTGATGAGTAGGAGGAGGGCATTTGCATCCCTAAGAGGATGCAGCAACACACAGACCAGGGAGTTAGCAAGTCTCTACAAGAGCCTGCCCATTCATGCGGTCCCAGTAAGCTCCAGTTTGGCTTAGAGTGATGTGAAAACAAGGCAACTGAAACAAATGACTCATAGCAGGGATGTCTGATCTGCGTGGTTTTAAACTGACATGCTCAATTCTGACTTTTTAGGTTATTATGCTCCATTTCCCTCATATAAAATCTATAGCACATACTGCTCCTTATAAGGGATGTGCTAATAAACATTGATATAAATTGTATATTTTACTTTTGTGGTTTTATAGTAGGACCAAGAGGTTTCTACTTACAAAGTCCGAAGCAGTTTTTGTTCTTGGCATAGATCAGTGGGGATGCTGCTTATTTTGGTGCCTGTAAAAGTCCTGTTTAATAAAACAGAAGCATGTGAATGAACTTTGATTCATAATAATTGCCAGAATTATTAAAATGAAGACGCAACTATCCTAGAAAGTTAGGACTCAATCACTTATTTCTGAACACAGTAAAGGACATTTTTAAAATACATGTGCCTTTGACTAATGCCCTAGCAGTGTTGATTCAACAAAGCTGAAACAGATTAAAAATAGGGCAATAGTTAAAGAAACAGTGATAGCATTTTTTCATTTGCTCTTTCAGAAAAGTATTTTAAAAATAACGATGTTAGGCTTAACCATGTGCATATCCTACATCATTAGGAAGAATTACATATGCTTTGCTTTCTCTGCAACTAACTGCATACCCTAAGCTTAGATAAAGCTTAGCCTTCTTCATGTTTCCAAGCTTCATCCAATGAGGAGGAGAGTGAATGAACTCACTGGCCCCGTCCACCTCCATCATGTTCCTGGCTTCATTTGATTTTCATGTGCTGGGAAAGGAACTTCTGCAGCAGGGAACCTTTTCTGTACAGGAAAGCTCCCCACATGAGGGGAGGAAGCAAATGGATTAATTCCCACTCTCCCTTGCACATAATGATAACTGCATGGGAGGAAGTATGCCTGAAATGGGCTCATGTGACATAAACATATGGATAAGGAAGTCCCATCTCCAAAACTCAGCAATAAAATTAATTTTAAATGTTCTCCTTAAAAGAGAATCTAACCATTAGAATTAGTTATTGTTCATTAATAGTTTGGTAGAAGATACTTACAGGCTTTCCAGATTGGTGGTTCCTGTTAAGTTAGGAAACCACTGTACCATGCTGGCGCCACGAATGACCCTGAAGGAGAAGAAGAAATACGATGACACACACTGTTGCTTTAGTGGATAGAAGGAACACAAGAAGAGCCCTGCTGGGTCAGGACAAAAGCCCATCAAGTCCAGTATCCTGTTCTCAGTGGCCTTCCAGATGCCTCTGGGAAGCCTAAAATTAGGTCTTGAGTACTATAGTACTCTCCTCATTTGTGATTCCCACCAACTGGTATTCAGAGGCCTACAGAGGCACAGCACTGGAGGTCATACATAGCCAATGATATGTGCTATGTGAATAGAGGTTTTCATTAAAGGTTCATACCAATCTAATCTCATTTCCACTTACATTTATCCATGCTAGACTTAATGACATTTTCATCACATCTCAATGTACAAATCTCTAAGCACAGCTTAGAAATGTTTGAAATATTAAATGGTTTACAAAGGCTTTTATTTTTTTTTGGGGGGGGGAAACAACCCACACAAAATATTGAAAAATGTGTTTGTCATCTACTCAGAATTATGTTCAAAATCTGAACTCTTGCCAATGGACTGCTCTGTCGTTGATACTATGGTCTGGTTGCCAAGACAGCTTCCTTGCTCACAGTCAAGACACTGACGTACATGTTAAATTCCCATGTGTGGATTTGTGAGAGAGCAGAAAGAGAAAGTGGTAAGTAAGTAATGCAGAGTGTGTGTGAGGGTGAGAAAGACAATGAATGATATGTGTAAGCATTCTATGTCTGCAGCCACCAGCAGTGTGCAGACCCCAAGGATTCTTCCCATCCCTGCCAAGGGAAAGTGGGCCTCTGTGACTAAAGATTCCCCACCTCGACTCTGCTTTTTCCTCTGGTGTAGGCCCTACTACATCCTTTCTGAGAATTTAATACCGGAATGAGGAAGATGAGCTTTTCTTTTATTCATAAATACACAAGAAACCTACAAACGGAGCACAGCACTTCTAAAGAATAACCACATTTGTGCCATGGTCACTGCCAAGTAATACAACCAAGACACATTAGGTCTCAGATTAAGTGAAGCTGTGAGACTCATCTAAGCCAAATCCCATTTTTACGCTAAGTTGGGAGTCATTCTGAGGTGGCAGTACTTCAATTCTACTTGCAAAAAAGGATTTTGATCCAGCAAGTTCCTCTGCTAATGTAACAAGGGAAGAGAGGACTTTCTCAGATTCCCCTTCCTTCCTGCTTCCATGCTGTTCTGGGGATCCCCCGGGAACAGTTTTTCAGGAAAGTGGGGCACAGAGGCTGCAACAAGGAGGGAGGAATCACCTCCTCTTCTCTTACATTAGCAGAGGTGGGTGCCAGATCAAAAGCCACTACGTAAATGGAATGGCAGCATCGGCTTCCACCATTAGTCATGAACATAAACAGTGTCTGAAAGGGTTCTGGTACACAGAATACATAATGAGTTGACATTGCTCTATAACAGGGGTAGGCAACCTAAGGCCCGTGGGCCGGATGCAGCCCAATCGCCTTCTCAATCTGGCCTGTGGACGGTCCGGGAATCAATGTGTTTTTACATGAGTAGAATGTGTCCTTTTATTTAAAATGCATCTCTGGGTTATTTGTGGGGCCTGCTTGGTATTTTTACATAAGTAGAATGTGTGCTTTTATTTAAAATGCATCTCTGGGTTATTTGTGAGGCATAGGAATTCGTTCATATTTTTTTTCCAAAATATAGTTCGGCCCACCACCTGGTCTGAGGGATGGCGGACTGGCCCATGGCTAAAAAAGGTTGCTGACCCCTGGTCTATAAGGTCTTAGCACTAGGTCTGCAGCTTCTTCTGATCTCCTAGCTGGAAATTGTTAAATACTGCCTGCCTACAGTATTTGGTATCAACCATAAAAAACAATAATTTAGCAGGGAAATCAATGGCTTTTGTATAAAATATATACATTAGGATGCTGTCAAACAATTTATGTGATTAAGTATTTGCCAAACTTCTATTAAGCCATGCCCTATAGCAGTTAAACTACAGAACTTATAGATCTTTTAGAATCATACATGTTTCTCCATGCTGCAAACATGATCTCCCTGTATCTTGCATGATGGTGCTTTCCCCAGTGGTCTTTACTGCACAACTTTAGTCTTGCAACTCCATTGCTAATTCTTCATCATCATTCTTGTGTAACAGATATTATCAGCACTGTTGATGTTAATTATAAATTTGGGAGTGCTCTTGTTGTTGTTTTCTGGTTTTGCACTGTAAGCAAAACCTTTACCAGCTTTCCCGTAATAGCCTCCCTAAGACTACTAAACAAACCACCAAAACTGGAACTTACTATAATGATTTAAAGTGTGCTTATTTTAGTCTTGCTCCAGGCTTTTTCTCTTTCAAGAGATAACATAGTTACAGGAACACGCCAAGAGCAGAAAAAGAGTTGATGGGGCTGTCCACTATGAGCCCCCTCCCCCAGTCAGTTGAGGGGAAAGGCACCTATATTTTTTTGTGGGGGTGTGTGTTTCTGTTTGTTCTTTGTTGTTATGTTATATAATTTGTGTTTTTATGTTGTAAACAGCCTTGTGGTCTTTGGATGAAGGGCAGTATATAAGTCTAATAATAATAATAATAATAATAATAATAATAATACAATTAAAAGATTTTTATAGTTACTTTTTAATGGAGCTGACAAAGGATACAATCATACTATAGTGAAAGGGTACTTACAGGGAATGCAAATCTGACAAGTTTTGAAAAGCTGAGTTCCCAACAAAGGATAATGGGTTATCAAACAGATGTCTAGAGTGAAAACATTTAAGAAGACAAATTGTCAGTTCATATAATCACTTCCTGATCCGTTAAACAAAAAAATGTAATCACTGTTTTTTAAAAAAACCAAAAAAACTTACATAGTACGAAGAAGTGGGTTTCCTACAAACGCATTGTCAGGGATCATGGAAATGTAATTACTGTGAAATCCCCTAAAAACAAAAATTAGAGAAAGAACAATAACACTTTAATGGTCAGAGTCTTACAAAGAGTGGCAAAGCGTGACTGAAATCACAGGAATTGAGGTGGCTGTTACAGGCTATCCATGTGAAGATGCTAGTTCACATGAAGGACAACTTCCACGCAAGCTTGGTGGCATCCTGTGGACTCCCACCACATGGAAACTCTCATTAGACCAAACACTGGCCAAGATGCTGCAAGCCAGGATCAGGCTTACATCTAACTGCAAAGAAAACTGCATGCACATTGTTTCATTCTATCTTCATGAGTAAGAAGACAAGAGGCTTTCATCAAAACATGTAGCTTTCAGGGAAAGTACCTGGAAGATCCCCAAACAAGCTGTTCCCCATTTTAGATTGCCAGGAAGTGAGAGAGACAACATCTTTAAACCTGGAGTTTTGTTTAGTGTTTTTATGTTAGAGAAAACGAAATACGTAAGGAAGCCACAATAATACTCACAGCTCTTTTAGGCTTGGAAGTGCTTTTACTGCTTCAGGGAACTCTGCCATGTTGTTATAATTCAAGTCTCTGAAAAGAACAGCATCTTTAATATTATGAAGTTCTTGGTATTAATCTATTTCCTCAAAGTAAAACAAAAACAAACCAGTTTTTTGGTACAATTTTTTTCAAAGCAGAGCTAGAGAAATCACAGAGCTTCTTCATAATCAGACATTTATAAAAACTTATAACAGTCAATTTGAAAGCAATCTAAAACAGACACATTGTATTTTATAAATTACTTAATGTAACAACACAAATATAAATCATCAAAGTTGCAGTTGCTTTATAAAGGATTATAATTTTAACTGGAACGTAACTGAAATTAATAAGATTTTGGAACACAGAAAAAAAATTAGGAAGCCATCAAATCTAGCACATGGGGGCCACTTTAAACTAAAATTTATAATCTGGTATTTGATCAATTTGTATTAAGAATTGTATTAATTGGATATGAATTGGCATTGTTATAATGGGGCTATTATTGGAATAATATTGGGAAACTATTTTTTAAAAAAAGATAATTTCCCCCAGCTCTGCTGCCAAAAGTTCTGCCCACACTGGAAACCTTGGGAAAGAAAGGCAAGTTGTGATGTGACCAGCTCAGGGTTGTGCAACAAAGCATTAAGCATATTTGTATATGTAAGTAAATACAACTGATTACCATAACATCATAATTATAAAGCAAAACCTTAACAAATCTTAATCTCAATATTCAATGCCATCAAGTCTTTTGTAATGTGCTTTATTCAATCACAGAGCCCCAAAGGCAGGATACTTACAAGGTTTCTAGGTTGTTTAATCCATCAAAACAATGATGTCCCAGTGTTTTTATTTTATTGTTATGGAGATGCCTGGGGGAAAAAAAGCAGAAGGGGTAATCTATTAACCACAGGAATCACTATGTAAGAGCTAAGGTTCCAAAAATAGCTTTACTTGATAGCAAAAAATGTGTTGCACTCACAAGGAACATCCAGGCTGATAGGTTGCTAATACACAAACCCCCTTTTGTTGTTGAGCAAGGTAGCAGAACTGGCAAGCTAATGATTTTGAACCCCACCCTGCATTCCCCATCTTAAGAATGCAGTTCCTAAGTGATAGAGGTTACCTTCAGATTCTGAAATTGACAATAGAAGAGTTCTGTTTTTGTGCACACCTTACTCTTACCAGGGAACTGTATAGAAAGTGACCAGATTTTGTCTTTTTTCCTTGAATGGCAGGGGTGCTATCTCCCACACCCATCCCACTTAAATCATCTCAGTCTTGTAGTGGGACCCATGGAAGCCAAGCAGATTGTAACACATGAACAAGATCCTGCACAGCCCACGCAAACATCACAGATCTACAAGAATTCATTCACGTCTGCTTCCTTGCTACCCATCACTGAAACGGATTGATCATGTGAACCATAAACAGCCAATGAGATTCCCTTTCCTTGTCTTTTGCATTGGCGCTTGAACCAAAGAGCTTCTGGGAATTCTCTCTCTCAAAAATACTAAATAAATAAAGCTTGGCAGAGAGCCCAATAGCAAACTCATTTGGAATTTTGGTTGCCCTTTTGGATGCACAACCCAGTGCAAGCATGCTTCACAAAGGCGCACACCCAAGAGCTGGGAAATGTGCGCAATGCATTTCTGTACCATATATGTGCCAAATTGTCAGTGTTGATCACTAAGGCAGGGATGGGGAGACCAACATTTAAAGACACAGTCCCCTCACACTGAATAAAAGAAAAGGGAGTTGTACTATCAAAGTCAGTTCTGATGACCACTTGGTTCAAGCAACAAGATCCTACGTACAGCACATGTGTATACTACCACTGCTATAAATGCGCACAATCATACATGCTAATGTTTTCCAGCAGCCATTTTTCTACTATATGAATGGCAATAAAGTACTTAATACAGCACAACAAAATCTGTAGGTATTCAGAAAAATAACAAGCTGCAAATTCTTACAGGACAACGAGGCTTGAGAGATTTGTAAAAGCAAAATCAGGGATGCTGGTTATTTTGTTGAGAGCCAAGGTTAAGGCCTGCAGGGATGGAAGATTGCTGAGAGGAACAACAGGGACTTCAGTCAAACTGTTATCATCCAGCCACAGGTGTCGCAGTTGAACGAGGCCCTCAAAACTGTCTTCTGGGACAGCAGTAATGTGGTTAGCATCTAAGCGCCTGAAGATAAAAGAATATGAATATTTAACACCTTGCAAAATGTATAGAGTATACACATCAACGTATTTTAAAAGTTTTAAGGGTGGGGGGAGCATGAAAGTTGTGGGAGCATCAGCTAAAACTGAATATAGATCATCATGAGCCAAATGAACATGCAAATCAGCACAACCCAGAAAAAAAGGGAATAAGTTATGCACATTGTGCATGTTATCTATCAGCTAACGCCTTTGCTCAGTAGAAACAGCTGAACAGCATACACCTAGAATTTACAAATGGGTAGTTGCACAACTATTTACTGATTCACTGGGCACTACGTTTAAGTCTATGCAGTAGCAAAGCCACCTTCCGTAATAATTTCACTTCTTCTTCACTGTAAACAGAAGCTGACCTGAGCTCTGTGTCTCCAGTCTCTCAACATAATTTGAAAATGAATAGAAGAACAAGGTAGCTCTAGGTTTAAGAACATGAGGTAGTTGTTATAGTATCTTTACAGAATTTTTAAAGCGATTTTCTATATTAGAACTTTGTCATATAATATTCTGCTAAAAACAACTTGAACTGGTAGCAGAAAATAATTTCAGTGAGAAAGCTCTATCTTTGCATTGTATAGGCTTCATTATGCTAATTTATATTTATTGTTACAGCAGTACCATAAAAATATCTTTACTATACATCTTTTATGCAGTTTTAGTCCTTGTGGCAGGTACAAGTCATCTTGGTGAGAAAGACCATCTCATAATTCCAGAAATTATGGAAACACACAATAAAGTAAAAAGAGAGCTAAGAAATTCACAACACTGAGGAAAGGCTATAGCTCAGTGATAAAGCATGTCCTTTGCAAGCAAAAGGTGCCAGGTTCAACCACTAGCATCTCCAGGTAGGGATGGATAAGACTCCTATGTGAAACCCTGTTGAGTTTGTCAGCAAAATTACTGCTCATCTATGGCTAAATTGTAGGCAGTCAATCCTTTAGCAAAGTACCATTTCCAGGATTGTTTATGGAAGCCATGATAGTAAGCTGTTGTGAAACCAGTATTAGTCTAGTAGCATGGATGAGGTCTGTAGTGACTGCTTCTCAAGGATCAAGGACTTTATTCCCAAAACAGGTCAATTTTAGCAACGACACATGAATTCTTCATTTTGAAGGCAGTAGCCATTGTGAGCAATAAAAAAAAAAAATCGGATAAAATATGAGTATGTTATTACGGAATGGTTCCTTAAAGCCCAATGCATTGTGCTACACAAAAAGAGCTGCTTCCCTTATGTACTTAGCAAGAGCTAATATGGATGAGCTTATATTACAGCTGACTGAAAAGCATCTTAGCATTTATCCTATTTTAAAGGAAGGAGTGGATGGTGCTTACTTCGTCTCTCTCATCCCTTCTTCCCAGTGTCAGCAGGCAAAAGTCCACACTGACTTTAGGGGAATTCTATTTTTAAATTTTCTCAGCACACAAGAGATGCATAATGCCGAAGAACAACAACAACAAAAATCTTACAAAACTAATGTATTTAGCATGCTTCTTTGCTGAAGTAGTTTAGCACATCTCCAGAGCTAGTAATGCAGGTTCTATATTTTGACTAAATCTGCTCTGATAAACTAAAGAAAAATAAAGATGTGAAGGAGAAAGAAAAACAAAAACCACCGCCATCTCACATTAAGGATGCAGTAATCATTACATCCATCTTAAATTCAACACGCAAGTTGTTAAGAGTCACCCAGATATCCAAATAAGTATTCATATAGAATTATAGAATCAGATAATTATAGCTGGAATGAACCCTGACGGTCATCTAGTACAACCCCCTGCAATGAAAGAATCTCAACTAAAGCATCTATGACAGATGGCCATCCACCTCTGCTTAAAAAAAACCAATGGAGAGCCCACCACCTCCCAAGAGAGTCTGTTTCACTGTTGAACAGCTCTTACTGTCAGAAAATTCTTCCTGATGTTTTAAGTCAGAATCTCCTTTCTTGTAACTTGAATTCATTGGTTTGAGTCCTACCCTCCAGAGTGGGGGGGGGGGGGTTTGCTCCATCTTCCAGGTGACAGGCCTTTAGATATCTGAATATGGTTATCATATCTCCTCTCACTCTCCTCTTTTCCAGGTTAAACATGCCCAATTCCCTCAACCCTTCCTCATAAGGCCATTCCTCATAAACCCTTCCTCATAAGTTTCCAGAGCCTTTATAGGAAATGAATTCCAACGTAGCAATGACAGTGAGGTCCTCATGTCATTGCATAATAGATGGTGGGTGTTTATCCTTCGAGGCTCAAAGTATCTTAGCAACCATAATGGCTTGCTAAATCCACTTCCGCTGTCCTGTTGTAAATCTCCATACTATAGGGATATAGTTTAAAAGTACATGCACATGCGCAAATATGAAAGATTTTGCAAGTACAAAACTGATACAGACAATAGCCCCCAAACAGTGCAACACTGGGCACACCTACATCATATACTTCAATGCTTCAGGAAGGGGCTTGCATAGACCTTCTAAAACAGAGGGTGGGGGACACAATTCGTTTTAGCAACGACATTGTCTTTGGGACTACAAAACATCTTGTAGCTGACATCATTGTGCTGTTAACTGATGGGTGGACCCACCCACCTGACAAATTTGGACAGCAAGGGAGATCCTGATAAGGACTGAGCCCATCAAACCAAAAAGGGTTCCTCGTCCCTGCTATATAGTGTTACCAAGCAAGTAATATTTCCTCATTGCTGTTGCAGCAGTTTTACAAATGTCTGCTTTAGTTATCCATTAAGGAGGAAACAGATTCCTCTTCTTTTCATAAGAAGTGCTCCAGGCTCCAGCTTTCCCATTTGGATATTTGCTTATAAGAAATCTATTTCAAATTCTGGTCTATAAATTCATGCTTGCTGGGCACACACTCATATTAATTGCTATTATTTTTACTTATCAGGTCTCATTTCACACTTTAATTCAAACACATAAAATGGTCAGTGGAGCAAGAACAAAGTAAGCATCATATATTTCTTATGGAAGACAGAACATTAAAATTATTCCTGAATGTACTGAGAACATAAGAAGAATCCTGCTGGATCAGACCAAAGGCTACCCAGTACAGCATTCTGTTCCTATGTTGGCCAACCACATGCCTATGGGAATCTTGTAGGCAAGACCTGAGGGTATCCGTGCTCTCCTCCACTTGTGATTCCCAACAGCTGTTATTCAGAGGCAAACTGACTCAGACAATGGAGGCAGAACATAGTTATCATTGCTAGTAACCACCGATACTGAGATTTAGGAGCTTGCGATAGTAGTCTGCTCCTCCCGCCCCAGAGCATGTGCAAGCAAGGAGAAAGCAGGGAATGACACATCAGGAAAGTTCACTGAAGGTTACAACAGCAAGATGTTTTTCTGAAGCAGTAAAGGAAGCAATAAAGGTAAAGGTACCCCTGCCCGTACGGGCCAGTCTTGACAGACTCTGGGTTGTGCGCTCATCTCACTCTAGAGGCCGGGAGCCAGCGCTGTCTGCAGACGCTTCCGGGTCACGTGGCCAGCGTGACGAAGCTGCTCTGGCAAGCCAGAGCCGCACACGGAAACGCCGTTTACCTTCCCGCTAGTAAGCGGTCCCTATTTATCTACTTGCACTTAAGGGTGCTTTCGAACTGCTAGGTTGGCAGGCGCTGGGACCGAATGACGGGAGCGCACCCTGCCGCGGGGATTCGAACCGCCGACCATGTGATCGGCAAGTCCTAGGTGCTGAGGTTTAACCCACAGCGCCACCCGCGTCCAAGGAAGCAATAGGAATATACTAATTTATGAGTGGCTTGTGGACTTGAGTATCCAAACTGGCATATAGGCATATAACAACAACAAATAATAGTATACTTAAATATTAAAGTATTGCTCAAAACCAAGTAGCAGCAAATATAAAGCAGCAGATAAAAATCAAGAATTACTAAAACAACACAACAACTGAATGAGATTATGACGCACGCATAACACATCACAATTTCCATTTGTGCAGCACTACAGCCTGCCAGTTCTGTCTCAAAAGAATTAGGAGGATGTTGTAAATGATGTTATAGAGTACAATGGAGGGGAATGAGTACATTAAGATCACGTATGTGTTCTCTATTCTCAGTAGATTGTTCTGTTCACTCTTGTGGCCTGCGATTTAATCTCTCATTACTCTCTTCATTTGCTTTGCTGCTGTGGTACAGTATTTACATGGCTCAGGAAATCTAATAGCATTATTCCAGCAGTGAAACAGGAGATATTGACACAAGCCGTCATCTCAGAGTGTACATTTGAGATAAAACCGCTTCAGGACAACAGACGTCTGGAGTGAACTTTGTTCTTTTTAAGTGCTACTTCAAAAACCACAAGGAAATCACTCCAATGACTGCAAAGTAGTTATTAGATTTAAGAGGGGAGCACTGATAAGGCTGGATACAACAGAAATTGCATCATGGCAAGGACAACAAATCCACTCTTGAGTTAACAAGCACTTCCCCAGCTGTATTACTTGTAGGTATGGCATGCCAGCTGTATTACTTGTAGGTATAGCAGACCTTGCCATAGCTCAATACAGCCTATTTAATAAATGCTAGCTCTCCCACAGCTGGCAGTCGAGCAGTGACTTTATGAAGCAAACACATCAATTCTGTGGCCTTCTTGGAGTTACCAACTGTGTCACAAGAGACCAAGTGCATGAGTGCAAACACAGATTACACACGTTTAGTTTTACACTTTTAAAAGGGGCCACAAAACCTTTCTTGGCATTTGGGTTATGTATTAATCTTTTACTCACTTGTCAATGAAATTGGCAAGGCCAATATACCTAAAATATTGTCTCACCCCTTAGATACTCAATAGATCACTGCGCTCTGCATGAGAGGGCTTCCTGCAGATACAATTTTATCAGGGGGTCTATTCTGTATGATATAGGAAGCAGGCCGTTATTATGTCCCCTACCCTTCAGAACTCTCTCCCATTATAGATCTGAAAGAAGGAGATAGGGACAAGGAAAGAGGCAGTTCCGGTTTAGGTGGAAGAGGATTGTTAATGGTTTTATATCCACTGGGATATAACCAGCTTTTTATATGCTGAACATACCTTGCCATGACAGACCAGTAACAGCTATTGTGTTTTTCATTTTTTACTGGCCATCAATTGGGCCAATATTGAGAGCTGGTAAACTCTTTAACAAAAGCTTAGATAGGATGAAAACATTAACTGTCTTTTTCAGACAACCTGAACCTCAGTACATCAAGGGCTACCAAAATGATTTGTACATACACAAACCATGCTCATGAAATTCTGAGGTGGTGAAATACGTTTTGTCACGAAGAAAAAATTCCCCTAAAGCTTCCTTCCTATAAAGTTGGGAATACTGCCAGACAACCAGCTAAGTAACGTTTAAACTTGAAGATTTTGGACTGAGATGACAGCTACGTAAATCTTTTTCAAAGAAAAGGAGGGAGAGAGAACAGAGTGAGACCAGCTATTTTCTAGTGTTTTACATGTAAAAGAGTTATCTGCTTTAACACTGCACACCTCAAATACTTTCAAAACATTTCTATCTGGAACAAATCCTTACCCAAAAGGTCAGTTTCTAATAATGCTATAGTACTACTACATGCATCAAACCATTTAAAGTTCTTTTTAGGCAAGTCCTACAGGGACGTGGGTGGCGCTGTGGGTTAAACCACAGAGCCTAGGACTTGCCGATCAGAAGGCCGGCGGTTAGAATCCCCACGACGGGGTGAGCTCCCGTTGCCCGGTCCCTGCTCCTGCCAACCTAGCAGTTCAAAAGCACATCAAAGTGCAAGTAGATAAATAGGTACCGCTCCGGCGGGAAGGTAAACGGTGTTTCCGTGTGCTGCTCTGGTTCACCAGAAGCGGCTTAGTCATGCTGGCCACATGACCCGGAAGCTGTACACCGGCTCCCTCGGCCAATAAAGCGAGATGAGTGCCGCAACCCCAGAGTCGGCCACGACTGGACCTAATGGTCAGGGGTCCCTTTACCTTTACCTTTACAGGCTCCACAACTGACAATATTTGAACACCCTCCAAGCACACAGTATACAGTAATCAAGCTGATGAGACAGCTGTTGCCAAAATGAATCTCCTCTAGCCATCATTCATGCCTTTGTAAACTTGAGGCTAGACTTCTATAATACAAGGACAGAAGCTGTCCTTGATGGCTGTTCAGTAGCCGCAGATAACAAGCCACCCTAACTGCAGACAGAGCAGAGCTACCAGGAGCACACTGACACGACTGCTCTATTGTTTGGACAGGCTGGTCCGTCATGGCAAAGTATGTTCAGCATACTTCCAATGGATATAAAATCATTAACAGCCTTCTTCCACCTTAACAGAAACTGCCTCTTTCCTTGTTCCTATCTTTTTCTTTCAGATATACTGTATAGCAAGAGCCTTTGGTGTTTACCAGCTGTGCATCAAGATACAATTGCAATAGTATGCAATAAGGTATTCTCATTTTTGCTTGAAAATGTTGAACACCCTTGTCTTGAATGAAACTTCTTCCAATAACATAATCTGCTGTGTGGATTTTAACTAGCTGATTTTAGGACAATTTCAATGCATTCTATAGTCAGAAATCAAAGACAAAAGTATGTTAGCCACAACAAATTGCATAAAATACTAAAGAACATATACACAGAAACTTGCCTTTGCAGCTGAAGCATAATTCTGTCAATAAAGGAAGCCCTAAACTATGGTAGCCATTCTGTTGGTGGTGGGTGACTGGAGACTGTTACATCGTTGAATGCAAATGAACTTCTTTTGCAGAACAGCTTGCAGACCTGAAAGCATTTCTGAACTTCCTTAGACCATTTTGAATCAACAAATGTGCTGGAGGACTTGAATTATAGGTCAAAAGGCTTAACATGAATTATTTTTCTCTCTCAAGCCAAATCCATACATTTTCAATGACATTTTTTGTGTTTTTGTCCTGTGCTTCAATAATGACCCAGTAGGATTACAAAGGAATTGCACTTGAGAAAATTCCCCTTCCAAAGACAGAGAACTGGGCTGAGACTGAAGTGCTATGGAAAAAATGTTTAATATCTTCACACTAGATCAAGGGTGGGGCCTATTTCAGCCAGATGCAGGGAAATTTGTTTTATTGGTTTTTATATCTGAATTTTAAAGTGTTGTAAACCGCCCTGGGAACTGATGGTCCAGGGCAGTAGTAGTAGTAGTACTGATAATAATAATTTGAACTTGGTCAGTCTCCTGACAGTCTGCATTCCAGCAATGGGTGAAGCAAAAACTACACACATCACTGTCACAAACACATGCACCAGACACGCAGGCACACAACACTCTCTCCCTCACACAAACACAGTCACACACTCATATATCCATACACTCTCACACACCAGGAGTACACAAGCACAATATTTTCAGCCCTTTTCCACTCCAGGGCTGTAGTAGTTGTAAAGATATATTTGCCTGCTCATTAGAAAAAAACTCCAATTGATTATGATCATGTATCCCCACATGAGCACAAAGCACCTGTAACAATTCCATTTAAAAACCCCTTTCACTCACTGTGAAGTTTCTCTGATTGTTTTAGAAAGTTTTGCATTTGCAAACAGCATGAGCAATATTCTTCCAAATGCATTTAGAATAATTAAGAGTTATTCATGTACAGAGCTGTATGAGCTGCTTTCAGCTTCCAGAATGCAAGGTATGTTCAGAGAGAGATGAAAATAGGGAAGAAAACAGATGCAGGAGCAGAGAATTCTCAAGGAAACTTACAAGGACTGTAGTCCGCTGAGTCCCCTGATGGCCTCATTGGGAACGGTTTTCAACTGATTGTTCTGCAGAGTGCTGTAAAAAGAAAAGGGGGGGGATAAAAACATGAACAGGATAAACAGATTGGACAAGTCTCTCAAGTGACATTCACAAATTCAGTACAGTTTGTTCCCAATGTACTTCTTGTCTATGTTCCCTCCCCTCATGCTGGAATTCTGAACTAAATGACAGTTCAATATAGCCTGAGCCCTGTGCCTAGTGAGGAAAAAAATCCATATTCTCTTGAGATCATACAAGGGAGATAGACGAGAGAGATGAGGTCCAGTAAGCCACCAGAAAATGACTTCAGAAACACATCCTTTAGTCTACTGATTGGTGTTTCTTCACCTCAAAACATCTATGCCTGAAGTATAATCAGAAGCTCTGAGACATGCAAACAGGATTCCCTGTCACACGTTAAATTCTGAGGCTTCATTCATGGTGAACAACTGAGACTAAACCTATGGAGGCTGACCTATGCAAAAAGGACTTGGTGATGAAGTCCCTACACAACTGTGGTGATGTTCAGCTTGCCATTACAGTCGTGGTGGTGGGACTTGAAATTTTGGTTAAAAGGAAAAGATAGCAACTTCATTGCAAGCTGCTTCACCCAAACAACTTTATACAGAGCTGCTCCCACGTAGTTCTAATTCAAGCTAACACCATAGTGCTCTATGCATGTGTGCATGGCCCTCAGAACCACACACTGACCCCCAATTAAATGAAGCAATAAACATTTAAACAAAGTTGCAACCAGCCACCCACAGTTTAATCCTCCACTGGAATTGTTTAAAAAGTGACAAGGCAATAGAACTTTTCCTGTTACTGCCTCTGCACTGTCCAAAAAAAAATCCTAGAACAAAATACACAATTCCGCTCATTCCGTCAGTGAATATGCTGACTGGACAAGAAAGAAGTAAAGAATTACCCCATGAAGCTCTGAAATTTGATTACTTACAGAACTTTGAGCTCCTTCAACCCAGACAAGGCCTTCGGATGAATAAAAGCGAGGTCATTGCCAGCCAGCCGTCTGGAAAAGATTGCAGTAATAATAATAGGCTACAAAAATACAGCATATTTCTAAGTGTCTAATGCATTAAATCATCAGGACATCAAAACATTCATCAAGCAACCGGCGTGCTCTGCATTCGATTGTACCACATTTCCATTCACTAGCACTCACTCAACTCGTGTGTTTTTAAGTAACCATCGTGCGTGGAGTTCTCAGAGTCTGTGTTTACAAGTAACATTTAAACTACAAGTGTCAAGCCACAACTACCACATTATGAATTGTAGCCTACTACCACATTTCTATTCCACTCTAGATAACGCAGCCTTCAACTATTGGGGCCAAGGATCCACTCTTAAAAGGGTTTTGAGCAGTAGGATAAAGGTGTCCAGCCAAGTTTCTCATGTCAATTCTGCATGGAGGTGGGAAATTTTGTGCCAAACAGGTGCTGCCTATTAAAAAAATAATAATAATGAAGGCAACTCTGCAAAAGTTACAATAGATATGTCAGTCTAATTCTAACAGAAAATTTCAAATCCCTTACTGCAATCTGTTTGTCTTTTTTCTGCATGTTTAGAAGCAACTGCTCTCTCCATACACAGCTCTCTCTGTTTATTTGAAGATTATGCGTTTTTTAAATCTCCGTTCTATAGACCAGCAAATTCCAAACTTTGTAAATATCTACTATAGATCCAGATACTGTTTTAACCATTAAACAAACCAAAGTTCCTCAAGTCTGCACCTCACAATGAACTGTTGTTAGTTGAAAACCCAAAGTGGATCTCCTCCTGACAGGCATAACCAAGGAGGAGCTAAAGGTGCAGCGTAACTAGTATGTGAAGCAGAAAACCTTGGTTTTCCATTCTCTCTGAAAAGAGCTATTGTACATGTATGTAGGTGTATTTATGCCCAAGAAAAAAAAAGGACTCTCCACCACACCCAAGTAACCATCACAGAAACAGCTTTGAGATGGAGTTATCCCATTTATCTTTCATGTGTTCTCTTCAAACATTTATTTAGTAGTAAGTCTGTTGTTATATGGTCCAATTCCTGTCAACTGCTGATGCTTGTAACACTAGATGTTTTATTTAGGAAAGTGATAAGAAAATGCCAAACACCTGGTTATTCCTGGCTGCCAACACGAACAACAGATCATTTTCGGCCAAATTGGTTGCTTCCTTGTTTGCTTTAATGCCTCGGCTAAGATCTGAAGATGCTAGTGCAGATTAAATAATGCCACCGAGAAAAATACAATAGGGATGTTTGTACAAAATAAGTCTTATTGCACTTAGAAATTGAAAACGGTTTTTATATATTCTGTTCCCTACCCATTCCTTTTTGTCTTTGTACGATGCCTATTACATTTTTAGGCTGCTTTAACCTATAAACAGTGTGTAGAAAATTGTAGGTGCTTTTAAAGTGGTAGACCATCACAATCAATGCAAGTTAACTTAGTGATGACTAACTTGTCCCATTGATTTCAATTTGATTAATGCAGAGAGGGCTGGATGAGTGTATACAGAAACTAGCCTACTGCACCAAGCTAACATTTATTTTCATCACTTTATCCACCTTTTCCTCTGGTCCCCCTGACTACCGATATGCGGCCCCTGGAAATTGGCACAGAAAAATGCTGAGATAGATTCCTCACCCCTGCCATTTAATTAATAAATCTGGTTAAACCATAAAGGTTGTTTTTCAATTCATTTGCTTTTCTTTTTAGTTGTTCTTATTATACTGCATACATTGCCTTGATACATATGGGTGCAACCAACAGGGCAGAGCATACACTGAGCTAGAGATAGTGGCAGTCATTGCTAAATCTCTAGATCAGAGCTTTCCAAACTGTGTGTCACGACATGTTAGTGTGTCAGTTGCAGTGTGTAGGTGTGTTACATGAATGCTCCCTTGCATTCCTCCCGGGACTGGAAAGAGGTTAAACCTCCGGTTTGCCAGTAAAACTGAATTACTATGTCACAAAATGATGCGTGTCTAAAAAGTGTGTCACCAACAGGAAAAGTTTGGAAAGCTCTGTTCTAGATGTTTAGTCTTCTGGATATCTGAGAAGTGGATGCTGGAGTCTATGAATTTGAAGTGTATATTTTTCCAGTCAGAGGGGTACTTGCTCTATTTATTAATTTAGAATTCAAAGTTTGTGATACTTTAGAATACTGACTTTTAGCCAAGATATGTGTTTTCTTGTAGAAAAGTTGTAACAAGCATGAAAGCACATGTCAATCAGGATGGAACAGGCTCACACATCATAAACCCTGTGAGTGGTTCCAATCCACTGAATTTCTGGGGAGAAAAGGCCTGTCAACTGTGCGGATGGGGGTGTTTCTCCTTCTTTCCTTTGATTGGTGATAACCAATGTGGTGTCCTCCTGGTGTTGTTGGACTACAACTCCCAGCATCCCTGGCGACTGCCCATGCTTGCTGGAACAGCTATGAGTTACAGTTCTAAAGATCTTAGAAGGCCGCTCCACAGTAATTTGGAGCAGTGCTTTTTATGTGGCTGTCCCTGTTCTGTGGGAAAGCATTCCTGTCAAGATATGACAGGTGCCCACATCCTGCATTTTCTGGAAACAATTTAAAGCATTTTTGTCCCAACAAGCTTTCTGAGCTGGATAAATAGGTATCTGCTATACGTGTCTACTTTGTATTGTTTTAAAGTTTATCTGTGTTGTCTTTAACTGTTTTAAAAGTTGCTTTTATTTTACATTTTACATCGCCTTGAGTTGGGTGTGGAAAGCAATTAAAAATAATTCCAAGTAATTCCTTTACAGTGGAACCTCAGGTTACAAACACCTTGGGTTACAGACTCCGCTAACCCGGAAGTGGTACCTCGGGTTAAGAACTTTATCTCAGGATGAGAACAGAAATCACGTAGTGGTGGCGCAGCAGCAGTGGGAGGCCCCATTAGCTAAAGTGGTACCTCAGGTTAAGAACAGTTTCAGGTTAGGAATGGACCTCCAGAACAAATTAAGTTTGTAACCAGAGGTACCACTGTATTCATCTTTTACCATGCACCATAGCTGGGTCCACACTTGAGATGAACAGACCACAAGAAGCATATGCAAAAGTCAAGCAAGTATATTATAACATAGTAAACTTGTTTGTAATACAATACTATTACGAGGAAAGATGTGAAATGATGCTTGGGCAGTTATTTACTTTATGATATAACAGTTACTTTGAAGATAAGGCTGCTTGCTTGCTCTAATTCTTTTTCCTAATCTAAACCAACAGGCATTTGCTCTTTTCCTTCTCCTTAACTCACAGGCTGCACAGACAACTTCACCTTAAGTCTTCATTTTGTCAGGATTCTCTTTACCCCAATTAATTTACATTCTTCATCTAGGTTTTATCTGAAGTTTTGTTTCTGATCAGGGACTCATTACTTTTGTGAAGACAATCACCACCAACTGACAATCCGGATTCAGCTGTCTTGGAAAACTGCAGGTAAAGCCTCTCTTCCTAGCTTTAGCCTTCAGTGATTTTAACTTGGTTGTCTTTGCACCTTCCTGTTGAACAGCTGCCTGGTGCCAGAATACTCTCTCAGATCTCAGAAGCACACTTACTACCTTTTCAGCCCCCAGCTGCAGACTCTTCTGAGCAGGGGCAGCCCATCTAGTTTCGCCACCGAAGGTGAAACAGCAGTGGCGGTGGGCAGATGCCCATGGAGGTGCTCCTTGGATTCTGCTGCCTATGGTGGCTGCCTCAGTCTGCCTCATGAATGGGCCGGCCCTGCTCATGAGCCTTGACAACACTGACAACACTGTTCAACGTGCTGTGACTGCCGTATTATTCTATTCCCTCAGAACCATCTAATCTTAAGGAATTTCAGCATCTCACTGGACTCTATCGGAAGACCAATGAATTTAAATAGGAAGTCCCACTAAGGGACCTATGACAGATTGCTCTTTTTGGATTCTACTGATCCATACAAAAACTGAATTCTACTGCAAAATGTCATAATGGTGGAAGTTGTACAGTTAACTCTTTAATAAATGTGTCAGCCTAGCTGCTTCCTGGAAGATGACCAACTGAAGAACCCCCTATACACTGTAAATCACAGGCTTAGGTTAGAAGTAAACTGCTTGCCACACACACCAAACACTTTAAATAAAACATTTTCACATTTGAAATTCCCTCAGTGTTACAGTTTCCCTACAGAGGCACACTGCCTCTGATACTAAAGCCATCATGGCTAGAAATCATCATCAGAAAGTTTATGGTTATTTTGCACATTCTGTGGCACAAATTCTACATTTCAGGGAATTTTAAAGACTTTCTGCCCTCAGGTCCCACTTGAAAGGACAGAAAGTTACTGAGGCCCAGTATTCACAAAAGGGTGGTGTAAGGATGGAGCCAGACACAAAATGGAAAGCAATTAATGTCATCATTTTAACCCCTCCTTAAAAAATGGCTGAATTCTACACCACAATTATTTCCTTGTGGTAAGGAGTGCCATAGTTCCTCAAGTTAAGTACAGACTTTGGCTCTCTGAGTGAGACTCAGCCTCCCCATTTTAGGCAGAATTTGCCACGTCCAGAGAGTCTAAGCAGAAGTAGAGAAGACTTTTTATTTCATATTCCCCTCTCCATGCTTCTTAGTTCTCACCTGTCATCTCTTATCTCCTACTGTATTTGTTTGCACAGTGCCTAGATAAACACAAGAGGCAGTAATAGTCACCAACTTGGATGGTTTTAAAAGAGGACTAGACAAATTCATGGAGATAGAGGCCCTGCTCCAACACCACCTTTGTAGCTTAGCTTAGTAGCACCAAGGTCCTGTCCTATTCCTCGTTCCCTCTGCTGCCGCCATCCACTCATGTGTTACTGAGGGCAATGGGCACAGGACTCCCACTGCCTTACAGTGGTCTCCTTGGAAGTAGGGAAACAGCCAGCTAAATTGAAAGTCTCCTGCTTAGCAACTTCAACCCATCTCCTCTCCTTCCTCTCCCAGGCATCTCAACTACTAAGATGCTCTAGCAGTCTAAGCCACATGGGAGGACAACTAGCCCATGAGTGTGTTCAGAAACCAGTACAGCCCAGAGATCCAATTCAGCAGTGTATTCAAAAGAAACATATGTAATAAGGAAGAGGGGGAGAAATAGCAAGCTTCATTTGTTCCAGTATTATGACATGAGAGGGGAGGAAAGCAAACATCTATCTTTTTATCCACTTCCTCCACACCATGCCTGATTTTATAAACCTCTATCAAGCTCCCTTATACCTTATTTTACAAAAAGGTTACTACATTTTATTCATTATGCTGACTGAATGAAATAGTTGTCATACAAAGAAGCAGTTTTAGCCTGCCTTCAAATAGCTGGCAAAATATGTAAACTGAATCCCTTACCTGCTCAGATCTTTATTAACTGCTATAATGCTAGAACAGCAGACATCCTCTGAGCAAAGTGCAGCCTGATCCTATACTTGCATACTTGGGAATTAAATCTCCCTGTGCTTAGCAGGGGTCACTTCCAGGTGAGTGTGTATAGCATTATACCCTTATATTCTCTGCTGATTGGTTAGAATTCATATGAATAAAACCCTCTCACTTTTCCCCATATGAATTTTGTTTTTGTTTTTTTGTAATTTGGTGTGCATGATATTTTATTGGACAGTCACTTCTGCATGTCTTAAACATTCAACACTCAAACTAAGCACATCTGCCTTGTCTGGCTGATGATATCTATTAAGATATTAGTGAGTTGAATTACACTAATCATCACTGTAAAATTACATTACCACTATTTCCAGCATTTTAGAAAGAACTCAATGATCAAGCCCCCCCCCATCTTAAAAATGTTCGTAATCCAACACACAAATAAACCTATTTGCCATCATTTGCTGGAAAATTAATTGGCACAAGTTGTTTTAATATCTGAATATGGAAATCACAACACATGAATCAAAACTGTCACACACCACCATAACGAAGTAGATTTTGGCTAAAGTGTTGATATAGAACACTAACTGCATAAAATCAGAGTTTAAATGTATTTCTATTTAACAAAAGTTATTTTTATTATATTAATATATTATTAAAATGTATTCCTAAGGGGCTACAGACATTATTGCCAGAATAAAAAAGAACAAAGAATGCCATATTCTGCACTCCAAATAGCATTGGGGGAGGAGGTAAATACCAGTATGGTTTTCTTAATTTGCATAATTATACAGAAGTAGGAGCAACTATATAGTTGAAGCAGCACTCTTTTCAGTCTTTAATTTGGGTTTTTCAAAACAGTAGTCTTCCATGCGACATAGCAAGCCAATTCTGAAACTGGGAGAACCTTCCAAAAGCAGCTTGTGATATAGCATGGTAGGCTGCTGTCTAAGTGAGAAAAAAGTAAAACATTCTACTATGCATTCCCTTGGACACACCTCAAATAATTCGTTGGATACTATCTACAAATACCAAGGAAGAACTATGTAATATGAATCACCAGAATAAGAGAGTAGTTCTGCGATCCATCTGAACAATATCATCAACTAAACCAAGGTAAGACTACCTAAACACACACACACACGAGAGAGAGAGAGAGAGAGAGAGAGAGAGAGAGAGAGAGAACATGAACGACAGTAGTGTTTATTAAAAAATGTGATTTCTTTCTCCTCTTACTTGCCTAAAAAGTTTCAATGTGAACATGAAGACCAGAGACAACTATTGGTAGCAGCACAAAACTGATTTCCCCTGCTAAGGGAAAGACAACATTTTTCCTGAAGCAGATCAACCAACATATTCACACCAAGCAGAAGACACATTTCATATTACACAATGTTACAAAGCATAACTTTGGTTGCACCATGTATATTCTCATCACTGTTGACTACCTAAACTCTTGCTAGGGTTGAGGACAGCAAGTAGAGTTTCATTTTATTCCTTACTTGTACTCCTTCATGTATTTATTCTTACTCTGTTGATTTCCTCCTGGGCCTCTACCAAAGATATTGACAGGTGTGCTCCAGACCTATGTGCCTCTCTCTAGTGAGTCAGTCAACTGCCTTAACCCAAGCTTGCAAGAACCTGTGTGACATCAGAAGGTCCAATACAACCTCAAGATATCTTATGGCTAGACATTTCTGATAAGGCAGGGCTTGGAAATCTGTAGCATACAGTTGATTCTACCTAAGGATACAGAATATGAACTGAGGCCCACAGCACTCCAACACATCACACCCCTTGCCTGATGAAAGCTACCAAGTAAAGCCAAAGTTCAGAAGGAAGGGTAACCTTCACATTCAGAAGCCTGTTTTTTATAAGTAGGGTTGTTTCAACTGTGGGAAGCATTCATACCTTCTACCTCCATTTCCAGTCAAAAGAGAAAAGAGCAGTTAGAATGACATCCACAAGACAAGTCAAACTTCCAAGCTCAGAAATACAACATGACGACTTCTTTTTTGTATGCTATTCTAATTGCTTGTTTCTTCTGATCAGTTACACACACACACACACACACACACACACGTGTCCTATTTACTCAACTGATTTGCAGTGCAGAACAATTCAAAACTGCTTCGTTCATAGCAGAAAATGAAAATGCCACACACAGGTGATATGTCTTTAGAGTCACACAAAGGGCTCCGTGCTTCATTTCCTTCTATTTCAACAGATTACCAACCTCCTGGGAGTCCCTTTCTCTGCACCGGATAACATGGTGACCTCTTGCTAGAACATATGGATGAAATGGCCCTCCTCCATAGCTATTATAAGCACCCATGAGCTCTGCAGCTGTACAAATATCATGCCTGAAGTTCAAGGAAAGTTTGAAAACCACATTTACTACAGCTGACATTTAAGTGGATTGACTGTACATTTTTGCCATAGAGAAACAATTAATATTTTCTACCCTAAAGTAGAATGACTGACCAATCTCCTCAAAGATTAAACGAAAGATTAAAGGGATAGTCTTGGCACTTTATTGACTTAGGCTATTTATAGGACTATAACAAAAGGTGCTCTGGGTGGCTTGCTTGACAACCATATTAGTGATGCTCCAGCAGCAGAAGCAGAACCACTTCGTGACTTTTCTGACAGTTAGCGAAGCTCAAGTTCAGGGCAAATCTGCTCAACTATGTGAAACAAGCAGAAGACGCATGCGAACTGAAAAAAGCATAATTGTGAATGGCTCAAAACAAACCCAATATTATGACAACATGCTAAGAAGTGTTGAAATTGAGGAAAACCTAGATTGTTGAGCTAAAACCTACATAACTTGAACTATTCATAAGCCCATATGCTCTGAAAGGTCCACTGGAAAAATGAATTTATTTCATTGCAACACATAAAAAGTGGTTATGAAATCAATCTTAAGCAAGTTAACTAAAAACCTTAATGCTGATAGTGGAGACAAACAGTGGAATTCAACATCCCATGGTGAACATCACATTAACACAAGCACTGTAGCTTCCAGATGGAACACTCCCTCTCTTCTCCCCTGCACAGTTCTGGAGGTTCTGTGTTCCCCAAGACAAGGTCAGGGGGTGCAAAGTAGGGGTACAGCCAAGGGGTGCAGCTGCCCCCTAAATCAATTTTAAAAATACAAATCTGAGGCTCTGCCCCTCTCCTAACAAAAATCCTGAGCAAGTTCCATTGTGCAAGCACAAGTCCTCAGGCAGGGCACTGATTAGGGCTGCCATATGTCCAGACACAGCCAGGATTCAGCAGTTGGAAACAGTGTCTGGGCAGAAATCACTAAAATGCCTAGGAAAATCCAGATGTATGGCAACCCATGTCTGAAGTGTAGATTTTGGTGAATTTTCTTAAAAATAGCTCAAAAACTTCCTTTTATTTTTTTTGAGATCTTGCAAAAAAGAAAGCGCACAACAACTTTGGGCCAAACTGAAAAAAGCTCAGTAACTTCCAAAACACAGTAACATAAAAATAAAGCAAGAAACAAGGCAAACACAATACTGTTCAACATCAACACATATTATTATTATTATTATTATTATTATTAACTAATGAGAAGTGGGTGCTAAATACCAGCCTAGTGTCAGTCGGCATAACCCCTCTGGGAAGGCACATTCCACCCATGACGCATCAACACAATTCTAGGGAGTAGCTTCTCATACAGTTTCAACCACAAAGGGGTTGGAGAGTCATTTTTAAAAAAGAGATAGGCATAAAGAGGTCTGGTTCAGACATAACTCTAAGCCAAAGCTCAGTATGATGGAAACAACAATCACAGGTAGCAAGTAGGTGCACACACCCCTACCGGTTTTTGTGAGCTGCTCTGTGCTTTTAACTAAATGAATTTAGGATTGAGGGACACTGGTTTGCTGTTAATTTATTCCACAAATCTGTATTATTTTTTTTCAAATAAAAAATCCAATAAAAAAAATTAAGGGGGAAGGTAGGACTTAGGGGTTACATTAAGACTTAAATCACATTGGAGCCTAATATAGCCAATATTTTAGTATTGTTAATGGAACACGGTGCTTTGGATATGATGCTGTCATTTACTGTGCTAGCCTGTGAGTTACACAGAACTCAAAATATTGGCAGCATAAATTATTTTTATGAAAAAGAAGGAATCTTGGAGCAAGACTGCATCACAGAAGCTGACCTCACAGTTACACCACCACCCTACCTTTTGTATTTATTTATTTTAAAATTTTCCTCACCTCTTACACAGTTTGTATAGCATCTTACCTAAATAAGTAGTTCTGGAGAACTCGAAAGCTTGCAACGCTTATGTGGCATAATAAAGGTACTGTCCAACTGGATTTCAGGGTGTTTTCCAATGGGCCAACAAAGCTACATTTGTTTTTAAAATACCTATTTTTAGTGAAACACAGCAACCTGTGCAGAAATATAAATTCCTTTGTAAGGAAGGCTGGTAAATTGCAGGCAAACACTCACAAGAATTTTATTTTTTGTATCATATGCAGGGCTGTTGCATATTCATATTAAGGTACGTAGGTGCCACTGTGGTCTAAACCACTGAGCCTCTTGGGCTTGCTGATTGGAGGGTTGTCAGTTAAAATTGGTGTGGTGGTGCTGAGCTCCTGCTGCTCTGTCCCAGCTTCTGCCAACCTAGCAGTTCGAAAGCATACCAGTGCAAGTAGATAAATAGGTACAGCTGCGGCAGGAAGGTAAATGGCATTTCTGTATGCTCTGGCACTTGTCACGGTCCTCCGTGCACCAGTAGTGGTTTAGTCATGCTGGCCACATGACCCAGAAAGCTGTCTGTGGACAAACGCTGGCTCCCTCAGCCTGAAAAGTGAGATGAGCGCCACATACCACAGTCATCTTTGACTGGACTATACCATCCAGGGGTCCTTTACTTTTACCTTATATTCATATTACGTTTGTTTAAAGAGCACACCTCATTAAATGACCTGGCAAAGCCCTTGGTGATCAGCTGTTCTTTATAGACTCTGATCAATTCTGTCATTTGTAAATTACTTTTACACAAGTATCTGTTATAGAGAAAGACAAGAGAATTTCAACTATATTCCTAAGTATTGTAAGATTCCTATGGAGATGGCGTAGAAAATTAAAACTTGTTAAGTGCAAAACAGAGCAGTGAATAATACAAATCCATGCCCTGCTTTTCATCTGTGTATAAACTGAGACACTCATATTTATGGCTGCCCTTGTGATAATTAGAAGTCACCATCATGTAAACAACAAACTTTGCAAACGGCCATGGGGGAGGAGGGGAGATTAAACAAGCTAATTATAGTAACCTGGCATGGAGAGGCCAAAATGAACCATAGAAAACAAAGGCATATATATTAGAATGTGAAGCATGCCTGCTTTAGTTTGTGGCATACTAAAAGGCTCCTGTGTGACACAACAGAAGCAAAATGATGCTTACCAAGTCAGGTAGCATGAAACACCTGGACACAGTTTAATACAGTGGTGCCCCGCAAGACGAATGCCTCACAAGACGGAAAACCCGCTAGACGAAAGGGTTTTCTGTTTTTCGATGCGCTTCGCAGGACGAATTTCCCTATGGGCTTGCTTCGCAAGACGAAAATGTCTTGCGAGTCTTGAGATTTTTTTTCGCTTCCCCCCCCTTTTTCTAAGCCGCTAAGCTGCTAATAGCCTTTTAGCAGCTAAGCCGCTAAGCCTTTAATAGCTGCTAAACCGCTAATAGCGCTAATCCGCTAAGCCGCCAATAGGGTTGCTTCGCAAGACGAAAAAACCGCTAGACGAAGAGACTCGCGGAACGGATTAATTTTGTCTTGCGAGGCACCACTGTACAGATCCCTTCTGTCTCATCTATCTTAATTCAGCTTTGGACATTAATTTTCTTTTTGGATGTTGGGTTTTTTAAATGAATATGCATAACTTAAAATTGATTCCCAAAACTGCCCTTTCTAATGAAGGTGCCAGTCCCCCACCCTTTTGTTTCTCCCCCCTTTTTAAAAAAAACCTTCTCCTCCTGCCTAGTTAAGAAATCCCTTTCTTGTAACAGACTCCAATCTCCTTCAGTGGAAAGTGAAGCAGGTAGGAATTTCATCTTAACTACCAATACACACCTGAGAGGAATTTTTTTATTTATTTTTATGTATGATTTTCAATTTTATACACTTCAATAATTTTACAATCATTTTAACATTTCTAAACTTGACTTCCTTCCCCCTTTCTGCAGTTCATTGAATTTATTTTTTACATTTTCTGCATATTCCAAATTAACTTAATCATTTATTCATCTACCACCTGAAAGGTCTTAGCAGCCTTCTCCTGCAAATTCACATACTTCATTTTCTTCCTTCTGATTAGGATACTGAGTCCTCTGTCCCATCAACTCCCTTCTCCTATAACTCATTTTTAAAGTAAGCAGTTTAGAGATGAGCTTTCTGTGTGCCATCTGTCTCCAGCTTTGACTGAAGCTGGTCAGGATCAGGCTCCATGATCCCTTTTCACCAATGGAGAACAATCCCCAGTTGGTAAGCAGCAGGGTGCAATGGAGCTGCCACTGTCTACACCACCACCCTGTAATTCATGCAGGTCAAGACAGAGGCAGGCAAAAGCCTGCTCTGGGCTATACCAGTCTAAGAGTTGCCATCACAAGGGGCTGGCTCAGGATCCATTGAATTGCAGATCAGATAATCCCTTCCCCTAGAACATCCAATTTGTGGGCTTTCTGAAGGCTTCCCACCGGTAATACTTCTGTCCACTTTCAGTGGTAGAACAGGGATGTCTGTGCTGGTGTCACTCAACAGAGGAGGCTGGTGAACCTGTTCCAAGTTGGGTGAAAGGAAACCACTGTACCACCCTAGCATGTAGGATTGGGTTTTTGGATTGCATCCCAAGTCTATTAACTGGGGGGGGGCAGGAAGCATTGGCTTACATTCCTTTTATGAAAGTGTTCTCTACTTATTTTTAACACCACCAGGGAACTGAAAGGCCTAGAGCCTTTTGAATTCAGTTGTAGTAAGATTTGCAATGCCCAGTAGCATTTGTTTTCATGCATTTTGTTTTGTGAATGAGACCTAAATTTATCCAGCAGTGTAAGCAAACACACTAAAATGACCATGCAGCCATTTCAACGTATCATAGGACTAGATGTTGCAACTCAACAAATTGTAACTCTTTGCCGTAATAAATGCATCCTATTTTCATTACAGTTAGCAGAGGGTGTTTCAGGTTTGCCTGCTAATCCAAGTCAGAAAACTAGAGCACATGGAATCAAAAAAAGGTCAACAAAATATGTAGTTGAAGTATGTCTGCTATTTTGTGCTGCTTTCCTTGAGGCTCTTGTTCGTGGGTGGAACCTTTTTGTATCAGAGAGTTTGGACGAAGTAGGCTGGTGAGTTTTTTAGTTTCTGTGCTTCTGGGGATTTCAGATTCTTCCCTCCCAATTCCCACGCTGGAAAAATACTACTCACTGGGAAGAAAATAGCTGTTGTCACAGAAGACTTAAGAGGACCAGTGAAGAAGCCTGCTAAGAACTTCCTTGCTTTTTTCCTAAGAAGTAGAAAATATTAGCAGGAAATTCCTGACTCCACCCAGACCCAGTTAAGTGCAATGCCACCCACTGACTATTTACACATCTCCCCCACCACTCCTAAAAAAACACACCAAATAAACATGCAGCAACAACACTTAAAGAAATCAGCACTGTTGAAACATCTGGTAGTTGAAGCAGTGGCATTGTGCAGCAAAAACAGGAATGGGGAGCACGGAACTTTTTTTTCTGAGGAGAAATTATGACATGTGTCAAAGCACTAGGGTAACTAACTAACAGACACTCCTTGATCTGGCAAGTGACTGAGGTGATAATGACACTTTCAAGTTTTGCTATTGAGACAGGTCAGCAAATAGGAAGTCAGAGAAGGAGGAAATAACCAAGCAGAGGCTAGGCACTTCTTCCTTTGATGGGTTCCCTACTTCATGTTAGCAGTTTAAATGGCAACATTTCTTTGAAATATTTTTAAAGGCTAAAGGATGCATTTCAGCTACCTGAAAACCTTTTGCTAAAGGTCACATTGTGTTTTACTAATTGAACCTGCAGTCAGAAGAAAGGATCACCAAATGCAATAAGAGTTTGCACCTAGGAAACTATGCTTAAGACTGCAGTCATAGCAAGACAAACCATGAGCTGTAAACTCAAGGAACAAACCTTGGATACACCCATTGCTTGTTTGTAGCAAGACAAATCACAAGCCTGGATTTGGACAGCACACTAAGCCAGGGTCACTCTTATACCACTTTGACTGTCATGGCTTTCCCCAAAGAACCCTGGGAACCTATTAGGGTGCTGAGAGTTGTTAAGAGCCCTCATAGAACTATAATTCCTAGCCCCCTTAACAAACTACAGTTTACAATATTTTTGGTGGGAGCCATGAGTGCTACAGTAGTACAAGAGCGATTTAAATGTATGATGTGGCTATGACCCATGTATTAGTTCACAGCAGTACAACAACCATAATCTCCTCTCCAGGAACCCACACGTTTGCGCTAAGCCGTAGTTTAGCTTCGCTTTATGTGTGAACCAGGTCACGGTGACATTATTCACACATTTGTATACTTGGATACAGAGTATGAGTATGTTTCTTTTCTCTTGTATAGCTTTTCGAGCTTGATAATGTGCATGATGAAAAAGACACACCTTAAATTCTTTTCATTTTTGTAGCAAGGGAACAGAAATATGTTAAAATGTTGCACCAGAAAGGCAAGTAATAAATTAAATCAGGATTTCTCAGTCCCATAATAAAATGGAAAACTTTTCTATGCTTTTTCTTCTTCTTCTTCCTAAGCACTATCATTACAGTTTGCAATAAAGATACTTTGGGTATTGTGCAATGGAGTTCCAAGTATATAGTGGCTAAAGGTTCTGCCTTTCGGCTCCTCATCTCAAGACACACCCCAAGTTTACAGAAGTTACATAAAGACTGAAACACCCACATAGTTTGGTTTTATTGCTTTGTACTTATAGGCAGAGTTGGGGGTGGGGAGAGATGAATGCAAATCATTCAAAGAGTTGCTTATTTATTTTAAACATATAGAAACACCTGAGGAGATGGACATACTATACCAACATACTATACAGCAAATATTTATATAGAAATATTTATATATAAAATAAAACAGGCAACACAGTTTTCAATCTATTATATAAAGCACCTGGTATAACCTGCCTCCTTTAATATTAATAAATGTCTATTATTTATTAACTTAGCAATTATATAGTGCTGTTAGGATGTTTGAAGTGTTCTACATATTATTAATTTTTTTCACGGTATGTTGCAACACTCTGCAAGGAGTATCATCTCCTCTATATTATGGGACAGGGACTAGGACTGAAGACAATGGCTTGTCTATGGCCACCCACCTTGCGAATCATTGCCAAAGCAATGTTTGCATCAAGGATCTCCCTGCTCACATTCTCACATAGCCAATTACCACCCTTGTGCATTTTATTTTGAGGCTGTTTGCAATTAAACAGTAGCAGCTACGACCAATATTTAAGATTTTTGCATTAAATGGCATTATTCTGAATCAAGTTGTAGTGCTATTAATATTCTATAAACTTGCATGCAACTGTTCTACTGGGTCATATTTGAGCAATCGTTTAAAACAGGGTAGGTAAACTTTGGACCTCCAGATGGAGAACTCGAGAAGTTGCTGGACTCCATCTCCCATCAGCCCCAGCCAGCAAGCCCAACAATGACTGAAGGGGCACAAGCTAACCACATCTGTCTGAAAAAGAATATAGGCACTACCCTAATCCCTGAGAGATTACCAAGCTATTCGTTGAGGGTTTTGAACTTAAATTTGTCTTTAAAAAGAAAAAGAAAAAAGCACTCTCAGTATGCTTTGAGTGTGCCACACCACTGTTGAGGAATTATTAAAAAGGGAGCTGTATTTTAATGGAGTGAAAGAAGATACAATATGTCACAGGGTTTTCTACTTTAAGCATTTTTTTCTTGCTACTTCATTGCCTGTTCTGTCCACGTTCATGTCCACGTTCTCAAACCCCTTCTCATTTATGTTCGGTTGGGGCCATGAGTGAAGAATACACTTTCACATGAAACATTTAAGGAAATGGGATGCATTTAATGAACACATCTGGTTGTTTCTCACAAAGTCTCACTTTCTCAACACTTCCCAACCTTTACACACCACACACACACACACACACACGCGCGCACAGTACTTGTCCCAACCTAGGCTGATGGGAACCACAGTAACTATAGCACATTTTATAAAAGCTATGCAATCAGTCTAGCATAGCTCCATTTAAAACAGTGGTAATTGCACAGTCCCTGTGTTATCTTTGGATAGCACTGTAATTAAGCCTATGTCATCACTGCAATCACAATTAAAATAATTACTATAAAAAAGGTTCCATGTAAATAGCATCCTGGCTTTGAAGCACATATAGGATTTTTTAAAACTATTAAGTACAATGCCTTCTTTGTTCCCAGTTGATTCACATATCACTATTTACTTTTACATGCATTTCTCATGCAACATTTACTCACTCCCCATGCCACAAAAGCAAGTCAGATTCAATACTCACAACTCTTCAAGGTAAGGAAAATTCTTGAATGCATCTTCTGGTAACCTTGTTATATTGTTCATACTGATATCCCTAGAAAAAACAGGAGAAGAAAAAGCATTGCTGTGTGAACAAAATGTGCCAATTAAGTAGTGTTTCTAGAACACAAATCGAATTAAGTCTACTGTGAGAATAAAAAGGTCACATGGGGAAAAGAAATGAAAGCTAAATGTTTCAAAACTTGATAGTGTGAAAATTGTTTCAAGAGAGAATCTAGTATATTACACAAAATCAATTTTTTCCTATTAAATATTTAAACCTGTATTAAAGGTCATGCCTGTATTAAAATTCATGCTGCAGATATATATACCAATAGCCAAACTCATTCTCCATGTACAGTGGTACCTCTGGTTACGATCCTAATTCATTCCGGAGGTCTGTTCTTAACCTGAAACCATTCTTAACCTGAGGTACCACTTTAGCTAATGGGGCCTCCCGCTGCCACCGCGCCGCCAGAACACGATTTCTGTTGTCATCCTGAAGTAAAGTTCTTAACCCGAGGTACTACTTCCGGGTTAGCGGAGTCTGTAACCCAAAGTGTTTGTAACCCGAGGTACCACTGTACCAGTGTTTATAAAGATAAGACAGCAGCAGGAATGTATCAGCAGGCTTGGGGGAGCCCGAAAACACCAAACAGAACCACCTAATAAGAGCTGAGCATGCTCAGTGGGCATGGAATATTGGGGAGGTGGGGGGAAACTGAGGGGTAACCGAATGGAGTATCCTGAAAAAGGGCATGGCATAGCTGACACAATGAAAAGGTGCTTTCAAACCTCAGCACTCAGCACACCCATAACAGAAAACAAGCTGGTTCCCACTATCATATGGGAACAGGCTAGAGTCAGTGTGGTGTGGAAAGACAAGTGTGGTGTAGTGGTTCAAATGCTGGAGTAGGACCTGTGAGACCAGGGTTCAAATCCTCACTTAGCCAATAAGCTCACTGGATGACCTTGGGCCAGTCACCATCTCTTACAGATCACAGGTGGATTTGAGAGGGGAAAATACGAAGAGAACCATGTACCCGAGCTCCTCCGAGGAAAGGTAGATATAAACGTAGTATATAAATACATGGAGAAGATAATTGGAGCCCAAACATTTCACTCATCCTTGGGTAACTTGTTTGTCTGTATCTTCCTGCCAAGTGGCAAACATCATCAGATGCAGAAGTGGGGTAAAAATGTGTGGTTAAATGCATCCTTTATTTCTTAAATGGGTACCCAAGATGGTTGCCTATATGGACTCTCTGTCCCTTCACAGAACTACAACACCCTTTGTATTCTTTGGGCAGTAGTCACAACAAGTGTGCACATAAACTCTATGCATTCTATTAAAGCTACTCTTGTACTACTAGCAGTAGTAAAAAAATAAAAAATTCAAATGTGACCACCCAGCATTCAAGCATACTGTCTGCTTGAGAGAGAGAAAAGCACAACTATCAATGAATGCATTCAGACCTGATAAAATAAAACCCCTCCGGCAAATGAGGCTTCTGGGACAGCTGACAAGAATAGCAGGAACATGCCTCAGCTCTACCACAGTCATACGTTCCTGCAAAACCTATAAAAAAAGTCCTCAAGGTAATAGTTTTAAGCAGATTTCAATTTCAGCCCATGAACAAATGCAGGCAAGTGCTTACATGATAGGTATGCTGAGCAATTTGTTTGTTTCCTCTTACAGCTTGCTGAAAGCACAACTCTGCAGAGTATTTTTCTTTATACAGAACCATTACCTGCTCTATCAGAGGTCTGGTTAGAGCAGCTGAAGTGGAGAAGACAAAAGAAAAAGGATGATGACCCAGAGCATTTCAAAAATATTTACTTTTGGATATGAAATGTTTCTCAAAAACCATGCACTTGCTTTGCTTCAGTCTTAAAAAAGAGAACATGCTAAGTTTGGCTAGAATCAAATCCACTTAAAGTTATTTCTATTTTATTTTTTAAAATTCTTATCTACTCTCATCTGCTCACTTCTTAACCTATACCTCTATTGCACTTTCTCCTTTCGCATTACTATGGTGGATGTGTATATTGTACAAGAGTTTTTATAGGGTGGTACAAAACAAAATTATTGTTGTGAAGAATGGAGTTTGAATTGGCCATGGCAGTGTCATCTTTACTACCAGAATTCAGTTTTCTTACTTTAGGACGGTTTTGTTTTAACTAGTTGTCACAGAAGCAGTGGTATTTATTATAAAATCCAAAGGAATAAACAATTTCCCCCCAAAAAATCTCTAGTTACATACACAGAATCAAATTATCTAGCTCCCTGGTTCAAACAAACACATACCATCTGCCATATTACTGCCAGTTTCATACTTTAGATATAAAGGTATTAAAGTTGTCTGATAGAATTTGACATATCAGCAAACAGAATAAGTTGTCTGGTGCTCATCAGCCAGAAGAGACATTTATTTTGGCTTTTGTAACACTATGTTTAGAGTGCATCTAGAGTTCCAAAGGAGTTTATTCAGAAAAGAATGGAAGATACTTTGCCAAATATTGCAAATAACTTCTGAACAGCAAACAAGAAAGTATCTGAAGTGGCAGGTTTGGCCCTGATTTTCAACAAATAAATGAGCAGCTGGAGAGCTCACTGGGTTTACAAATTGGATTGTTTGGGCTAACTTTGATTGGGACTGGCTGGACACCAAGATTCTAGCGTGGGTGCAGAACGAGAAAGGCAACCGAAAGAAACGACAGAGAAAGGAGAGAGGAGGAAGACACATTACCTTACTTGCCTTACCTATCCTTATAACGTTTGGGAATTTTATGTCACAGCCATAAAGCCAGAGTCATATTTTACTTTTGAAAATTTGGTACAAAAAGCACCAGAGCCTCAAAGGCAAAACACATGCAGGGCATCATCAGTTGTGAGGGATGCACAATTTTTATTGTAGGGATGCCTAACCTCATATAAAGCAGTGCCAAAATCCGTCCTGATCACCACAGTCCGCCTTGCACACATGACTTTTATACTTCTATTATAGGAGCTGCAATCCTCTGTAATGTTATATAAACTGATCCTTCCTCATGTCAGAATGACCAATTAATAAGCTTATAGCAACTTCATCGTTTACTTAATGGTCTCAGGCAACAACCAGTTTCAATCAATTTTTTTAAAAGGTAACCAGTTCCTTGACAAGCTGTACTCTTAGCATATTTACGACACACTTAACCCATTAAGTAAAGGTCCATGAGGGATAGCTCAGTTGGTAGAGCATGAGACTCTAAATCTCAGGGTTGTGGGTTTGAGCCCCACTGTGGGCAAAAGATTCCTGCATTGCAGGGGGTTGCACTGGACGATCCTTGTTGTCTCATTCACCTCTACAATTCTATGGTTCTAAGTGCAACTAAAGCCACAACTCAGCTCTTCCCTCCAAGTGCCATGAACACACAATTTCACTCACCAGGCTGCATTGCTTCCTCAAGTAGATGGTTCCATAAACCCTTTGTAGTCTATGTCTAACTCACACAGGAGACTGGAATGCAGTCCCAGTTTGAGTGGAAGAGAAACAGCTTGCTCACAGAAACAGTACAAAACTGCTTAGCAGAATAACTGTAAAAAGGCACTCTATAATTCCACAGAGCAGCAGAAAAAAGTCAAAATTTTAGTGTAATTGAGGGGAACCAACATTTGAAAGTGACATGGTGGAGCTAGTCCATTGGTAAATGGTTGGTGGGCCATACTCGCCATTGAGCAAGTAGTTTGAAATACCATTTTATCACATGGTTCAAGGAAAGCTACTTTGAAAGGATTGGTTTGTGAGATTTAAGGTTCAAATTAATAGGCGACAGTTCACACAACATTGAGTCATGGTAGCAGTTTTAATAGGAATACCTCAGAGGCACGAGAGAAGCTAATACTATTCACTGACCTGATTCTAGGTACCTTGCCTAATGAAATATTCTTCACTCACTCATCTTATAAATCTATTCCCTTAAACACAGACCATAAAAAATCCTAACAATTTTAAATAAATTTCTTGATTGAACAAAATACATTGTTGGCAATAAAAAAGGTAATCAGGAGAGTCTTATCTTTTAAATTACTTGTTTCTTTTATTAAACCAAGTACAATTAACTATATAATCAACCACCTAGAGCAAATGTTAGAACACAGCCTCAAAATTAATTCAGGCTTCCATTAAAGGGTTCCCCAGGGCAACAGTAGAGAGAACAAGAAGCTCTTTTATCAGCATCTGAAAATGGCAGCTGCCTTACTGTGGGAATAAACTAGAATTGATGTGCATAGTAAAATATACAGAGGTTCAAGGCAAGCAACATCATGTGCCTAACATGCTGTTATTCATGTGATGGTCCAACATCAATGAGCCTGAATTGAAACAAAGGCACATCCTGGATCGACCAATGAACAAAATGTCTTCTGGGTTTCTGGGGGTTTTCCTGTTGTTATTCTGTCTCTCACAGCTACCATAAACCTACCATTAAAATTATGGACTGGTCATTTCTTCGTCAGAGGGCAAACGGGCAAAGCAGGGATTCAAATACCCACCCCCACTTTAGCTTACATCAGCCCTGAGGACCCTCTAGTATGGTTCTGAGGATATTCTGCCTTCTCTGTGCTATTTCAAGAAAGAAAGTGAAGCAGGCAGCAGCACCTCTATTTTGTAAGTGGGAGGTGGAGATATGTGTGAATCCTATCTTTGGTCTTGACAGCTAAAGCTGGAACTAACAGTATAGCTGACACTGGTTGGCCTGCCTTACTGCTGAAAGTGCCAGCTGTTACCTTCTGGCTTATACTGAACATGGGAGGGGAAAACTTATCCACAAGTGGGTTGGTGAATCTAATGACAACTGACACTTTGGAAGCAAAATGTCAGAGACACGTTTTCTTTCTAGGGTTCACAAACCAAATACTGGTAGCAACTGCCATCAAATGCAACAAGCACACCAGCAACTGTATCAGGTACAACTTGTTCACACCCTTTTGAGAAGTGCTGTTGCCTGACTTTCTCTAGCTTCCCATCCTACATATTCTCCAACTATAAAGCAGTAGCTGGAGCAAGAGGGTTTATGGGTTGCATTCAAGTGGGAAATAATTTAAATTATCTTGGGATGGTATGAGGTGCAGCAGTGCTGATGCACCCACATCTCATACAACCAAACTCGACACAACAGAAGAACAACCGCAGGAACAGCTATCTTGATCCGACAAATTAAGAGTGCACTTTGGTGGACACTCCCTGAAACTATATGGTTTGGCAAATTATTTGCCTTGCTCCTGATTCTAGGAATGCTGGAAGACTACTTTCTTTTAAGTAATAAGAACTCAGGATATTTCTCACATCTTTCATCCAATAATTTTTGTGGGGGGCTTATCACTGTGTTGTTTAAAAATGCACAAAGGAAGGGGTGGGTAAACTTCAAGTTTAAGGGATCTACTTGTCTTTTCCCTAGAAAACCAAGGGTCCACCAGCTGTATCCAAGTGGCATAGGAAGGGGCTGGGTGGGTGTGTACTAAGAATTAAGGAACAGGACACCTCTTGTGTGTATCTCAGCCTGGGAATTTGTTCTCAGTTCCAGATGTGAGCTCACAGTCCTTTCACACACAAAAACCATTCTTCACTTCCTCTCAAGCTTGCTTAGTTTCAGCAGCCTTATGGGGACGGGGGTGGTGGTGGTTTGCTATCATTAAAGTAGGAGTCAGAAATCCTCAGTGATCTACTGCAAATCAGCCAGAGATCTACCACTATATCCTGACCTCTCTTTTGACTGCACTGAACATCCCACCAAGGAGACTGAAATTAAAGCCAGTCAACCACCCTGGGCAATCACAGATAAGCCTGGTATCAAAGGGTCTTCATTTTTACTTAAAAAACCAGCGTATTTGAGATTAGCAGCTGTATTTAATCTGGTACTTTATGCCTTACTGGTATTATGTCTCCGCATTATTTTAACACCACCTGTCTCTAAACGTTAACTTTAAAACAAAACCAGAAACCTAAAACAGCTACTTATTTTGCAATGGGATAGGAACAGTTGAAAAAGCACAAACATTTATCTGTCTCCTTTATTATGACTGTTCAAAGGGGTTCTATGTTTTCAGCTGTCGTCTTGCAAATGGGAGGCTTAAGTTTCATACTGGAATTCTTTTTCCTAAAATGCAGAAGAGAGCATACAAGATGCCACCAGTTCACATTGTAAACCCGGAAAATCTCCATGAAGGACAACATTTCATAAAGATGTGCAATTAATTATATAACATTGAAAGGAGAAGCTCTGCACAAGCTGAAGTGTTTGCTCACTTTCTCCAGATTGTGTTAAATACTATCTGGCTCTTACTTGCACCCTTTTTTGTTGTTGTTGTTGTTTTGTTTTGTTTTTTTGTTTCAGCGTTTCATAATAAAATCTAACCACCACATAAGATCAGTAGTAAAGCTTGAACAAAGGTCAGTAAGTCCAGGACAACATCACCATAATTTGTAGAGCTTTAAAGATGTTTAAAATCACATGAAGTTCAACATACGTTAAAACATAGTTTCCTCTATGTGAAATATGTAAGAAATTAAGTCTATGTGTAAAGTATGTAGGAAACAAATTCTAAACAAGACAGCAAAACCAGTGTTATTTTCCACAGAATTAATTGAGGGGCAGATCATCTCAACACTTTAGTTCATGTATAACATTCTCTGCTTTCAAGATATGATGTTAGTTTATCAAGGTCGCTGGTATAGCCTATTAATGGATCCCAGGTAAGTAAGGGGCCTGGTTTAAAAAGCAACCCCCCAATCAATAGCATTAGTCCTTTTTAATGAGAAGTTTAAAAACATGGCAAATCATTTCATGGGCTGAAAAGACCAAGGAATGAATGAGGAGTGGAGGCATACTTTCTCTAAATAATAAGTGATAATTTACTTAGATAAGATCAAAAAGCAATACTAACAAATAAGATCGTTACAACTGAAAAATAAATGGTCCTGTCCTACATTCACAAGTAATATGGGATTTGTTATATTGCTCATAAGTGAGCAAGCTTAGCAACACTGAGTTGCAGTTCATTATTTAAAAATATCTAGATCTAGCTTAGAATGTTCAGCAATTACATTTAATTACATGGTGCCAGTATACAACACATGAGCTATGCATGAACACCTGTGGGCTTTTAATCTTTCATAAGAATCATTCTACATGGTACAACACAAGCACCTGTCATTACTTAAGAGTGCTTAAGCAACTGAGCAGTAATAATTACCTACAGTAGGTAGGGAACAGAAACTGAATGTCCACAGAAGGGCATTAGCTGTTCTTCAGGATAATTTCAAAGGTGGGAGGGGGGGTATGTTGCATGTGTTGGGAGAGAATGGATGATGGCATATTTTCCTTCTATCTCTTCTTTAAGCGCTGGTGCTTAGTTTTAAAGGATAACTGGAACATTACTGCCAACTTGTCCACCTGGTTTGGTAGCTTGGTGATGGGTGTCCTCCAATGCTGGAAACAGATATGACATCTCACTTCAGCATTTGGCATTGGATTGGCCCATGAACTTACCTAGGTAAGATAAGGTTACAGTAGGCAAGAATTGCAAATGTTGGCCCTCTAAATTTTTTGATGAATCCCAATCCCATCAGCCCAGCTAATGGTGAAGGATGACAGGAGTTGTGGTTCAATGAGATCTGGAAGGCCACAGGTTCTCCACCCCTGAGGTGAGGGAAAGAAGACACAGCCATAGACATACAACAATAATATGATCAGAAAAGTACATGAAAATATTTATTGCAGCCGGCCTAAGCTTAAATTCCTCGTTACAACTCTGTGACGCTCTCCAACAGAACATGTGCATGTTGAGATACTCTTCAAACAGAACTCTGCTTCCCTCCCACTCACAATTATAGCCATCAGGAGGCTATGCAAATGCCACAGAGGAAAAAGGGAGCATAGGCAGGAGATGGACAATATTTGTGATTAGGACAAATAATGGCTGGCCAATCAAAATTTGTTGAATCCTGACTAACATTTAAAATTTTGTCTAACCTACTCTATTTGAGAAAATTAGCATTTAAAGCCCAAAAAAATGTTCCAGTCCTGCCAAAAATGCTAATCAAAAAGAACAGAATTTCTCTATCAATTTGCTTGTTCTTTCACCCACACATACAGTTTCTAAAACTCAGTATGAGAATTAGAAACACCTGGCTGATCTCGCTTGTAGACTGGCTAGGGATTCCACAGCCCTGAAATGATCCTAGTAAAACAGTTGAAGCAGTGGCCAAGACTGACTTCATTTTATAGACTGAGCACATGCCAAGGATGCTTAATGGAGTTTACCATCCAGAACATGAAGCTGCAGTGGGAAAACTGCTGGAAATGCAAGACTACACAGGGAAAAATGAATTACTCCCACTGCATATGGAGGGAGGGACAAAAATTCCACACTCTGGCTGGAGAACAAGCTGACTCCTGGAATGGGAAATACTGGTGGGGCCACAGTGTGGAACCTTTTTACACATTGTGGAAGGGAAGGATGCATTCCCTTCTTGGAAATCTTCCAGGGGCCACATACTAGTGAAGGGAAGGGCCAGAGGTAGAAGTGGATGGAAAAAGAAACGACAATGTTACCTTTATACAGTAGGCTATAGCTAGTACATATGCTCACCACACCCCTTCTCGATCGCCCATCCATGCAAGTAAGAGGCATTAACAAAGTTCAAGGACACCTTACAGTCAGGCAATAACACTGAAGGTTACAAAACAAGGCTGGTAAGGAGTGTGGCATGGAGAGACTTACAAGGACCAGGGCCACATTCAGTCCCTGGGCCTGAGGTTCCCCATCTAGTGTGTGTGTGTGAGAGAGAGAGAGAGAGCAAGCAATCCAATATTCATAATTTAGATGGTTCAAATAAAAAGGCTGCATGATTAAGTGTGCCCCAGTTTCTGCTCAAGTGCCCAGATGCATTGATAACAACATCTTCAGTAAAATAATGGAACTTTGATAGCCTTCAGTGGAGCTAGCATGAGATAGCCAATTTTTTTACATACTAACGTGAACCAATGCCTTCCTGCTAAAACGTGCCATAAGCAGGAGACTGGAACTGTAAAAAGCACAGAAGTGTCTGTGTAAGTGTGGAAAAAGAAGCCCAAAGCAGCTTCTGTCAGATTTCAGAAAGAATTAAAAAACCCACATAACTTTAAAACTTTTTTAAAAAAACTCTTCAAATTTTAGAAAGTGTCCAAATATTGTGTTCCCCACTTAATCATCTAAATTTATTTCCTGTATGTGTGATCGTTTAAAGAGAAAAAAGGTTTTGCTGATGTTCATCATGTTTCAACAAAGCACCTTTAAACCTCTGCACAGAATTTTCTAAGCAAGCTTAACCTGTTTGCTGCCAGAACACAGAAATTAATACTTCAAGTTTCATTCAGCCATTTTCAAGATCTGGGCCCTCTGCCACAGATTTATTTAATTATAACATTTACAAAATGAATTAGGCAGTTGTCTGCATTTGAATAAAATCCTCTAGTAGGGGGAAAAAAATATTGGACTAACACAGTACCTTGCATATGAAAGACAGGTCTGGACACAAGCTCCTATCTCTGTTATGATGCTAACAAAACTTTACAAAACTTAATGGAGCAAATCTATCTAAGGTGCTTGCCATTTGGGATGAAATTAGGTCAAATATGCCCGTCACACATTAATACAGTTAACAGTTCTGGGCAGAATCTATCCCATGTAAAATTAATGATTTGCACACGGCATCAAATTAATCATTCTAATAACAGGAAACAGCAAACTATGGCAATTTCTTAAAGAAATGGGAGTGCCTGATCATCTCATCTGTCTTCTGAGAAATCTCTATGTGGGACAAGAAGCTACAGTTAGAACTGGATATGGAATAACTGATTGGTTCAAATTTGGGAAAGGACTACAACAAGGTTGTATATTGTGTCCCTATCTAACTTATATGCAGACTTCATCATGCGAAAGGCTGGACTGGGTGAATCCCAAGCCGGAATTAATATTGCCGGAAGAAATATCAACAGCCTCAGGTATGCAGATGACACAACCTTGATGGCAGAAAGTGAGGAGGAATTAAAGAACCTTTTTATGAGGGTGAAAGAGGAGGGCACAAAATATTGTCTGAAGCTCAACATGAAAAAAACTAAGATCATGGCCACTGGCCCCATCACCTCCTGGCAAATAGAAGGGGAAGAAATGGAGGCAGCGAAGAGATTTTACTTTCTTGGGCTCCATGATCACTGTAGATGGTGACAGCAGTCACGAAACTAAAAGATGCCCGCTTCTTGGGAAAAAAGTAATGACAAACCTAGACATCATCTTAAAAAGTAGAGACATTACTTTGCCGACAAAGGTCTGTATAGTTAAAGCTATGGTTTTTTCAGTAGTGATGTATGGAAGTGAGAGCTGGACCATAAAGAAGGCTGATCACCAAAGAATTGATGCTTTTGAATTATGGTGCTGGAGGAGACTCTTGAGAGTCCCATGGACTGCAATAAAATCAAACCTATCCATTCTTAAGGAAATCAGCCCTGAGTGCTCACTGGAAGGACAGGTCCTGAAGCTGAGGCTCCAATACTTTGGCCACATCATGAGAAGAGAAAACTCCCTGGAAAAGACCCTGATGTTGGGAAAGATTGAGGGCACAAGGAGAAGGGGACGACAGAGGATGAGATGGTTGGACAGTGTTCTTGAAGCTATGAACATGAGTTTGACCAAACTGCGGGAGGCAGTGGAAGACAGGAGTGCCTGGTGTGCTCTGGTCCATGGGGTCATGAAGAGTTGGACACGACTAAACGACAACAATAACAGGAAGTGACACATATCACCAACTGTTGAGGTCCTATTTGTACAGCCATAAGGTCACTTACAGTGCAAACTTGCTCTTTATAGTGGGTTAACTTAACTTAAGTTGATCAGTACCAACTGTGGACTAAATCAACAATTGCAGACACCATGCAAAGAAATCAGATGTTGATTAAGCATTGCCTGTACAGAAAATTTATTTGAGAAAGTTCTTCTCATCCGACAACAAATAAGACCTCTGTGGTGGTGCCTGGTCAGTGGAACTCCCTACCCTCAAAGGTATATGACTAGCACCAATGATATTAACCTCTTAACGCTGACAAAAATATACCTCTCCACCTATTAATGCAGGGGTGTGGAACATCTGAGCTGCAGGCCATTTCCCGCAAACCACAGCCACCTGCTTCACAGCTGATTCGTATGTGATCAGTTACGCAACCTGGTTCCTTGTGCACCTGATTTGTACAGAAACGCAGGGCTGAAGTGTAAACTTGATGGATCAACTGTGATACCAAGTTCCCCACGGGAGGACAGAAGAAGGCCGCTTTGCCAACCCTATGCTTAGTAGTTGGAAAACACAGGGCTGGCAAAGCCCCTTGTAATTTGGTTCCCAAGTGCATGACATCCAGCTGGTTTGTCAGACACTTTAAAAGTGCTGGGCAAGAAACTTTCACAAGCAACTGGGACAGCCCACACGTCAATCACCTGACATCAAGATGGGTTGTCTTGCTGACCTGTCAAAGTTAGCCCACAGTGATGGAAACAGATACAGATCTTGCCCACCAGGCCAAAAAGGTTTCCTACCCAATAAACACCAGCAATACTGAAGATAGTTCATTGGCTATATCACATCGTATTTAATATATAGTTTAAAATTTTAGTATGTATTTTTATTGCTTTAATCATGGGTGCGGGGGGTGAACTGTCCAGGGATTAGAATGATGGGCAAATTGGAACAGAATAAATTAATAAACATGACATACACACAAACATTTTGATGCCATCTCAAAGACAATCTTTTCCCATACATCTTCCATCTGGATAAGGCAACTTCAATAAAGGTAACACAGGGAGTATTTGGTGCCCATTTCAACCAAGGCCTCCAAACTTCTCACTTGTAATAATATTTTCTTGCAAGACATACTGACAAAGTTTTCAGCCAAGCAACTTAAAAACAAAACAAAAAAAAACCCCAGATGCAGACAAGTATTACATTCTGGATAGTAAGAGGTCAGCAATTATCTTTTAAGAGACACATTACTTCACTTCCAAAGCTACTGTTTTATGCCATAATTGCCTTGGCTGTGAAGCAAGTTATATAGCAAAAATGAGAGGGTGTGTTCCAGCACAAGGACGCCAACCCTGGGGTGGAATTATAAACAAGAATGAGGGACAAATCCAAAGCAGAAGAAAACCCATGACATTTATTTTTAAATACTGCAATATCACTTTAAAGGGTTTTGTTTTTTTACACAAACAGCATTGAATAGCATTTGTTTTGCTCTCTGCAGCCTGCTTTTTTTCGATTATGTTCTGAGTTTCTTGTTTTATGCAGTTCAGGCTTTGTAATTCAAATTTTAATGTTTCATTGTTTTAATAATCATATTGTTAGCGACCTTTGATTATTCTTTAGGAAAAGTGGGTTATAAATATTTTAAATAAATCTGCTTTCCAATTCACCTACCACTCACTCCAGGAAAAAAACCCCAAAACCTTTTACGTATCACTGTGTTGGGTCCAATGGTGTCTCTCCATTGAGGAAAGGCCCTTTTATTCTTAGGATCCCACCTGACCAAGACCCTGGGAAGAACTATTCTAAGAGGCTTGGGCTCCCACAATGCAACTGAGGACTCAGAGGAACTTAGAGCACCAAGGCACCCTGACATGCCCCCTTTCATGAATCTCTCACCTTCCGCCCTGTCCAGTAACCCATTACACCACATTCTGAGTCAATGTAGTGCCCTCCAGAAGTTGCTCAGATCCCTCCAGTCCTTGCTAGGACTACCAGTGGTCAGGGATAACGGGAGCTGTAGTCCACCAACATTTTGAGGGCACCGCTCTCCAAAACCAATGCATTGTCAATGATAATAAATGCCTTTGTATATTCAAATATTGCACCACCAGTCCTGCAAAGTCTTCCTTTTCATAGTCTACTGAATCACATCTTTAAGACAGCACTGGAAATGTTTGCAGGGTGTGTGCTTCTTTAGAAAAACAGTTCAGGTCTGTTCATGCGAAAGGAAGTAAGTTTCTTGGTACATGTCAGTTTCCCCTCACTCACATGCCATGCCATTCTTCTTTATTATCTACCATAATGTCTTAGCTTGCATCTGGACACAGTAACCAGCTCTAATGTACCCTATTCATGTGTCAGTCAAGCCGTCAACAAGATCACAGAGCAACACTGTTGTGAAAGGACTTATTAGTATTTGTGTTACTGCATGCCAGCCATTAAGCAATCGCCTATGTGCTCAACGTTCCACTGATGCAGAGTATAGCATGGCATAAGAAACAGTAGACTGTGGAGGGGGAAGAGGAGACATCAGTTGCATGACCTTAGGAATCACTGCACAAAAGATATACTGCAAGTTTATAAGGGTTTTCAGAGCAATAACTACGGAAGTAATTTACAACAGAGCTTTGAAAGGTCTTTGAAAACATAAAAGCCTGGAATTCGGTAAACAAACTTTCCACAAATCCACAACACAGAATTAGATAAAGGTTAAGAATCCTACCTATTTCTCTCATCTGAACAATGGGATCATGTTTTTCATCCTCTACATCTCCAGTAAATGAACTGGAACTCTAACTACACAGTATATTGACCACCAAATGATGCCTTCTTTGTATAAGCAGCTTGAGGAAGAGGATGCTCTTACTGTCAGAAAGTTTTTTTCCGAATGTTTAGTTAAAATCTCCTTTCTTGCAACTTGAAGCCATTGGTTTGAATCCTACCCTCCAGAGCAGGAGAAAGCAAACATGCTGCCTCCTCCATGTGACAGCCCTTAAAATATTTGAAGATGGCTATCATATCTCCTCTCAGTCTCCTCTTTTCCAGGCTAAACAAACCCAACTCCTTCAGGTACTCCTCATAAGGCTTAGTTTCCAGACCCTTGATCACCTTGGTTGCCCTGCTCTGTACACATTCCAGCTTGTCAACATTCTTCTTAAATTGTGGTGCCCAGAATTGGACACAGGATTCCAAGTGCGGTCTGACTAAAGCAGAATAGAGTGGTGCTATTACTTCCCTTGATCTGGACACTATACTTCTGTTGATGCAGCCTAGAATAACACTAGCTTTTTTTTGATGCTACATCACACTGTTGACGCATGTTAAGCTTGTGGTCCACCAAGACCCCGAGATCCTTTTCACAAGTACTGCTAGTAAGACAGGAGTCCCCCATCCTATATTTGTTCATCTGGTTCTTTCTGCCTAAGTGCAAACATTACAGGTGTCCCTATTGAAATTCATTTTGTTAGCTTGTGCCCAGTTCTCCAATCTGTTAAGGCCATTTTGAATGCTGATTCTGTTTTCTGCAGCATTAACTACCCCTCAGAGTTTGGTGTCATTTGCAAATTTGACGAGAATCCCCTCAATTCCTTCATCCAAGTCATTTATAAAGACACTGAACAACACTGGGCCCAGGACAGAACCCTGCGGCATCTCACTTGTCACTTTTTTCCAGGGTGACAATGAACCATTAATAAGTACTCCATGTCTCCACGTAGCAAGTACATTATCAGCATACTCATCCATGGTCAGAAGCCTTGGATCTCATGGGGTTACATAAAGAATGGAAAAAGACCCCTCCAAATCCATCTCCTCCTGTCTCTTTCTCCTTGGGGGGGGGGGGAGTGTGTGGCAATAATCATTCTGTGCACTGTACCTTTCACAGCCACCTTCATCTCTTCTGAGGTTGGCAACTGCTGTCTTAGCTTCTCTGGCCCAGAATCAGTGTCCAAGGTGAGAGCATGGAAGTGATTTTGCAACTCTAATGACAAAGTGTGGTTTGTGACTGTCCTACTTCTATGTGTCACATTCCTCCAGGGGTTAGACTCTTGCAGTGCACAATATTTCTCCACCCTGGAGGCACCCCATCTATCTTGGTGCTCAATCTCAGTCTATCAGCTAACTCTGTCCTGTTGGCTTGAGGTGTGGCTAAGTGGGCGTGGCTAGGTGGGCCTCAAGTTGCTGCACCTTCTCTTCCAGTAAGACAACCAGCTTGCACTTGCTACAAGTGTACTGTTGCTTGTTCTCTGGCAGAATGATAAACATGGTACAGGTGTTACAGGTCACTGCAGCAGCTCCCTCACCCTCCATGTCTCCGGTCCTATGCACACCAAGAGACAGAACTCTGGGACTCCCTCTTGAACTCCCTCGCAAACGCCCCTGCTTGCGATATCTGTTCGCGAGCTCCCAGGATCTGCACTGAGCTAAGTTTGACTGCTGCTGGTTGCTAACTCCTCCCTCAGCCTGGTTTCCTCTCAGCTGTAACTCCTCCCCCTCAGATCCTGTGTTCCCACAGAGCAATCAGCCACACTCTCCCTCAGGTCTTCAATGAAAGAAAAGTAATCAGGAAAAGTAATCAAGCCTCTAACAGAGCACTCAGCCAGTCCCTGAGGCCTGCTATCAATCTATCAAACTTTTAAGACGCTCAGAAAAGCAAGCAGCCTGACTCCAAAAGACACAAGCTCACTATCTTCCGTCTCCTCCAGCAATCCTTGTCCCTGTTTGCGAGGTTTGTTCACAAGTTCCCAGGAGCCGCACTGAGCTGTAGTCTTGTTGTTTTAAAAGAATACTTCAAACTCTCCAATATTTCAAAAAGATCTTGTTAAAAAACAAAAACAAAAAAACCAATAGCACACAAATTGCCAAAATGAGGTTAATGTAATTTTTGTGTGTATTTGGATAGCCTAAACATGAAGAATCATTCATAAGAATTCCAATAAAGCAAGAAAGAAATCATTGTTACAATCCTGTACCAATTTTAGCTCAATGGGACTTACCGGTACTTCTAAGCCAGCCTTTCTCAACCTTGGGTCCCCAGATGTTGTTGAACTACAACTCCCATCATCCCTAGCTAGCAAGGCCAGAGCTCAGGGATGATGGGAGTTGCAGTCCAACAACATCTGAGGACCCAAGGTTGAGAAACACTGTTGGACATGTATAGAGGAATGTGTGGTGAAAGCATCAGAAGGGGAAAGTAGCAAAGGGGTTTTCTGAACCTTTTTCTCACAACTCCTGAAACAACTTCTCTTTTCTCCCAGTAGGAGATGCAAAAGCCTGACAAGATGTGGCACCATTAATGGAATTGGTATTTTCATGATTTATTTTTTTAAAGTAGTTATCAAGCCCATGAGCCTCAAACCAAGTTTGCAAGCAGGGGGTAAGTGTTAAAAGCTTACTTCCGGGGTGGCGCCATCGGCAATGGCGGACTCCCTCTGAACCGGAGGGACCAGCTCCGCGCGAAACGGGTCTTTTCTGCTGCGGCGAAGCGGGGACCCTTTTAGAAATCACAGGCGGATGAAGCCTGTGACCGTGGGACTCGGCGGGCACCCTTAGCGCCCCCCCAACCCGCAAAGGACCCCACTAACGGGCTCCGAAGCGAAGAGGGGGAAGTGGCGCGGTGCTGTGAGTCAATTGCTTTTTCCGTGGAGCGAAGCCGCATAGCTGTTGCCGGAGAGCGCTGCCTTTTTCCTGGGACAATTTGGCATCTAAAATAATCACCCGTGAGCACTTAAACATTGAACAATTGGACTTCAAATAAGAACTGGCGATTAGAAAGGAATTGGACTTAAAAATTTACCTTAATTTGGTACTGAAACGGGAAGGTCTACACAGGAAGTCAGCCTTCCGTTTCCTTGTAGTCAGAAGAAAGCAAAGACAACGTAAACTAGAGCTTAGAAAATCACTTTCAAAGGATTGGTTTTCACCATTTAAAATCGTTGAACCCCCCTTCGGTAGCAGGAGAAGAAGGGGGATCTTTTTTTTGGACTGTTTAAACCTGCAGAAGTGAGTTTAAAGTAAAGTAACTTTCCACCGTCCTGATCCTGGAGCGGGGTGTCAGAATTGACGTTTGAAGCTCATTGACCAGAGACAAATGTTTTTGACAGATAGTTAAAAGAAGAGTAACATTGTGATTCCATTGTTTCCTTTCGCATTTTAAAGGAACAAATATTGACAAAATATCTTTAAAAAAAGAAACTTTGTTGCTATTGTCCTTAAAGGAAAGAACAACCAGAAGTTTTCCCCCTAGAGGGGGACTGTGAAACTGTAACTAATTCTAGGGAGCTTGCAGCTGCCACAGATTACAACCGTGGGAAAGGACTTGTGACCTTGCAGGACAATGTTTTCAGAAGCACTGTTGGGTGCTTTCTGTAAAATAAATGCCCTATTGGATCAGTTAAGCCAGAAGACGGATTTGATGACTAATGCGGCCAGAACATTTGAACAGGTAGTGGGAAACTATATGGAGCCCACCCAGGAACTTAAACAGGAGTGTGCCATGACAGAACAGTTGAGAGAAGAGGATGTTGCTGAATCTTGGGCACCAGAAAGGGAGGAACTTTTGGCCCTGCAGGAAAATGAGCCTTTGGATCTGACAAATGAACTTGGAAAAAACCAGATTTGGAAAGATAAAGTTTGTATTGATTTGGAAATGGGGGGTTGGACTGACCCCCCTATGCAGAGATGTTTGGACTTTCCGAGTCTGGCAATGGGCCGTCAGATGTTTGGAGCTGTGGGGGCTCTCAATTTTGGAGGGAATTTGAAACATGTCTTAAAATACCACATGGAGTCTAATCTGGACTATGGGAAAGGGGCTGATTTGTTGAAAAGGGTCAAAAACACTACTAAGCTGGAGTTCCCACGAGTGAAAGGAAAATATGAAGAAGAGCTGCGGAAGGGACATGGAAGAGACTTGAAGGCCTCGGATATAAGATCACCAGGTTAATGTGCCAGACTAATGGGATAAAAAGGACTGACAAACCCAGGACCAGGAGGAAGGGACGCTGGAAGAAGATTGGATTGTTTATTTCTTCTTTTTTATTATTATCATTACGATTGTTCTATAAAATTGATGAATGCTAGAAAAATGTTGAAATGAAATTACTTGGCTCTTGTAAAAATGTCTAAAGAATTTGGTAAGAATGTTATGGTTAGGAGAAGTTGGTAAAAATAAGATTTAAGTTTTAAGCTTTAAGGTTTTTTATAAAATAAGATGAAAATAGAGTAAGGTAATGTAATGACAGAATACTATGAATTATGGAAAGGATTTGCTGTGACAACTATTAATCAAGATACAAGAAAAGGGAGGAGGAGGAGGTCATAGAAAGAAGGTAATGAAAGTGGAGAATTTGAAAATGATGGTTTTATTTTTTTTCTTTTTCTTTTTCTGTTTTGTCTTTTTTCTTTGTAATTAAAAAAAACAACACTCTTTTTTCAATAAATATCATTTTTTTTAAAAAAAGAAAGTGTTAAAAGCTTGACCAAGTTCCCAATTTGGGCCCTGCTTTCTGTGCCTTGTTGACATCCATCTTTCTCATTTAATATCACATCTCATTTGACCCTAAGGTTACTACATAGCATGTAGCTGTAACTGCAAAGGGGGGTGGAACCAAAGGAAGAAATTTGCATATGTCACAAAATTTGATTCCTAATTAAATCATCTTATTTAATCTGGATATTCACCATGCCCCACCTCAACAACTCCCACTGGATTACAATGTATTTCAGTCATAACATTCAAAATCTGCATCCCACAAACCCACGGAGACATTTTGGTTTGTGCAAAATGCCATAATCTGTTTCCTGCAATCATCCCAACTGCTGCAACAGGAGAGCACTGCAGGAAAACTGAAAGAGGCACTCCCGTCTGCGCCATAATTCATCTAACACCATCTAAGAAACAGCCTCTGTGGCTTCAAAGTTTGTTCTATGCAAAGGGAGAAGTAATCTGAAAACTATGACTGAACGCACATCAAAATCCCCAGGAACCTCTAGTATGTATGAAGATTTGGGATGCTTCAAAGGAACTTGTTGCACTTTTGAGGATTTGTGATTTCTTACTACTAGGCATTGAGCATGATGACCTAAGGGTTGGAATGTGTTTGGTATTTCACAGGGATTTCTCCCCCCGCCCCCATTTATGCTGAAGAAGTTAACAATGTGAATATTATACAGTGGTACCTCGGGTTACATACACTTCAGGTTGCATACACTTCAGGTTACAGACTCTGCTAACCCAGAAATAGTACCTCAGGTTAAGAACTTTGCTTCAGGATAAGAACAGAAATCATGCTCCGGCGGCGCAGCAGCAGCGGGAGGCCCCATTAGCTAAAGTGGTGTTTCAGATTAAGAACAGTTTCAGGTTAAGAACAGACCTCCGGAACGAATTAAGTACTTAACCCAAGGTACCACTGAAGTTTGGATGAACACAGGCATATATATATATATATATATATATATATATATATATATATATAAATAAATGGTGCTGGGCTGTTTGTGCTGTAAGGATTTTTATGGTTCTAATATGTTTTATAAATATATACAGTTTTACTTCTAACAAAGTTTAATTGTTCTTAATGACTGCTTTTTCTATGTTTTTAGCAGTTCTTATTTTTATAAGCCACCTTGAATCCCATCAGGGAAAAAGGCGGGTATAAATAAATATATAATAGTAATAACAATAATAGTAATAATATATTTACACAGTAGTTTTCTGGTTGTCTGCCTACATTTTATACCATGAGCAGCCCATGAACCATCAGCCTAGCTCATATAACTGACTAGCATTTTCCCCTTTTTTGAAACAGACATATGAAACACCAATATGTTTAAAGAAATCTCTGGAATAACAAGTGTCTTGCAGCTCACTCTTGTTGGGAAAGTATATTGTTAGAATTCTTGCCAATTTCACCGTTAGATTTAAATGCGCACTGAGAACCATGAGTTCTACAGATGGGAACAAGCAGCACACTTAAATGGAAGAGGGGTTTTTATGTCCCAATTGCAACTGTATTAATAATTAAACAGTGTGTATTCATGCACATGTTTCTTTTACACTAATGCCTACTTGCCAACAGGACTAAAATATTGGCTGGGATATCAGCTCCTTAGGACAAGTGCTGAAAAACAGAACACTCTGCAAGCCAAGTTTGGAGTGTCAAGCAAACAGGTGTACTAGGTTATCTGTAACATTTGTATGAAGACTTGAGCTCATTTGGAGAGAGAGAGAGAAAAAGGTGCCAAAACAAAGTGGAAAATCTCTCTTTCCATTGATTATGCATGGAAAAACCTTGAAATTAAGCCAGATCATTAGGGAAGGGAAACAACATGGGCATTATACATTTGAGGTTTGGGGCTGATGCCAATGTTCCTGAGAAAATTCAGTGGCATATGCAGCTTTTCTTCCCATGCTAAGTTTGAAACTTGGGGCCCAGTTCTTGAATATACACACACAGTCCTACAGAAGACTTGGGCCACGACCTTCTAGTGAAACAAAAGGGGGGGAAGAGGAAAAAACAGGCCATGGGCCAATGACTATTCAGCGCTCACAGTTATGTAAGCCCGAATGAAAGCCAGTCATGCACAAGAAGGTTTGCAGAAGTACAAAAAAAAAATATTTAGGAAAGAATCCTGAACAGCATAAAATACCCACCTACCCACTCAATAAGTTCTGAGTATCCTCAGTGGACAGAGAACATGCATGGGGATGGCAGAAAACCATGTCATGGTGGAATGGAAAGAAGGGAACAAAAAGTGGGGGTGGAAGAAGACACACATAGCTATAAAGAGGGTAGAGAGAAACATCAAATTGCCAGGACAGGTCACTTCTTGGTTCATATCGAAGAACTATTTTCAACCATTCCCAGGGACAGAAATGAAAGATGTCCAAGGAATTAATGAATGGTAGTACAGTATCCACAATTTAAAAAAATAACACAATATGCATAAAACACTGAACAGGAGCAGCCCACAGTGCCCCTTTTAGTTGCAGGTTCCACTTGCTTAGTACTAGTAGAAAAATATATACTACTAGGCAGTTTTACATTTTAAAACTAGCATTCCTTCAAAACACCAAAGTTTGAACCTACGAAATGTGCAAGACGGTAAGGGGGGGACTGTCGTGGTATTATATTTCTGTGCAAAGCAGTGCTTCCTAGAACATCTGAGCCTAGAAACCTGGTTTACTGATCCCTCAAAAGCCATGTTTCATAAACGAATAACAAAATTATGGTTTACAGCTGGCTAATGAGACCTGCTTCTTATGAAGCAAAAAGCCAGGATCCTGAATTCAGATGTCACAAGCAGCCAAGCTTAACTGTGGTGTCATGGTTTGTTTATCCCAGAGGAAAATGAAGCAAGAACAATTGGGCAGCACGCATTAGCATAAACTATGGTAAGCCAGCAACACACAAGAAGTGTGAGCATGTTCAGTGTATTGCATTGTATCACCCTATGACAGGAAGTCATCTATTGTCTGAATAAATCTTAAATAAACAGTAACTATGGTATCTATTGATGAATATGTGTGTGCTTTAGATGGGCTGTTAACAGGCATGGGCATACTATCTCCACACCCTGGAATGCTTTTTTGGAGCTCCACTAGAGCCCATATACAACCCTAAGATTTACATCATGAAAGGACAACAGTACTGGGTTGCCAAAACATACAGAAAAATGCAAATGTATGGTTGGAACAAAGACTGAGTCCTTTACAGAGTTGTCAAGTACAAAAAGTGAAGAAAGGCAAAAGCAACTCATCTTTTGTACCCTAAAACTGGTATTGTATCAATAGAATCCTATAGGGACTTGTAACCTAGGAGCCAGCCCATACTGGAGGTGGGACAATGAAATAGCACTCAGTTATGAAGATGAACACAATTCTCTGAGTTATGTGTTGCTAACCTAGGTGCCTCTAGCTGTTGCTGAACTACAATTCTCATTATCCCCAGCCATAAGTCAGGATGGCTCAGGGCTGACTAGAGTTGGAGAGCAGTAGCTTCTTCACCCCTGTCATAAGTATGGTAAATAACCTTCATCACAGATAGAAACTCTGAAGCCACTGAGAATGTGTTCATTCCCTAAAGAAAAGCTATATATTTACATGCCTAACAGTATATTCCTTATGCATGTCTACTCAGAAGCAAGCGGAATAAATTTGATGAAGTTTACTCATCAGTAAATATGACTAGGAATGCAACCTAAAGTCACAGCATTTTCGAACACTCACAAACACACACACGAAATAAAGTCACCATCTTCACTCTGTTAAGTAACTCCTCCACAGGGGGGTTTTAACAGCTACACTCCAGTTTCAAATGCCTAGTTTAGAAACGCTAAGTATTTTAGATTTCCTTCAGTTTTCATCCAGTTTATTTTGGATCTCTTGTTGGCCACACCCAATATTTAGAAAGCAATATGAGCCTTAAAAGTTGAAGTAAGCCTAACATTTCGAAAGCTAATATTTAAAAAGTGCAATAAAACCAAAGCAAATTGTACTATAAATATAGCCTTAGCTGTAACTAAGCCAACAAGAATAGCATGTTCAAAACTGTCTAATTCTACATAAAAATAGTTTCAAGTATTACTGCACATTTTATACCAAAGTATTTTTTAAAACTTACTAAACAGTTTCTAACAAGGACAAAATGTTGTTCTTGCAGCAACAATTGAAAAATAATTACATAGTTGGGTGCAAGCTTGAAAACATGCAACCACATGCCAAAAAGTAAATAGATCCCATTGAAGCACTTGATAGGCCTCAAAAGACTAGAATATAATCTCAATGTACCTCAAATTAACAATTTTACACTGATTATTTTGAGGTACATTACTAACAAACAACAACAACATATTAATCACCTTCTGCCTAATTGTCTCAAGGACAAGTGCAATAAAATCAGCCAAAGACAGTTAAAAATACAAAAAACAACCAATACATTGCAAACCAAACCAAACCAAAACACAGAGAGATAAAGTACAGCAAGCTAAAATGAAGTATATGGCCAACATTGAATGCTGCTCTCAAACACAAACCAATAATCCACAGTCATGTTTGAAGCAGCTGAAGCAATATCTCATCTTGAAAAGTTGCACTCAGAAATGCCCATTCAGTAGATGCCTAATAAACTAAGGAGATACCTGGAGCCATGAGAGAAGCAGGAGTATGGATGCTGTTATTGGATGTGCTGGATCAGGTCCAATTGCTATGCCAGTGGCAGGCTGGTGTAGCATGGAGCAGAGTTTTGCCCACCTGCCACCCCAGCTGGTTTGAGCAGCAAGGCTTTGGAGGCTGTGCCATTCAACCATACCTCACTGCTGCCCACCTGAGGTTAGGACTGTTCTGATATGCTTTGGTCCCTTCCACCTATTGCCCCCCCCCTCCAGATAAACACACTGGTGCTCCAATGCAAGATGGGGTGAGGGGACCTAGTGAGTGGTGAAGCCATGCTGTATGCATCTCATCAAAGTCTGAAGACAGAATGTGGAAGGAGACAGAGAAATTCAAATGAGGCTCTGTCATGTGCTATGCAAGTTTCTGGCTAGGAAGCGGGAACATGCCATGGTTGCAACCATCTATGGGAATATAAAGACCAGCTGATGCCCAGGATCTGTCTTCAGTCTTAGGCAAAAAGCACAAGTCTCTTAGTAGGTGGAAAACAAGAATAAATACAAAAACTGCCTAGTATTTCTTAAAGCTGGAGATTAATTATGGTTGATTTAAGTTGCTCCTAAACTGGAGGCATAGGATCTTATATCAATGAAGATGGGACTTTATTCTTTGAGGGATTCAAACTGTTAAGTAATGCTACCCAATTTGGCTTCAGTTGACCTTCCTTTCTTCCTAGGACACTACCTAGAATGGTGTGGTGACATTCTGTGCCCTTTGAAGCTTTGGGACCATTTTCAAGGCAGTACATATACAATGCATTCCAGTAATTCAATCTGGAGGTTATCATGGCATAAATGACAATACCATGGATAACTTCCACTAGTCGGTACTGCTGGTGAAGCAACAGAGCAGACAGAAGACACTCCAGGCTGCAGCTGCCACCAAAGATATAGCATCAATGCTGTGGGGCCAAGAGGACCCCAAGACTACAAATCTACTATAGTGGGTAGGGAAATATATGAGATCCCAGCCAACACGGCATTTCAGCAACTAGCTGATCCACAAAGTCCCCCATTAACATTAACCTCAACTGGGTCTAAAGGTAGCATCTTCAACAGAGACCACATGATCACTTCCCCAAACCATGACCCCCAAAATGGCATTGACATTCCTGCTGATAAAAGTCAGTTAGTCTCTTGTGACTAACTGTTACGAGCCAGGAGGGGCAAAGATTGAGTGGAATGTATCGTGTGACTCCTATGGTAAAACCAACTGCGTTCATCTAAGCACCTGCAGCAAGTGGAAAACAAGCAGTTTCTATTTGAACAAAAAGTGGTACCTGAAATACTGAAATGGTTTTACCCAGCTATAGCTGCATGTAAGTTGAGGGAAAGCTCCCATTTCATCCAGTGCCAAAGAAAGACAAACAGCCTGGTTTGTGGAAAAGTGCATACTTGCCTTTGGTTAAATCAGTCTGCAGCTTCCCTGTGGAAAAGACTGCCAATAATTGGCTTCTTTCACCTCTGTTAACCATGAACAAAAGTGCCATTCGGTTTCAAAATGGACAAAATGCACCAATGGGTAGTCAGCTAGCCGAGCCAATGGGGTGGAATAACAATAACCTGCAGCATTTTCTTTTTCCTTTTGTTGGAACTTTCAAAGCCCTTAATTAAGACCTACACAAAGCACCCCCCACTGGCATCTTTCAATGAGGCATTACATGCCTGTTTTCTTGTATTTAAAAAGGGGAAAGAAGCCTACATTTCTGAAACTGGCACACACTATTTTTGTGTACGTATTTGCAACTGGAATACTGTTACATTTTAGCTCTTGAAAATCATCATCAGGGTGAGTGTAGAGCTATTCCAAGTACACTGCATCTTATATTAAGTGCAGTGCTGAGAAGAAAAATGGCACACAGTCACAGGAAACGGAAAATAATCAGAATGCCTGCTCACCTCAAAGCTGAAAGCAAGAGGAACATGCACTTCAAGTTTTTATATATATATATATATATATATATATATATATATATATGAATGACACACACACGAGAGAGAGCAAGAGAGAGAGAGAGAGAGAATGAGAGAGAGAGAAGAATCTTGTTATGGTCTCCTGAGGAGAAACCTTATTTGGCACACAAACACACACATTAGTGGTGCAGACACTAAGGAATTTTTATAACATAAAATATGACAAACTCTAGCTGAAAAGTGCAAAATGCCAGGTCTTAAAAGATTGCTAACAGTAATATGTCTGGAGTTTAGATTTTAGTGCATGAATAGATAGCCTTTTACTAAGAGGAGGGTCAGGCTTCAAAATTTGTTTTAAACATATTGCTGGGATTCCAAGTGCTGCTTTAAAGGGGGACTTCTGCCATCTCAACATTTTTGTTTTCTTTGAATTCCGATGACATATCACAAACTGGCTCTTGAAACTCCGCTGTTGCAATATTGCTTTGCCATGACAATGGGGGAGTGAGTAGTTGAACACAAACCAAGTTAATGCACTTTCAGGCTCATGGAATTAGGTTCCCTGTCCTTCCAATTCCTAACCTATGTTTATACATTTTGTTGTTTCAATGGCAGGTAAACTGCATGTTCAGTGGTTACAAGGGCAACACTGAATGCAGTATCACAAATAAATGCATGTGCAACATTAAAACAAGAAGAGGACCGTTATCATGACTCACAAGAGAAAAATAACCCAAACATGCAGATAACAGAAACACTGAAATGATGTATCCCTAACAAATGTTCAAATAACCACAAAGACCATTTTATGTTTTTACAGTGAGAGTGAATGAATATTTGCCTAATTCCTTACTGCCACCACATCTGAATGAACTCCATCAGATTTCCTGATTTTTTCTAAGTACTTCAATTCCTTCTCATAAGCACTCTTCTCCAATAAAGGACATGGAATCTGATCAGAAGAGAATTCTCACACTCACATTAACATATATTTATTCATCTGATTAAGAATTGAAGGGTCCAGCAGCTTATTTCCAACAGTGCCCCAACAATATGCCTCTCCACAAGCTGGGCATGAGTGCCACCAACCATCTTCCACTATTTTCTACTCCCCACTGCTGCTAACTGAAAATCTGAAGTTCACTGCCTCTTAATAGGGAGGCTCTCTCTATTTACTCTCACAGCTGTTAGAGCTATCCTCCATGAATTTGTCCTAATGTTCTTTAAAATCACCTAATGTGAGCAGCAATCTCATACTGCAGCATCTAATTTAATACCTGAGTTGTGTGTTGTGTGAAGTGCTTTGATGGCCCTCAGTCTACTGCCAATCAGTTTCACTGAGTGACCTCAAGTTACAACTCACTGGGAGAGGCAGCTCACTCCACACTAATTTTCTAAACCCCTGGACTCATCTTTTTTCCCCCTAAACAAAAAGAGCCTAGATCCTTTAGCTTTTTGTTTATAAGGAAGGAGCAACAGCACCTTCACCATTTTAATCTGCCTTTCACAGCTCTAACACATCCTTTTTGAGACAGGTTGACATTTTATCCAGAGCAGCTCCTTCATAGGTCTGTCCAAAGCCACTGTGAGGCTGGCTGTTTTATTTTCAATTCACTCCCTTGCCTTCTCCACCACTGTCAAACACAGAGATGACAATTCCTACTTCGTCACTGCTAGTTTAGATCCTCCACCACCACCGGATTAATTTCAGGGGCAGTAATTCATATTTTATAGTTGAACTTGTAAAATATTACGTCTATAAGAAGGTCTTCTGCTAGTAACATTATAGTTAATAATTTAACCCCTTCACCCATTTTATTCTTTCAGTTATTAGTATTCATTGTCTTTAGTTGATGGAACTTAATTTGTCATTAAAGTCAAAGGAAAGCTTTCAACAAAAAGTGGACAGATGCAACAGATGCAAAGCTAGAATTTTAAAAGGTACAGTATATTGAGCAATGTTCACACATTAGTTCTGTGTCAGATACCATTCAAAAAGAATCTTGAGATGACCCAAATTTATCTTCTGGTTTCTGCTCAAAAAACAGGCCTATGGACTGTAAAAAGTAAAACAATTTATCTACTTGCACTTTGACGTGCTTTCGAACTGCTAGGTTGGCAGGAGCAGGGCAACACTGAACATTGCTGAATTACAACTTATTACTAAACTGAAAAGTATGGAGAGACCTGGTTTTAATAGAGATACTGGATACTTGTCTCACTACACATGCTAAACCTGTGTTTGGTCATCTGCATACTATCCCTTGCTTTTTCCTGTAGGACTAATTGCAGTCGTTAACAGTCACAGGTTTACCATACCCATTGAGTCAATCACCCATCTCCTACTACCCTTCTGAGAAAAACCCCACCACACCCTCCCACTATATATAAGGGTCTGGTGACTTCTGTTTCAGTGTATCTGAAGAAGTGTGCATGCACACGAAAGCTTATACCCAGAACAAACTTAGTTGGTCTCTAAGGTGCTACTGGACAATTTTTTAATTTATTTATTCTGATTATCTTCATGTATAGTAGGACATTTATTATTATTATTTCGACTGCGTCAGACCAACACGGCTACCTACCTGAATCTAGAACCAATGTTCAACACTGTTACATCAGCAGATTAGTACAAACATAACTCTCTCATAATGCTAGTTCTGTAAAATATTAACAGTTTAGTCAACATTAGCACAAGCTTAATAAAAAAATAAATCAAACTTGTTAACACCAACAGGAGAGAGACCAAATAAAGGGAGATAGGAAACACATCCAAGTTGCCAGCTGCTGCATTCTTCAGTTAGAATAGTGTCCTCACTTCACGTCATAATACCCAAGCATGAGATTATGATCTCAACAGGCAAGATTCTCCATAGAGGTCATAGGAATTTGAAATTAATTCAAAGAACACAAGTCTCAAATGCCCAGAACTGTACTGTGCCATTCCAACTCCCACTGAGTACGTTCTGGTTATAATGGAGAACATATTAACTATATGATCATGCAATCTTTTCACAGCATTTTCTAAAAGGAACCACATGCGAATACATTGCAGGTTTCTATCGCCTGCTGTATTTGCTGTCTTTATTTTTATTCAATATCATTTTATTTGTGTGTGTGTGTGTGTGTGTGTGTGCGTGCGTGCGCATGCTCATGCTTATATTTCAAAATGCAAAAGGCAAAGTTAAGAGCTGTTCTGCCTTGAACAAAAGTCGTATTTATTACGTTGTCATATACTCTTCTACCAAGGAGCTTAGTAAGTTGTCTTAGTCCCTCACACGCATGGATAAAATGGAAGACTTTCCATCCACCATACAATGAGTTTCACAGCTGAATGACGGGAGATTTGAATCTGGTATCTCACAAAGAAACCTAACATAGGAGCCAATGCACCACACTGGCTCTTTATACATCTTTCTTTCCCATAGGTTCACCTTATTCATTAAATCATGTGAAGGGAACCCATGCACATGGTCCACCTCCATGATTGCATGGCTCTCAGTCACCTTTTTACATGCATGCATTGAGTGTGGATGTCTAAGCCAGGGAAGCATATACATAGAAGCTTCACAATTGGGATCCCAATTGTGCATGGTTCCAGCTCCCATACAGGGCTGTTGCAGGCTTCCCCAGCTCAAAGCATCCACACCTTAACATGTAGACATCCTGGGGGGCACAGGGAGGTGGTGTCTTTCAACATGTGGACCTGTTTTCTACAATTAATGCAGGATGTGAACTACAGAAATCTCACTCTGGTACCAAACATCTGGCCTTCAGAGTTCCAGGTTTATATGCACTTAAATCTACCGGTATATCAGTAAGGTACATGCATACATTTCAGATCCTATACCATATGTTTACATTGCTAAACTTTAATAAGTATACATATATCCTAAACATAATTAAATACCATTTATACCTGTTAAAATTCTGGCTCTATGATGCTCGTGTTTTGGCCTACTTCATGAGTTTTTTAAACAACAAAAGAAAACCTATACAAGAAACAACAAGGATCTTGACAGCTCAAATATTTTGTTAAGGGTTTATGGTAGCAATGCCATTTTGTGCATTAGCAAGAAGGAAGCATGTTAGCAAGGAGGAGGTGTTGCACTTTCCAGTTTCTTTTGTGCAATACCTACTTAGCCCCTTTGTGTGTGTTAATGGAAAGGCAATATAAATTAATTCCCCAATAACAATATTGCTTAGCTTCCTTTCTGTAGCCGCCATGGAGACACAAGTCCATAAATTTTCACACTATGAAATCTTTCTCTAGACACAGAATGCAACAAAAAACAACAACCCCTAAGTCAACTGTAGTCCTTTAAAACAAACCATTTCAGAAGTAAATGAAAAACTTCAGCTCATCCATTGTCTTTAAATCCAAACTGCAGATCAGCATTACTGATAAAATGTACAGAGCATTAAATACTGAGCTCCTCAAAACAGTTGTAGAAATTGCATCATTCAAATAATAATATGCTACAGCAAGAGTAGAGGCCTATGGCCATCTTTTTGGCTAGTTATCTCACCCCAATGCCAACTCTTATCCTCTTACGGAGCTCCTAAATAATGTATATATCACCACTCCATCCATCCACTTCTCCAGTCCTTTGCCCATTCTCAAGACTCCTTTTTAATTCATTCCCCTCATTCCTGGGTGCATATCCATCTTGGGAGTCTTTGTCCAAGTATGATCATTCCTTCCAAAAACCATTCATTCCTCCCAATACTGAATCATAATTTAAAAGATGCCATGTTGATGTATTAGACTGAAGAAAAATATGGAAGATCTTTTATATAAGCCACAATGGAGCAGCTCAGCCAATGGCCTTTCTGCTTGCCCTGTCCCTCTGTGAAATCAGAGAAGTTCAGCCAAATACTTATTTTAGCACATTTCAAAATAGTTAATTTCCAGATTTATAATTATACATACAAGGATATTTGGGTTACCATGCAACCAGTGTGCATAATTTCACTGAGTTCAGTGAAATCAATTTGCCATTAACGTCAAGACCGCAACCTCAAAAATCAATTTTTAAAGTGGCATATATAATTCCTTGCACAAATCTACACAGACTCAACATAAAAAATTACTCTGATGTGCTTAACAAGCTTAAAGCGTTTTCGCTTCCAAATGCAACCATGTCTATAAATCAAAAAATGCCCACAACATTTTAAGTGTCATGTTTAACAGTTCAGCTAGAATTTCAGCTGCTGAAATGTATTAAACAATATTGCTCCACGGTAGCCCATTAATGTTTACGAATAACTTGAGTTTGCTTAAGTACCAGAATGCAGAATAACCAACATGCCAACTGTGACACAACTAAAAACAAACTGGTATTGATCTATAATCCACAGCAGACAAACACAGACACCAAATGGAGATTTCCAAAAGGGGATCAACTTTTTTAAAAATTAAAATAAAAACACAAGTTCATCTTTCATAGATGCCTTGCTCAGATCAATGGGAGAAATATGCTGACACTATCACCTGTTCAAAAACAGATCCTTTCTTTTTGTTTCCTTAAACATATGTCAAAGCAAAGTTATGTGCCTCACAGATATGCATCTGTAGTCTGTACTATATATTGCAATGTTACCATGACACCATAACAATTTAAAGCTATGTTCTTTTTAAAATATGGGGTTTTGTTGTTGTTCTAAATAAGAAGTGGTTTTGAATTCTGGAATACCATGCATCTTTCCTATTATTTTCCTCAGGTTTTTAAAATATCATTATTTCAAAGGCAACTAAAAGTAGAGGGAAAGCTTATCGTCAAAAGTATCTGTCTAAGTGTGCATGCATCAACACAGTGAGAACTGAATGTGAGCCAATTGTCAGATGAGATCACATAACTGTCTAAATACTATAACCAAATTGTACATACCATCAGAGAAGGCCTGATGTTCAAAAGTGTTGAGTTATATGTAACTTCCACATAAATTAATATTTGTTGTAGGATCCAAGCACATATGAAACCTCACATCAGCTGATTTACCATGTACACCACAGGCCATCTCAGCATGTTTTAATTATTCCAGTCAGATGTTAATATACTTAATGAACCGTAACTTAAGCCACATAAGGATGATTCAGAAGTGTGGTCAATGACCCAACAAGAGCTGCATCAGGCTCTCCTAACAGGCAGTTTCACACATTTTCATAACGAGAACAACATTAGTAAACAAGCCATGTCATGGGTCATTAACCTCTGGCCTTTATTCATTACTAAATTCACATAGCTGCTTAATGAAACATCCCTAGTGCTTGCATAGTTCACAAGATAGCACCTACTTTTAATCAGCCTGGACTTCACGGACTTTTGCCAACTACTTTCACATTACCTTTTGTCAAGTCACACTGTACATGTCACTGAATTAATGCAAACTAGTGTGCAATTCAAGAATTACTACCTCCAACAACATGACAAACCAAACTATGTTCCAGTGCAAAATGCCAAGGCAACCCATCAGAAACACTTCCTTGATCAGTAACCAGTTTCATCTGCATGCATGAATGAAAGGAACTGAAATGTTTTAGCTGAACTATATAATATAACCTAAAGACAGAACTAGGCACATTCGTTTAAAAGAATCCTGTGGACTGGGATTCGGTCATTGGAAATAGCTGAAACAGCAAAAAAAAGCTCAACAACTTTTTAAAATATGGCAACCCTATTAAAGCTAGGTCCTCAAGTTACATAAACTGGAGTACAGTTACTCTGTATGGATTGTAGTTTTTTCAATGTTATTTATTAATTTGTATGCTGCTTATATGCTAAAATGGCTTATCACAGAATAAACTACCTCTTCTTTATGTACATGTAAGCATTAAAACATGTAAGACTCTCCATTCCACCTAAGCATATACTGACTAGAAACCACTTGGACCTCACCTCACCCCTCCACTTCTTACACCAATACCCAACATTTCAGGAACTTTTGCCATTTAAAAGATGTACTGGGGATATGTCTTTCCATTCTTTGCCATCCAAGCACTTTTTCTCGAGGTCGCAACCACACGTTTACCACTACACACAAGGCTATTTTTCCTACAGTGAAACGAAGACACCCTCATATCCAGGCTAGACAGAATTTTCTTACTTTTGAATAGGTATTCACAGGCTACCCAGCAAAAGTAAGGTGACTGAAGTGCACTTTATTGTCTGGATGAACAGAATAAGGAATAATTAATCCTCACCTGTTTGGCTCAGCCTTGGGCATAGTGGGAGGCAAGGAAGCAGAATATATCTATTATTCTGCCACTTCAGATACTAAAGTCTTTCCAAAACAAAAACAAAAAGGTAGTAAAGCCATCCTAGAAAGACCAAGACAGTGCCTCACTATAACAGAAGTGCGGTGACTAAACCGACTCTCCCGATGTTGTTGCTGTTGGACTAACTCCCACCAGCCCGAGCCAGCATGGTAAATGGTCAAGGATGATGTGAGTTGTAGTCCAACAAAACCTGGAGGCCCACACGCTACCCCTCCCTACACTATAGCAAGACTTATTATACCACAAATCAATTCACCCTAACCAAGTATCCTCCAAATGTTTTGGACTCTGACGTTAGCCATGCAGGATGCAGTTAACTGAGTCCCACAACATCTGAAGGGCAACACGTTGGGGAAGGCTGCCATGAATATATCTGATCAGAAATGGCACAACTCTCTTAGGAAAACATTTATCTAATACCCTGTAACAATGTAGAAGTGGCATGGTTTTACAGAGTTCTATTTAGCTACAGAGAAACTAACAAGAATGTTGTTGAGTATCTGCAACAAGAGTTTTCTTGCAGCAAATGCCACAGCGGTGACCAAGTTGGGCGAGGAGCACAAAACACTGGCAGACTGTCACTTGACTAGTGAACTTGTCAAACGTCTTTCATGGGCTTTCCCCCTGAAAACTAAAGCCATCAACCAGCATCTCTGAAGTACAGACCAATGCCCTCTCCTAACTTTGTCAGCACACACTTTTATTCTTCTGAAAGGATCCCTATTCTATTATACAAAACAGTCATGAAGCCCCAAGTTAGATATGCTAAACCTGATTATTTTACAACAGGTACTTCCTAGAAGACTGATGAATGCTAGATGTAATGATTTACTTTCATGCACGACCACTCCACATTGCAAACCAGTCTCAGTACACCCTCCGCATAGCAAACAAAAAGAAAACTTTCCTGCAAAAATGAGCTCTGAAAGAAAGCAAAACTAAGTGTCAAATCCATTCTAAATTAAGGGTTCTGTTTGTTCATTTAATTTGCTCACTGATCTGCAATCGTCAAACCACACCCACAGGTTTTCTTCAACTGCAAATCACTTGAAAATTCTTACCGTTTTGTTAAAAAAGATCCGAGACCCACATGAACTAAAGCAGTTGGTTAAAGCATGCTGCTGATAACACCATGGTCACAGGTTTGATCCCCATATGGGACAGCTGCATATTCTTGCATTGCAGGGGGTTGGACTAGATGATCCTCAGGACCCCTCCAACTTTATTCTATGTTGGAAATACACTGAATATTTATTAAAGATAGAGTGCCTTGCATGTTACTGAAAAACACCTTTCAAACATAAACAAACCTCAGAATCAATATAAACATTTATGGTCATATTAAAAAGTGCAGCTAATGAGTCTTTCCTAAAGCTTAACTACTGAAAATAAAGGCTGTAATGCCACCCTTTTCACAAACCAAGACTAGAGTGAGGCAGTTTCAGTCTCCAGTCTTCCCTTATTGAAAAAATATTGCACTGTACCTAGAAGGCTTTTTAATTCTGTTCTTGTGCAACATCATGAAACAGATGTCATTCTCTTTTGCACACTCCTTTTCATTTAAGTGGGCATCTACAAAAATGCTTGATGAAAGACATTCCACAAAGAAGATACTCCACTAAGATTCCCTCTAGAACAAATACACACAAAACTTGTACAAACAGGTCTCATTGGTGGAAGAATTTTTCCACTGTATTTCAGATAATGTTTAAATGGAAGCCTAATTAATTTCAGGTGAACTTTTGCCCAAAGTTAGTGTCTCTTCTATTATTAGAAACCAAGCGTGAAGACTTCACTTATTTTCTATTAAGCAGTAGCCAACATTTCTAATTGCCATTTAGCCTATTTTAACTGAGCATAGCACTCTGGATTTCCATGTTCTGGAAGATAAACCTCTTGTACAATTTTCGGAAAGAAAATTATGGAGGCTAGAGTGAGGGAAGCTAAATGAAGACAACTGGTATGAAAGAAGCAAACCAAATGGAACACAGCAATTGTGGTTTTACTATACATAGGATGAGGAGAGAGAAAATATAAACCAATGTAAATAAACATGGCCAGGCCCTGTACAGCTGCACTAGAAGCACCACACAGGACATCTTGTTTGACAGGAATCCTAAAAACTAAAGAAAGCAAGAACAATGTTAAAGAACTGCAGCCTACTATAATGCTTATCAAGGAAAAATGTCTACTAGAACTGGATTACTTTACTCCTTGCTTCCAGATGAGGCTATTCACGCCTGTTGTTTTTTTATTATTATTCAAAGGGTAACTAATGTATCTAGATGCTAGGTCAGTCAATAATCCTGAATTGGATCAATTCCATTAAGGCTCTAAAACTCTTGTTGGGTGATGCTCTCTCGCTATGGTGTCTCCTATGTACGTACAGTGGTGCCCTGCAAGACGAATGCCTCGCAAGACGAAAGGGTTTTTCGGTTTTGCATTGCTTCGCTAGACGAATTTCCCTATGGGTTTGCTTCGCAAGACGAAAACGTCTTGCGCTTTTTTTTTAAAGCTGCTTGAAGAGGCGCAGTTGCGACGGACCATGCTTCGCAAGACGAAAAACATCGCAAGACGAAAATACTCGCGGAACGAATTCTTTTCGTCTTGCGAGGCACCACTGTATTTGACTCTCTTTAGGTGGACTTCAAGCAATGGCATAGTGAATACACACCAATAAACACTAAGTGCCTGCAGTGAAGCACATCAGATTGTTGGCAACCTCCTTTTTATATCAACTGAGAATCAAAGAACTGTGATATTTTAAGCCATTACTCAGGCCTTTCACCTGAATAAAAAGGAAAACATGGTCAAGGCAAAGCATGGAGAAAATAAACAAATACTGTAAGAAAAGCTTTCCTTGCCTTAGGTAATAGTTATGATCAATTCAACTGAGTTATAATAGAATCATAGAATCTAAGAGTTGGAAGGGACCCAAGGCTCATCTAGTCCAACCCCTTGCGATGCAGAAATCTCAGCTACAGCATCCATGACAGATGGCTGTCCAACCTCTGCTTAAAAACCTCCAAAGAAGGAGAGTCCACCACCTCTCGTGGGAGTCTGTTCGACTGCCAAACAGCTCTGACTGTCAGAAAGTTTTTTTGAATGTTTAGCTGGAATCTCCTTTCTTGTAACTTGAAGCCTTTGCCTCGAGTCCTACCCTCAAGAGCAAGAGAAAACAAGCATGCTCATTAGTATAAGCTAGCGAAATTGTGGCAAAAGACACAATTGACTATGTTAGCATAGTCAATATGCTGGACATCACCTATCTTGCAACAATGCAATGTCATAATCTCAACAAACTCTGGGTAATGAAACCAGGTTTCCTGCGACCAAGCAATCCAAGAGATTCTTCGGTACATACAGTATTTTTAGTAACTGCTATGACTGTCAGTCATGCATCTTCATGTCCCATTAAACTGTTCTCTTTCCTACCACACCAGTGCCAGCCAGCCTGTAAGATTTGTATCTATCTTAACTATTATACTTCCCTTCTTTATACTGATTTTCAAATATTAATTTATATTATCACAAAATAACTTCATTTACAATAAGATATTAAGATAATTCAGTTTATAAACAGCCATTTGCCTGGTTGTTTGTGGCCACTAAGGAACACCTCAAGGCAGGGAGCCATTTGTAAATTGGGAGATAAGCAATTGCACTATCTGAGTTGTTATTCTAGGTCACTGATATGCTACAAATGATTAACGTATGTGTGTGGGCAGATGGGCTGGTAAAATTGTTGCTGGTAGCAATTTTGTGACCTTATTTCCAAGGCTAATTTAAATATGTAATGGTTTTCAATTCCTCAACTTGCTCAGAATAACCTTAACATGCAATTCACTTTCCATCATTTCCCCTTGCAGCCATTTAAGTTATTCCTATAACTAGAGAGAAAAAGAAAACAACCTGTGTCCATATTTGTTCAAAGTCCAGCATACATTCTGAACACAACATAAATGTTTGGCCCAGTTCAGATGTCATAAACACAATGCAACCTTCCCCTCCAACCCATATTGAAAAGGCTCTGGCATGTTCTGCAGGATCTCACACTCTCTCCTAAGGATCGCCTTCTCCACTTCTTGGTTTTCCATAGCTATAGTTTGTACTACCTATAGTTAGTTTGGCAAACATTATGCTGGTGGGGGAAAGGGGATTAAATAGGAGGATGTCAAGGAGGAACTGGAGTTCACAAAAGAAAGTAGGAGAGTAAACAACACAAACTTGTGACACACTCATGAATCTCCAAATCATGGTTTGGATATAGTCTGTTGCATCACACCTGGCCTAGTGAAACTTCTAAAAGTGAATGTCAAAGTTCTAACACTGCAAAAGGGTTATACAGTGCTACCTCAGGTTAAGTACTTAATTCGATCCAGGGGTCTGTTCTTAACCTGAAGCACCACTTTAGCTAATGGGGCCTCCTGCTGCTGCCGCGCCGCCGGAACACAATTTTTGTTCTCATCCCGAAGCAAAGTTCTTAACCCGAGGTACTATTTCTGGGTTAGCGGAGTCTGTAACTTGAAGCGTCTGTAACCTGAAGCGTATGTAACCCGAGATACCACTGTAATAGTAATAATCTGTGGCAGTGGGCTAGAACAGAAATTAATCCAGAAACTGATAAGGATATACTGCTAAGAAAATTAGTATTTTAAAATTCCCATGGGGCAGCGACATTTATGCTGCCTGCTTGGTGCAGACAACATCTAAATGTATACCACAATATTCTTTGGGGGGAAAGCAGTGAAATTTCAGTAATATGAGACCTGACTGCAGCTCAAAGCAAGCGTTCATTATAGCTTTTCACTGTTAACCCCTCATGGAAAGGTGAGGCACACCCAACATGCCCTATTATGAGATTTGTGGGAAGCCTTGCTTAGCATTGCAACTTTCTAAGCCAGACATTTCAAGATACTATCACTCTGAAACCATCAAATTGTGAGACCCTTGCATGCTGCAAGTACTTCAGTGTCAAACTGTACAAGCAGCACCTACAACAAAATGCAACAGTGTGGAGTGCTCCTCTGCAGCATGCCACCCACCCAGACATGTCCATTCTCGGGACTTTGTCCTCCTGTCCAAGTTTTCTGTTTTTATTCAATAGACAAAAAATATTCCATAGTAACTGAGAATGCTCAGTCCCCACTGAGCTGCTCTGCCATCCCAACACCCTTTTAGGGTTTTTCCCTCCCCCAACTTTTTGTGTACATTTTTGCAAACCTGGGGGTTCCCCTATGGGTAGCACTGTTGGGTCTGCATAACCCAAATCACCTGGCACTCACAGAATGAGTTTTGCCTTAGTATATAGGATTGCAGATCCAAGCTCTCTCATAACATCTCAAATGCACAAGCCAAACTAAGCAAGCATATACTTATCCTTTAATATTTCACCAATATCCAGTTGAAAAAGCGTTTATGCTTGAAGCATCCCTGCCTACATTTCCTATCTGAAGAGCAATCTGTACTATTTTGTGGAAATAACAGTCAGTGACTAAGTGAAAAACCGTAATAATTATAATGAAATAAGGAGAGTATCTGCACAAGTTCCTGTACCCTCTCTCCATGTTTAAAGTACACAGTACTCCTGATTTTTTAAAAAAAGACACAGCCCTGCGCTAGCTACCTCATCTTACTCCAAACCTGTTCTCATATTCATAATCCTTATTTTATGCACTCCTACCTAATCCTCTTTGGTTTCATATACACAGCTATTTTTAATGTTAATCCCCACCACCTTCTCTTGGCCTGTAAACAATGCAACTCTGCTACATAATCAATTTCAAAATTAATTATTGATTCTTCTTGTCTGCCTCAAATCTTCTCAGCTGACAAATTCAGCATATAGCCTCCAACTATCTTTGAAACCAAACAGGACTTTGCTTCAGTGCTCCCTGAATATCTTATAATTTCATTTAAAGCACTGGATACTTGAATGCTCAAGCAAGCTTTAGGACCAAAAGCATAAAATTTTTAGGAAATTCCTCAGAGCTTTTAAGACAAGTCTGCATACACAGCACCAGGTGTGATTAACCACACACACACACACCTTAGAACACCACACCCTTGAAATCCTAGATGCAGTACACACCTAGCATTGTTTTCTGAGGTATTTAGTTTTTCTTATAATGGCATTGTTAGATAGAAAGGCTGGGATTATTTGTACTGGAATCTCAGTTTTACTGCATCTGTTTTCAAATCCAAGCCCCAGTAACATGTCAGGATCAACTGATTTATACAGAAAGGCAGGTGTCATTAGTCAACATGCCTGAATATTGCAGCACCAAAATATTTGTATGTTGGCTCTGCCTTAACCAAACCAGGTCTGCTTCGGAGCATACCTGTAAATTTAGCTGACTGCTTTTGTTCATGCGACACAGACACTAACAGGTGCTTAAGCTCTACTTTTACCTCTCCATAAATCTCTTAGTATTTCCTTTCTCCAAGAGATATGTGGGTGAGAAAGTTAGCAGCTAGGAGCTATTGTCCCCCCCCCCCTTTTATTCAGGACATAGATCTTAACCAGAAGATCAACAAGGACTGCTGCAAGGGCCATCCCTCTTTTCCACAAGAGCCACAGCACAGTGGTAGAGCATCTGCTTTGCATGAAGGCCCCAGGTCAAATCCCTGGTGTCTCCAGGTAAGGCTGAGAGAATTGTCTGAAATCCCAGAGAGCTGCTGCCTGTCAGTGTAGAGAATACTAAACTCAATGGACCAATGGTCAGAGTCTGTACAAGGCTACTTCCTATGTTCTGCTAGAAAAACTAAAAGGATGAGAATTGGAGAATGCGGCTAAGGCTGTGGTTACACTCCTGCTCATTCTGCATCCACAGTGTGCTCCCACCCGACTCGTTCTCCATGATCCGTATCTATCCAGTATCAGTCTTATGGTTCTTTATGAAATACTGTGTTTTGATGCGTTCCCCCCGCCCCCAAGCGACAGATTCCATTTGAATTGAGAGAAAAAATGACCCACCTGCGCTTTAAGTCAGTATTGTGTACGCAGCCTCAAAAAAAAGGGGGGGGGACGTGGCAAATCAGTAGCTAGGCTCAATTCAATTAAAACTTCCCTACTGGTTTGTAAAACAGGGCTTGGAATTTACAGCCCAGTCATATCTATGTTTACTTGGAAGTTCAATAAGAGAGGATGCCTAGGATTGACACCACACATACACACACATTTGAGTTAGGTAGGTATGTGTTATGACATCCTTGTAGCCTATGTTCATGAATGCAAAATTAGTGAACTATCAACCGTTTCCCTCTAGCGCTCAGAAACGTTCCCACCTGAATACCCACGGATGTGGTAGGAAAAGTTCGACCTTTTTTTTTAATAGCCCTTTAGCCATCCTGAAAACGACACCCCGATTTTAAGTCTCGAGGTGTTCAGGGAGGCTGCCTGACACCAAGTTAAGTGGACACCGGAATCCGAATTACAATTTAAGCACTGGCATCCTAAGTACACTTACTTGCGAGGATGCCCCACTTAATTTACTTTGAAGGAGCACCCACAGGAAAAGGGCTGTGTAAAAAAAGAAAAAGAAAAAAACCGTATCTAATCTGCACGACCCCACGCGCGCTTCCGCGAAAGCAAGTCCCGTTGAATTCAATGGGACTCGCTTCCCAGGTAGGCGAAGGGTACGCGCAGCAGCTCTCGATTGGCCGCAGCGGGGCCGATCTCCACGCAGGTAAAGCTTCGCAGTCAGGCCTGGGGCAAAGAAGAAAGGAAAGAAAGAGGCTCCTTCCCGCCTCCGCCCCCCCCCCCTCAGGCCCGGCTGCGAAAGCGCACACAACCTGTTTGGCAAGGTGAAGGCAAGCGCAACCACCAACTCCCCCCCCCCCGTCGCCTTCCCCGCCCGACTTACAAGGTGTGGGTGAAGGCGCTGAGTCTCTCGGGCACGGCGGCGAGCCCTTTCCCGGAGCAGTCCACCCCGCCGTCCCCATCGCAGCTGCAGGAAAGCGGGCAGGGAGGAGGGGAAGCTCCTCGGCTGGGCCCAGGCAAGCTCGCGAAGCCCCAGGCGAAGAAGCCGAGCAGCGGCAGGCAGCGCATCGCGAGAGCCGCCCTCGGCGCCAAGACCTGCCCGCGGGCAACCCGGGGAGCCGCCGGGATGGGGTCTCCCCGTCGAGGGCGAAAGGGCCAAGTCCAGTCAGTCGCTCGCTTGCTCGCTGGCTTCCTTCTCCGCGGGCCCTTCTTCGCCTGAGCCGAGTCCTTGCTATCGCGGCCGGCTGGCTGCCTGGCTGCCCACCTCAGCGCTCCGCGTCAGCAGCAGCCGAGTCCTCTTTCCTTTCCCCTTCCTCCTCCCCTCAGCAAAATCCCCCCGACGCTTCAGCGGCTCCCCTTCCTTCCCGCTCCATGGAGAGGCGGCAGCTCGTCGTCAATCATTTCTCAAGCGAGCAGGTAAGGACGCGCCCCGCTGGGCTCTGCCATGGCAGCCTCGCCGAGCTCCCCTCCTGACGCCGCCGCCGCCGCCGCGTGTAGCGCAGCCTCCTCGCTAGGAAGTGGACCTTGCAGCCATTCCAGCGCTCGCCCGCTGCGCTGCGCTTCGCCTGGCCAGCAGCCTGCCTGCCTTCTTTCGCCTTCTAGGGTTGCACACAATGCGGACGGCTACTGCGTGCGCTCCTCGCCAACCCCGGCGCCGGCGCCTGCCGCTGCTTGCTGCTGCGCTATGCAGAACGACGAGGTGTGTATGCTAATGAGGAGGACGCTGCCGCCCGCCCGCATTGGTGCAGAGAGAACCTCGGCCTGATAAATATGCAAATATTTCCACGCACGTTTCCAAAAAAAAAAAATCTCGGCAACGTCCTCCGGGAGGGGGAAAAGCGGGCCTTCATTGGCAAGCGGAGCAGTGGGTGGGCGGGGAAAGAGGTGCTGAGTGACAAGGAGGGCGGGACGGAGGGCGGCTTCGGGAAGAGAGCGGGGCTGCCCCGGCTAGCGGGTGGGACGGGGGGGGAGGCTAGGTTTCTTCGATCCACGGTAGAGCCGTGCGTTGCGTGCGCATTGCGTGACGCACGGCTGCTCGCGGAAGCTTCCGGCTCGCCCGGGATTCCGCCGGGAGAGGCGCGAGGAGGAGAGGTTTGCTCGTGGGCCTGGGCTGCAGGCTCCGGGTGAGCAGAGCGGCGGCTCCACGTCCAGCAAGGAGGCTGGAGAAGTTAAAAGGGCGCGCCAGTGGCCGAGTGCAAGCTGGAGGGCCTGGAAGCTGCAATCGTCGGAATGGCCCCAATCCCGATAAAGACAGGCATTGCCCATTGCAAAGGCAGACACCTCCTGAGGAGTGGGGTGCCCAAGTTAGCTGCAGCTGCTGTCCGGTTCATTGGAAAGGGGCTTGTGCTGCATGGGCTGCTTTCTCCGGACTATTGTGTATCTGATTAAAAGGACAACGCAGGATAAAACAATGTTTGCAGACACTTCTGGACGGAAGCTTATTGTGGAATAGGTGTTTCCCCGCCGATGTTTTATTTTCTTTCTGCATTACCAACACTGCCTTTTTATTTTTTTATGTTGAATCCAGCTTTTCCATATTGTGAAATACTCCGGGAAGTAAAAGCAGCACACTGAACACTTGCAGTGGCTGCTAGTGTGGAAGGTCATTAGTGCTGGGGGTGGGGGAGGTTGTGGTGTGTGGATATGTTTCCATGGGCTCGCCTTGACTTTCATATGCTCAGTCTGGCCCTTCTGTTTCCAGCAGCTCCCAGTATTAAAGGAAAGAATCCTGTTTCCACATATTGCCACATGCCCAGCAAAAAAAAAAAAGGGGGGGACACCCTGTTCTTTCAAAATCTCCACATGATATATGTGGGACCTTTCCAGGGAGATCAAACTCACAGTACCTACACCAGGCTTTTAAAACAAGATGGTGGTGGTGCTAATGATGAAGGTCTTGCAGGAAACCTCTTACAAAACAAAGTGAAGATGAATATTGCCCACATGCTCCCCCTCAAAAAAACACAAGCCTCCATTTTGCAACAGGTTAACTGGCTGGATAAAGCTGGTAACCTTTGCTCTTGCATACTTCCTGGAAGTGTGTGTGCACAGGTACAAAATGTGTGCAGAACTGGCAAATTTAATGGAGAACTTGGGAGGAGTGATCGAGGTGAGGACAGAAAAGCACAGTCCTGATGCTTTCTGTCCAGCTCCACCCACTGATGTGGATAGCAAAGGAAAAAATGGGAATGAATATTATGACTGAAAAAGAGAGCATGTTCAGCAGTTAACTTGCCACACACAGGAATAAATGGATCTTCAAGACCTGTTCGAGATATAAGGTCCCCCATCTGGAATAACCCTGAAACCCTACTTAAACAAAAAGGTTGTGAGAAAACTTCTAGAAACAGTGTGGGCCTCTGGGAGGACTCTCTAGTGTGAGAATCCCACGCTAGGTACATCATAACACTAACATAGTGGCTATTGGTACTTCAGGCAGTCCTCAGTTGAACCTGCCATGACTTCTTTCTTGGCCTCATTTCCCCATCTGCAACAGAGAGGATAATAATACAGACTTAACTTACAGCAGGGGTGGGGAACCTCTGACCGATGGGCCTCATTTGGTCTGCCACAGATCCCAATTTATCCTGCAAGTTCATTTCCCACAGACCAAGAGCCAAGCAAGGCCCTTTGCAAGACTCTTGCTCCTTGCAAAAAGCCCTGCTCAGTGCTTTGAAGTGCCAGTGACCAAGTGATCAGCAATGTCTCCAAGCAGCATGCAGGGCGGCTGAGCCCACCTGTCAAATTTGGCCTGGTGTAAGGGATAAAAGGAGCTTGCCTGCAAGCCAGATCCAGTTCCCCTCTCCTGCCTTACACAGTTGTTGTAAGGATTACCTCTAGTAATGCATGTGACATGCTTTGGACACTTGAAAGGGCTATACAAATGTTAAATATTTGTTTTATCAAGGCTGTGTGCTGCTCCAGCTAATCGTTTGCATTGGAACTTGGATGTGGCTTCAACCTGGGTAGTTATTAAAGAGTTAACTCAGTCCTTACTGTAGTCCTGTTTACTATTGTAAAAATTATATGGAAGTTGCTAACCTGGATTCCTGGAAGCAGAATGATTCAGGAAAGTATTTTACTCAGAGAGACTAGATCCATATTTTTGCCTTGGCTATTGGATGTTCACAAAATGCATCACCCCCAAGAATATTATTTTTCTACCTTGGTGACCTTCAGACCTTTGAGCTTTATTTCAAGAAAGGCAGTGGCTCTCCAAATGGAAGTAGCTGAACCCTACTACTTAGGGTAATAACATCACTTTATTGAAGGTATTGCTGGAACATTCTGGGCAGATTCAAGACATGCCAAACCAGCCAGCTACCAAATAGCAACAAAGGTGAGTTCTGAAACCTGTCTGGAAGCATTGTGGTGGGACACCCAAACATTTTCAAATCCCTCAGAAGCATGTTCTGTGCTGTGGATCTTTTCCATGAAGTGTATGGTACAGAGGTTTTTTATAAGCTTCACCACCAAGTGGTTTGTTGCAATCATCCCAAAGGTTCTTTTGTTTGGCTTCTAGAGCTCACTTTCATGCAAAGCATAGATGATCTCTAGCCATTTAACAAACAAAAAACAGTGAGTATAATGTCATCCAGGATTGACTCCTCACCTCCCAAAGTCAGCAGTCTGCCAAAATATAAGTGGCTATTCCTTTTGCCCTTTTGAACATTTAATTGATACACAGCTAATTTTGTATATCCCTTAGTGTTAGATAATGTAGATAGGCTTTGGACCTATAGATTAACTCTCAGGGAAAGGAATTCCATACCTGGAAACTACAACAGAGCAAAACATTTTAAATTTAATTGTTCTTTTAGAATCACATATTGTGAGGTATGGAAAACTTTCACTGCTGAATAAGCGTTCACTTACTATCCTGAGTTAAGCAGAATGTTTTAAATAATATAGGCTAATGGCACTTGCAATTTTATAATTGTGCTCACATACTATTTCCTGCTTTGTCTTATATTGTGCATATTGCAAAAAAGATAATTTAAAAAGATAATTAAAAAGAAAATGATGCTAATGAGGAATGCAGTTGACATGGCTGTGCAGATAGTAATGGGTGTGGTTGTGAGTTGGTTGCATTGTAACAAAACGAAAAGGTTTTTGTGAGTGATAAAAACGTTGTAACTGATCTAAGCACATGCTTATTCTGCTGAAATCAAATTGGACTTTAAAGTGCCTATGTTTAGCTGGATTTTGCACTTCAGCTGTGTACACACTCTCACCACTGGTTCAGGAAGTGGTGTAACCACATTTCATATCTATTCCCCATCCATCCTGTTGTTCCTTATGAAATACTGCATTTTGATGCATCCCCACAAAACTAGCTTCCATCTTATTTGAGAAAAGGAATGGCCTAGCTGTGTTTCAAGTTAGTAATGTGTTGTGGCCGTAGGTTGTGACTGCCTCTAAATAGTTTTGTTTTCATAGCTTTCAATTCTGGAAACCCTCATTTTATTACATCTAAGGAAATACAAATGAGGATCAGATTGCACTTTATTAAATTTAAGATCACATATTGCAAAACTTATGTTAAGGTAGTTCCCTAAAGGAGTGGTAGTGTTTCTCTTAAGTGAGTGGCTTAGAATAAGTAGTAGCTGCTTTTCATAAATTATAAGAAGAAAAATCCACATATTTTATTTTTCAACACATATGAGCCATTCACTATTAAATTATCACCATATTTCCTGCACATGTTTACTCAGAAGTAGGGATGGAAGGAACTGCCAATTTTGGTTCTCCCAGTGTCTCGTTTTTCCAGTTTTAAGATCCTCATGGAGAGTCATCATTTTATTATTCATCATTTTTATATGCAGCTCTGGCTAATGCAAACATTTTTTGCAAGCAGTTTCCCCTAACATAATGCATCTTTGTATGCTACTTTCACTAATACCTTCATTCTTAAATACACTTTCCCCTAATATATGTATTTTTGTAAGTATTGTTTGAATGGAGAACTGCATCACAAATTTCAGATAATTGCAAATTTTGGAAGTTAGTAGTGTTTTGGATTGCATATTGTTTCAGAAGTGGGAATTTGACAGATTTGGCTTTAAATGCACCCTGAATTGAACGTCTCCTCCAACACTACTCAGAAACGACTCCTACTGTGTTCAGTGGCTCTCATTCCTTAACAAGTGTGGTTAAGATCGCAGCCTAAAACACGGGAACTAAAGCAACTTCATAAAATACATAATTCCTTGTAGTTCCTTTTGTCAAACAGAAACCTGCAATAGCTTTGCCTCCCCAAAGGTCTACTAACTTGGGATGCAAACTGAGAGTGAGGAAGCCACCTAACAGTTTCGCTTTCACCAAATCTGATGCCAGAAGAAGGAAATCATAACACCTGTAAGACCTCAATTGCAAGTCCTTGAAGAAGCCTAAAATCCAGCATCAATTCTATGAAATAATTAGATGAGCAAATTTAAATATTCAAATAAAAGCTTTAAATTGATATGGTACATGTGTTAATTGCAGCCTCACAAACACACACACAGAGAGAGAGAGCGCACAGGATGTGATCTAGCCATTCACATCAAGGAAAGGGTTAAACACATGCTTAACTTTCTCCCACTGAAATAAAGCTGCTTAAGTTTGACTGGATTGTGCCTACAAAGTAATAATGGGATAGCAGGCTCAGGTGTTGTTATTTTCTCTGTCACTTCCTCCTAGAAGAACCTTGACTAACTCTGTTAAAATTGCACACATACATAAATTCCATTTGTGCACACATACATAAACTCCGTAGGGATGTGGGTGGCGCTGTGGATTAAATCACAGAGCCTAGGACTTGCCGATCAGAAGGTCGGTGGTTCGAATCCCCGTGATGGGGTGAGCTCCCTGCTCCTGCCAACCTAGCAGTTCGAAAGCATGTCAAAGTGCAAGTAGATAAATAGGTACTGCTCCGGTGGGAAGGTAAAAGGTGTTTCTGTGCACTGCTCTGGTTCGCCAGAAGCGGCTTAGTCATGCTGGCCACATGACCTGGAAGCTGTACGCCGGCTCCCTTGGCCAATAAAGTGAGATGAGCGCCGCAACCCCAGAGTCAGCCACAACTGGACCTAATTTACCTATAAATTCCGTAACAAGTGTCCACAGTGCAGTTCTGGCTACCTATACTCAGAAGCAAGTTCCATTGTGTTGAATGAAACTTATCCCAGGTAAGTGTATATAGGATTGCAGTCTTCATTACCTTAATGGTTGGGCTGAGCTAGATAATTGGCACTTAAAGAAACATTATTGCATACAGTGCACCCTAAAAGATTGCTGCATCAAACAAGGAAACAAAAGTGATAAGCTAGGAGGAGAAAAAAAGCCTGCTATGGTATTTTTATTTGTAAGCAGGAAAGTGTCTGGGCAAGTTTCAACATTACTTTTCTGACATCCCCTAATAACATTCTCAAAGACTGGAAAATAACTTATGCAGAGAGCGACAGTGCTATATCTTATATTTGGAAAACAGCATGTAAAGTATTTCAAAGAGACTTTTTGTATGTGTGGAAGAGAAGGCCAAAAAGCACCGCTGAGTTTGGAAGCCATGGGAAGGGAAAATACCAAGGAAAAAATTACAAAAATCTGCAAATGAGGAGTCGTCTTCCCCTACCCACAAGCTCTGGAGCAACAAACCACTTCCTAGACCAAATCAAAGCTTAACTTGAAATGTTCGTTCATTTGGAGCTGGTGGCAGCGTAAATGTCACCCTGTAAACAATTAGCCTGCAAGGTAAGGAGCAAAAATTGAAATGCAATCAAATTTCTGAGAGTTTGTTGACAGAAGCAGAAGAGATTAATTCTTATGATGGATTTCCAGAATGGAAAAAAAATCTGTACAATTCAAAGAATTAACTTCAAAACTAAAATTTTAAAAAAGGATTGTTTATATAGTATGCTTACTAGCCAGATGTTTTGAACTACAACTCCCATCAGCCCCAGCCAGCACAGTACTTAGAGGGCACCAAGTTTGTGAATCATGCTTTAGGTGTATTAAATTATCCCACTAATAGTAACAAATGCTAACAGATGATCATATGAAAACTGAAGCTTTTTCAGAGGCCCACAAGGTTGTAAGAGGCCTTCATCATTTCTAATCCTTGGATTGCACAGATGTGATCAACACATTTGCAAGTATGTTTTGCGTTATGGCTGTAGAGGTTTTGAGAAAGGGTCAGGAAAAGTAGAATTCCGAGATCTCTCAGGACATTCAGCAAGCCAAAGGTAACCTAGACAGGGGGAACTGGATAGTGTACAAGGCTCGGCTCCAGAGACATGGACAATAGGTGGCACATGGAAGGAAGCACAGGGTTGATATGCATAATATAGCTGAGCCACTGCTTGAAATTTTATGAAAATACTTCTGAATGGTGGGCAGTTTTTGTAATTAAGTAGGAAGCTCAATTCTCTGAGAGTTGTGCCTCATATAGCCAAAATGGTAACATCCACATACAAGAGTGAGTTCTTAGCAGGCTTGGAGGAACCCCAAAGTTTGCAGTAGTAGGACACACCCACTCACATTTGGGGGAGGGAATCCTAAGAGGATAGAGTGAACCAAAATGATTTAGTAAGGACTGAGCATACTCAGTGGCTGGTTAACTGTAATGTGTGAGGATGGAAAATCAAAACTGAGTAGCTTGGGAGGCTATGACTGGCTGGCTGGAATCTTTGCGCAGGAGTAGTGATGTTAAATTCTTGAGAATAATCTTTTGGAGAATATTCTTGCAGAGAGCCAGTGTGGTGTAGTGGTTAAGAGCGATAGACTCGTAATCCGGTGAACCGGGTTCGCATCTCCGCTCCTCCACATGCAGCTGCTGGGTGACCTTGGGCTAGTCACACTTCTTTGAAGTCTCTCAGCCTCACTCACCTCACAGAGTGTTTGTTGTGGGGAAGGAAGGGAAAGGAGAATGTTAGCCGCTTTGAGACTCCTTTGGGTAGTGATAAAGCGGGATATCAAATCCAAACTCTTCTTCTTCTAATGAGGTGTGTACATTTAAAGCAGCTGTGTAGATGACACAGAATTTACAGTTTGTGGAGAATATTATCTGGATAACTTTCTAGCAGAGAATATTCTCACCTCACATCACTACACAGGAGCATTTCAAACTGCAGCCTCTTGCTGCAGACCCCACTTGTCACATTTGGAAAATATTTCCCCTGGCGGAGTCATTCGTCTCTTGTTAAATATCTCCCACAGCAGTAGCTGGCACAGAAGCTCTCAAAAGGGGTTCTCCATGTGGTAAAGCATTTTTTGCACCTTCTGTCCACCAGCAGTGCCACAAAAAGCATTTCTATTGGTTTCCATATACCTGCTTTAATGTGAAAATCTTCCTGAGGCATTCTTCCTAGCAAAGTATAAATGTGTCATCTGAGATCAACTATTCAGCATTTTGTTTAAGTATCAACTTTTGACAAGACAGAAGAGGGAGATGGTGAGGCTACCCTCCCTCTCACCTAGAAAACCCCACAACCTGCCCCAATTCCTTGGCTCAAAAGTACTATCAAAAAGCCCTAGGAGTCATGTTCAGCATAGGTTTTTCAGCAAGCTTAGTTTTAATACTGGCCAGGGCCAGTGCCCAATATCTATTAAAAGAGCACTTCATTCTGAGAGCACAGAAAGACGCATTTGCAGTTTTAGATATCCGAAAGAAACCTGTTAACTTTAGACACTGGCAATGCTAATACTGAATCCAGACAATACGTAGAGGGAGAAATATTTTTTCTTTGCAGAGAATGATGAAAAAGCAACTTTATTGGAAGCATAAACATCACCAAAGATGTAAGCGCAAAGAGACTTCTGCTAAAAGCATATTATGTTACAGAGGTTTAAAAATAAGGAAGGGCTTCAACTGGGTCTGCAGCCAAAGTTGGGGTGAAGCCAATGAAGTAAACAGGAGATCAGGCTCAGCACAGGAGCAAAGGGCAAGCTTCTAGTCAGTGTCCAAGAGCCACAGCACGCTGAAAGTTAGGAAAGCATCGTGAATTGAAAGCGGAGCGGAGCCAGTAATTAGGTCAGGAAGTCATGTCAACAGCCAGAAGGCCTGAGCCAGACAGAAAGGTAATGTCTGCAGCATGAACAAGGCAGGAAGAGAGGAGGTAAGCTAGAACACCCTTCACCACGGACTGGAAACACATTCTTCCTAGGGCACTATTAAACTAACCAGACACGTCCTGCTTCCTGCCAAAACTTCATCTAGATGGTAGGAGGGGATGCTGAGAACCAGCAAACAAATGAACCAGAAAGTCCACTGGTTAGAAAGCTGGCAGTCCTGTGGGCTACGATAGTTTGTGACCGTTACACCAATGAGCTCCTCAACAGCAGCATAGAATAATTCTGTCCAGGCTGTGGAAATACTGAACTCACCCATATGTTTTATGGCATGTTTTTACAAGTGGGCCCGTACACTGCTGTTTTTGTGAGTGAAATGAAAGATCAGTTTGACTAAAGAAGGGGTGGGGAGACATCACCTGGAGGTCTAAAGAACAGAGGAAATGATGCAGTGCAGACACAGAGGCTCCACTCTGGGAAGCGGAAGGGAAACAGAAACCAGCATCATGGTAGCCGACAAAAAGAGAAGCGGGATTTTACTTCAGTGCCAACATTTTATTACATTTCTGGAAATTAAAAATTGCTCTTCTAATAAGCTAAACAATGCTGAAAATGCACAGGGTTGGTACTGCTTAATTTATTTAAAATTTGGTATCACTTCAGGCGCCTCTCCACATAAGCCTAGAGAGGTCTCTTTGGGAAAGGACCATTTAGAAGAGCTAGTGGGACAATTGCTTTTGCCCTCTCCCTACTCCTGTTGTCTTTCCATTTCTCCCTACACCCCACCCCCAAAAATCTATCTCTTCTGTTAATCTTTAAGGTGCCACAAAAGATTTCTGGGTTTTCTAACAGATTAATATGGCTTCCCCCAGTGCTATTTTTCTAGAAAAAGAGGTGCCGGAACTTACCATGAATGCCTTCCTCATTCTCTCAGAATGGCGATGGTGCTCACCTGAGAGGTGTCGGAACTGAGTTCCACCAAGTTCTGGCTGAAAAAAAAGCCCTAGTTATCCCTCTCTTCTTTACTCTTGAGAATATTCTCTCCCTAACAGCCTCCTTCTATCTGAACAAGCCCCCTGTGGGCTCTCCCTCACCTGACATTACCCCACAGGAATTCTCTTGCCCAGCTAAAAACCTTCCCCAGGCATTCCATCCATCAAGTAAGCTCTGCCTCCCCAGCATTCCAGGACAACTCCCTCCATCCCGTCATTAAGCCTGGCAGACGGGGCGGGGGAGAGAGAGAGTTGGTTTCAATGGAGACAAACAAACCCTAATTATTGGAATGATGGGCAATTTCAACCATGCAAATTATTGTGTACAGAGGCACTCTGGGCTCCAAGCCCTATGCCAAACTGTAGATGACGATGATGATGATTAAACCACACGTCACCCTAAGGTCACCACTTCTTGTTTTAGTTTGTACCTTATGTGTTCTATCTGGTCAATAACTTCAAGCCGTGAGGTGGCTCATAAATCTGTAAAATAAACACACCCACAAGTTCTCAGAACTATAGGTCATAATGTGCAATTATTGTATGCATTTCCATTTGTGTGGTTTCTCATGCATCTGGGTTTTAATTGTTTTATATCCAGCTGTTGCTATGAGCTACCTTGGGTGATTTGCTTGGGAAAAGTGGAGCATACATTCTTAAACCACTGTTTATTCATTATGTCACATCACGGAAATTTCACATAGAATTTACCCCCCATCGTGGAAGTGCTTTTTCCCATCTGAAATATTTGGCATGGAAAGGACCTTTAGCTGCACACGTTTTCAAAACGAAAGACTCTTATTTCAGAACACCTGGAAGGGCTGTAGCTCAGGTGGAAAGAGCTATGTCTACAAAATGTCCCAGGTTCAGTCGCCCCCATTTCAGGTTGGGCTGGAAAGAATCCTATATGAAATCCTGCCAGTCAGTAGATACAGTACAGAACTAGACGGACCAGTCATCTGATGATATGTTCCTAGAAGCAGTCCTCAGAGGTGGAGGAAGGAAACCCAATACAGCCAGGCTAGGTAAAGGGCAGGATTTGGTGCTGCTTAGTGCATTTCAGTGGAGGCAACTGGGAATTCATTCCACATGGTAATGAATGAATGGGGTAGCCTTTGTGTACATTAGAGCTGTTGCTCCTGTAAGAAACTATTCTGTATGAAACAGAAGCACTTTAACACCACCTAGTGGTATATGATACTGATGTGTACCAGCAGCTTGATCTGTTTTGGAGCTGCTCTGTGTTTTCACTATAATGGGAGAGCCTTAAAATGTTTATAAATTCCCCTCCTCTTTCCACAGAGGTAGGTGAAATTTGCAAGCATAGCAGCTCCTCCTGCCAAATTGTAGGCAGATACATCCAGGGGTTTCCCTGCAATTCACCTTTAAAGTTTGGTGGTTGGTTTGTATACTATTTTCTGCAAGACTTTGATGTAATTTCCAGGCATGGTGATTCCTTCTGAGTAGACAAAACCTGTCAAATTTCTGAATTATAGTTGGCAGTGGTTCACAAAGTTTTGCTGTTTTGTGGTGGGTGCAATAGGAATCATAAGTTGGGAGTGAGGGGTGGAAAGAAGACAATGGATCCCCAGGAAAGGCTGATGTGGGTAATATATCGTCATCCCAGCAAGGACTCTGTTGTGCTAACTTCAGCTCCTAGGGGGTGGGCTTTTGTAGAATAATGTCATGTTCCTCCTAAGAACTTCAAGCAGACACAGGAGCCCAATGATTAGCATAGGTACAAATATACCAATTCCATCACTTATTGAAGTATCCTGACATTAAAATGTATGCATGTGTGCCTTTCACACGGTATGAAGAAATGGTATGATCAACTGGCCCCAGTTGCAAAATAATGATTTAACAAAGTAATGGAGAACTAGTGGGAAATTTGTCAGGACTGAAGCAAACATGGAAGAGTGAACTGCACCACAATGTACGTGAGCAAGATTGGGAAACTGTTTGGTGAACCAAACTTGCCAGATCTATCTCTCCATATATTGGGGAAAATACAATCAAAAGCATAGGACACCATTCCAACTTTCCCATGTGGCATCTGATATCTCCAGAACTGTTTACCTGGAAAGATTACAATCCTAGTGGGACATGCCATCATTTATGGTGGGGTTGCTCAGTAGCACAGACCTTCTGGGGAGATAAACACTTGCAATAGTAAAAATAATTATACATGCACCAATAGATTTCACACCTCAGTTGTTTTTTCTATCAGTCACTTAGGGGATAAACAGATGAAGACAACCTGCCCCCCCCAATTTTCCTATTAGTGGCAACAAGATTCTCCAATGTCCAAATGTGGAGGGAATTGCATAATTTAAAACTTAGATTTATCTTTCAAAAATGGCTTGAGACTAGCTGTAGCGGGGGGGGGGGATACACGATGTTAAGGTATTGAAAGGCAATGAAGAAAGCAGTCACATTTTATGCAGTATGGTGGCAAATTAAGTACTAACAAAATTGGGCTGAAGAACAAGCTGCCCATGGCATCACTAAAAATCTGGATGTTATGATTCTCAGACATAGTAGGTCTCGTTCTCTGTGAGGCAGAAGCCATTATCTGGATTATAACGCAATTATCAGCCAGTTTATCAGGTTTAAAATCCTCTTAGGAAAAGGATTTAAATATTTGTATAGAGGAGGACATGGACTGAAAAGCACTTTGGACTTCTAAGCTGTGCAAATCATTATCTGCACATGTGAGAATGTTCCTTAAAAATTCAACACTGATGGCATTGTACTGCATACCCATTCAGCTATCTCATATTACTTCCAATGCAGTCCAGAACTGTTGGAGAGGTTGCAGGAATAAAGGGGCTTTTCCCCATCCATAGTGTGAATGTTCACAGGCTGCTTTAGGCACATCTACACAAACTATTATTGATGCCATTTTAATTGTTGGGCTGTTATTTGTTTTTATGGGGAGGAGACCTTGAGTACTGCGTGGCATGTATTCCCAGGTACACTTCAATCAAAACAGAAAAGCTTGCTTAGGACAAGCATACCCTGTTTCTCACATAACGGTATCTGGTTCTTTCACTCTTCAGCATAATAAACTAGAAAAAATAATGGCTGCCAATCATGTCATACCACAGGAACTCAGTAGAAAACCACTGTAATTTGAAGCCCTAATACTTTCTTAGGTATTAGTAAGGTAAAGGGTAAAGGGACGTGGACAACTCTGGGGTTGTGGTGCTCATCTCGCTTTACTGGCTGAGGGAGCTGCCGTACAGCTAAGCCACTTCTGGCAAACCAGAGCAGCACACGGAAACACCATTTACCTTCCCGCCAGAGTGGTACTTATTTAGCTACTTGCACTTTGACGTGCTTTCAAACTGCTAGGTTGGCAGGAGCAGGGACAGAGCAACGGGAGCTCACCCCTTTGCGGGGATTCGAACCGCCGACCTTCTGATCGGCAAGCCCTAGGCTCTGTGGTTTAGACCACAGCACCACCCGTGTCCTCTAGGTATTAGTAGTACCATACTAATTCTGAACTTGCAAGGATAAACCCTGAAGTGTATTTTGTGGGGGAAGCCAGGAGTGTTGAAAAGAGTCTCCCAAATAAATATACTCGAATATGGTGGTTGTCTTATAAGGATAGTATGAACTTTGTTTCATTTGTATCAGTAAGACAATAAGGAAATAGAGAGAATACTCACACAGCAAGAAATATGAAATTTCAATTCTTTATTTTCATGTTCCTAAAAAATGTACAGGGCCCTCAAGCAGCAATTAAGTACATAAAGACTACACACACAGTATTGTCTATGTTTTAATTTTTGCTGGCTATTAAATTATTGCATATGTGCACACGTCAATACAATGTAGTCATTGCACCTGTTCAGTAGTATCTTATATGTTCATTTCTTGATTCTCCAACGAATCTAACTTTACTTTAAAAACTGGCTTTCAACCTGGGCTCAGGATCCCATTTGTATTGCAGCGACTAAGAAAAAGAGAGACCAGTTTTAAGTAGACACACACATCTATCTGGCTTTGGGCCTCTTTCACAGTTTCTACTGATCCAAATTTTGGATATGAGATGGGTTTAGCAGCACATCTTTTACACAGTGCTTTTGATTCCAATAAAGACAAGAGGCAAAAATATATATACTGACACTGTCTGGCCCCCATTTGCTACACACCAGACTTTAATCCAAAAGGCCTGGAGCCTACTGAATCCATAGGCCAGGCTTGATAATGAAACCCCCTAGCAGTGCGACCATATACATGTCTACTTAGAAGCAAGTCCCATCAAATTCAATGGTGATCAATCCCAGGCAAGCGGGCAAAAGGATTATAGCCATAAGCACTTTTCAACAGCAGCCCAGGCTACCCCAAGCTAACCCTTTATAGAGTAACAAAACACATGTCTATATTCAGTAAAAGTAGATTAAACTATTTTTATTATAGTATTTGTTTGACCCTATTCTTTTTACTATAGAAACCTCCAACACAAATCTAGTATTATATATAATTAAAATAAAATACCTCCTGATTGGCCCAACTACTTCTTTTGGTCTCATTATTTTAAATATTAATTGCTCCATAAAAAATATACAGTCCACCAACATGGTACAGCTGGTTGCCTTCTGCAGCTGGCTACATATTTAAACCGTGCAATTCAGTGCTCACTTATCTAAAGGCTCACCCACACTTACCTTTTGCCCTGCAGTTTCCAGGCACAGATCCTAGCTTATAAAAGCTCTGTGTCCAAATGTTTGTTTGTTTTACCCCAGAGCTTTCCCTGCAAAAGCCCACTCTTTAGTGCTCAACTGGATCAAATGTCAGTTCGCGTTTCCTGCAGATTGCTGTTTGCACCGACTGAGCTTTAAAGAGCAGGTTTTCACAGGGAAAGCTCTGGGACAAAAAGGAAAAAAAGGTGCTCATACATGGAGCTTTAAAGTGCGGACTGTGCCTGCAAAGAGCAGAGGAAAGGTAAGTGTGGATAAGCCCAGTGACAAAAAAGACGAAAGAATAATAATACATGCTTCATGGCTTCAGTCACTAAATCTTCAATTTACTGTAGGCTTATGCTGTCTAAACGCTCAAAGGATTTAAGATTACTTGAATCAATTTTGCTAGATTACCCCCCGCTCCGGTCATCCAAACAAATGTAAGATTTACGCTGTCGTTAGAATGAAAAATCTACTCTCCTGACCTTTTTTATATTGGCACTCTAGTTATATTTGACTGCATGTAGTTCATGCAGAGGAGACATGTTGCAGAACACTTACTCCTATCCACTTGGATGCATTTACAGCTGAACACTGACATCCAGTGGATAACCAGGCTAATGCTAGATAATACCAAGCCAGGAATATTCAAGTTTCATCAAGGTAACTCCCTTTTTAGTTTGTTATTAAGGGAGGAGATTGAACCACTGGCTATTTTCATCTCAGGCAGAGTAGGGAATAGTGGCAGCAGATTAGTGAGAAAAGGGTGGAAGCAGGGCTCCATGCATCTCTTGTACAACTGAAGCTTTCAAGACAGGGGTTCTAAGAAAAGCAGAATAACTCTCTGTTACATACACCCCTCACAAAAATGATTTTCCTGCAACGTTGCTAGGCTGAAGATGTCAACATAATGGCTTGAATCTCAATCAAAGTGATTGAGGGAAGGCAACACACTGAAATTCAGCAAGAAAAGGTTTGCCATCCTGGGCACGCTTACTCAGAAATAAATCCCAATAAAATCCATATTCCTGAAGCAACACGGTTCAGTGTAGTTTCCATTGTCCATCGATCAAACTACTTTGTCTCTCTGGATAAGCATTAGCAAGATAGCTTCTTGGCTCAAAAAATTTAACTTGAGAATTAGAGACTGGTCCTTTGTGTCATCTTTCTGAACAGCTGAAAGTGGTGCAAATGCTTTCAGGATTAAACTATACAGTCTATAAGCAAGTTTAAGTAGCGCTCTGTTTAAATAAAGTTGGAAGGTTTAGCCCAGGACAGTAACATGAGCAGCAATGAAAGCATCTATGATGCAAGTCAGTAATGTCTGCAGGAACTCATTCTCCACTGCCACTACAGTTATCACACAGGTCTAGCAAGCTTAGTGACCGCATCACTACCAACGACCACATCACTACCAACATTTGCAAAAGCAAAGAGTCTCTTTGCTAACTGATCTTCTAAACCCCAGAAAGATGAACTTGTACAATTGTGGGGCTCGGCTGAAAATAACGTGTCTCCAGCTGCTGCAAGTTCTTTGTTTTGGCTTGACAGCTTATGCTAAAAGAGTGAGGCAACTTTAAACTTAAACAGAGCTTCAAGGATTTGCAGTTTTGAGGTAGAGCATCTGGATGAAGGAACTATGTTGGTCAGGCATTTTCATCCACAGTAGTAAGGGATAAACAGGAATCTTTAGTTGCAAAGCACCGCCCACCACAGTATAACTTTGGCAGACCACCAGCCAAATGAATCTCTTTATAGAGATTCCCAGGCTCTAGAAAAGGATTTCTTTGCACTCCAGGTGGATATTTTCTAAGCACCCCAGACATACTAGCTCTCTCTTAGCACAAGCCATCTGCTGAAACTTCAGTTGTGGATTTGTACTTACTTCATAGACAACTTTGGGGGGGGGGGGGCTATATGCGATGTAGCAAAATGCTATCCGCTTTGGGTTAGAAGCATGCCCAATGGATTTACACAAGCAGGGAATGCCTTTTCTGATAGAGAGTAGTGTCTGCTGCCTGAGTGTTTTTACAAAAGAATTCGCGTTATCCGTTAGCTTTTCTGTGTCACTATGACAACTGCAAACAGCATACTGAAAGAACTCTGATGCTCTAGGAAGGAAGAGCACACCACCCACTTAGGTACCTGATGTGGGTTACATCCATCACTGTTAAGAGAACAAGTAGACACAGTTGCAGAAGTAACTTACAACAGAAGAAAGTCTTGAGTACATATACAATCTTTTCTGCACTGCATGCAATTTTACCTTACTGAATATAAATACACAACTACAGTCAGGTATGCTTTCCACTTTCTCCAAGTATTCAGAAATTAGTACAAAAGTATCTAAATTATAGGAATGATTGCTGCTAGTGATGTCAATCACTGAAACATTAAATATAAGAGACTGCCTGTTACAAATTATTCACAAAAGAGGTAAGAAAGTGTCCAAGATGTCATTAACCATATAAAGTTATGATTGAGAACATGCATAGAAACTTGTTCATCAAAAGCACTAATTGTACTTGACCACATAATTATGACTACCTGTATGTAGAAGACTAAATTTAGTGCCAAAAAGAGTAAGACTTGTTTTATATCTGTATCCAAAATAAAGATTTCCAGATTTAAGTAATGCCAAATGGGGAAAAAGTACTAGAAAACAGATGTTACAAATGCTGAAAAAAGCTTATTAAAATGTATTTTAAAAACACTTTACAAATTTGTTCTGATGGTTACAGGTTTGAATTTTAAAGAAAGGATCTGTAAAACCACATAGCTACAAACGCCCATGTAAACTTTTCTTCTCAGAAGCATTAAGATGTTCAAGAGTTATTTGTAAAAGACAAAGCATTAACAAAATTAACATCCTTTTCTAACGTTGCTTGTCTGATATTTCCAGACAAGCAAAGTTCATGCTTTTCCTTAAGTGACATGTAATACATTAATTCTGTTGCCTGCGTTTTGCCGATCTCATTTTCTCAAATCGTGACTCCATCTCTTCCAGGACTTTGGGTGTGTATCGTACAACCAGCTTAACTTTTCCTTGAGCAGCTTTTAGCAGTTCCACAGCTTTCTCGTGGTGCTCCCCTTCAACACTCTGAAACAAATATTTCAAAAATTAACCATTCTGTTAGTAAATATATATAAAAAAGCACTCTAATATTCCAGCATTGTTATTTATAAGGCTAGCTGAATGACCTCACATAGAAGAGCTAGATTTTATGTTGGCTGTATCATAACGTTATCTGTTCTAGGTAATTTGTGGCTTTCAAAATTAAGCACATATTTAAGGGTGGGGGGGAAGAAAAGGGCAGTTGCTCTAGGTTTCACTAACAACAGTGCTTCTCAAAATGTCAGTCATGATATGTAAATGGGTCCTGATGTGTTCCTAGGTAGATTGCCAGACTCCCAAGATTTCCCCACCTTATCAGGGCACAGCCAGATTCCCTGGCAAAGTTAGTTCCCCCAACTGAAGTTACCAGGACAAATGAATGAGTCTATAGAAAGGTAAGGATTTTCTCAGTGCCACCCACCAGCTGGAAGGCTGTGTGGGGACTGGTCAGCTGAGTGTCAATGACTCCTTTAGTCAGCCGCCAAAACAGTTCATTGTGGGAGGACTTGAGTTGCTGTGAGCTATTCCAGTGGCTACCTATTAGGAAAAATGGAACAAGAAGCTGCTGGCCATTGCTACATTTTAACCGCATTTAGGAAAAAAGTAAATGTGCATGCAAAGTAGCATTGTATGAGGAGAACTGCTTTACCTCAGGTGTTCTGAGGTAACTTGACAGAGAAAACTCAAGGAGTCAATACTAGAAAGGGATGAATCTTTAGTTCCGGTCTGTGGCGTTTTTACATGGGTTCACTCAATCCATGCTTATCATGCTGTTCCCTCCAAAAGCAGATTATTTTAAAATGCATTTTGATACATTTTTTGGCACGTTTGGGAAGTGTGAAAACTGGGAGGTGAAGTCCACTCAGCACAGTGGATTAGGTCCTTTCCTATCCAAATTCACACACACACACACACACACTCAAATTTCTGAAGCACAGCCTCATCCTTTCAGGATTTTGCCCCTATACCTTCAGCCTTCATTATTTATTTTGTATCTTGCCTAGACTGCAAGGAGCTCAAAGCGGTATGCATGAGGCTATCTCATTTTATCCTCACAAATCCTGTGAGGTAGGTTAAGCCAAAATATAGCTGACAGGTCTCAAGAGTAGAAAATATTTTTTCATTTAAAGTTGCATAGTATGTAAAATAGTCATTGATGAGAAACTGCATATGGGCAGTTTCTCATCAATGACTATTTTACTAACAGACTATTAGTAATAAACTATTTTACTAACATCTTGCTAATGTTATTTCAACAAATTTGGGATCCAGTTCTAAAATGTGTATCCACCTGCTTTATTAATTAAAAATGTTTCCTCACATAACAGCAGGCTTCTATCAGCGCTAGTGAACTTAGAATTGCAAATCTAAAACACACTCCATAATATTTTACTCTCCATTATGATTTGCAAAAGGAAAATATAAACCTGTTTTTTCCCCATACTGCATAATACACACAAGACCAAGCAATCAACATCCCCTCAATGCCCTCAAGCGGTCACAGGTAGCTACTACAAGTGGAAGTTAAATTCCATCCCTACCACTCCGTTTACAGAAAGAAGCTGGTCTCCACGCTTCAATCCCCCGTGTCTATCAGCAATACCACCTGGGATAATTCGGGATATATAGATTGGAGAATTTTGCTCTTTGCCGCCCATGATGTTGAATCCGAGCCCTTCTTCTGTTTTTGGTAGTTCAACGACTCTGGGATGGGAATGACCCTCACTGGCAGCAAAGGCAGCAACAGTGGCCTGCAAAACATGGAAATCTCATTTTCCTCCCCATAGTTCACAAGGTTTGGAATCTTATTCACTGTCTTATCTCAAAGGCAAATATTTCAAAGCATCTTGCTAAATACTGCCAATACAAGTGCATCCCCTGCAAATGTACTTCAGAGTATTTTCAATCTCTGGGCTGCTGTTCTGAAGACGGTTTGTACTCCAAACCATGGGAAAACAAAAGGCAAACAAACCAAACATATGCACTGTTTCACTTATAACTGCATTTTCTTTGATGATACATGGACAAAGGTGAATAATAATAATAATAATAATAATAATAATAATAATAATTTTTTTATTTATATCCCGCCCTCCCCAGCCGAAGCCAGGCTCAGAGCGGATAACAACAGTAAAAATACCACAGTTTACATAAAATCACAATCAATTAATTGAAATACATTCTAAAATCAATTCATTCTAAAATCAATTCAGAGTCAAATTAATGGCAACCATTGGGCTAGAGTTCTATAAGGATTACAGAAGGAGGGGGTCAGACTGTGCCTTGGCCAAAGGCCTGGTGGGACAGCTCCGTCTTGCAGGCCCTGCGGAAATATGTCAAGTCCCGCAGGGCTCTAGTCTCTTGGGACAGAGCGTTCCACCAGATTGGGGCCACGGCTGAAAAAGCCCTGGCTCTGGTTGAGGCCAGCCTAACCTACCTGTGGCCCAGGATCTCCAAGGTGTTTTTATTTGAAGACCGTAAGGTCCTCCATGGGACATACCAGGAGAGGCGGTCCCGTAGGTACAAGGGTCCTAGGCCGTATAGGGCTTTAAAGGTTAAAACCAGCACCTTAAACCTGATCCTGTACTCCACCGGGAGCCAGTGCAGCTGGTATAGCACCGGGGGAATGTGATCTCGCAGCGAGGACCCCATAAGGAGTCTTACCGTGGCATTCTGCACCTGCTGGAGTTTCTGGGTCAGTCTCAAGGGCAGCCCCATGTAGAGTGAGTTACAATAATCAAGTCTGGAGGTGACCGTTGCGTGGATCACAGTGGCTAGGTCACGGCGAGAGAGGTAAGGAGCCAACTGCTTAGCTTGGTGGAGATGAAAAAATGCCACCTTTGTTATAGCTACCATCTGCGCCTCCATGGAAAGGGAGGTGTTGAAGATTGCACCCTTAACGGATGGTGCTGGCACTAATTGCGTCCCCGCAAGAGATGGGAGTTGCCCCCCCCATCCCATATTGTCCCGACCCAGCCAAAGGACCTCCGTTCCCCTTGCGTGTGTTTTGAAAACACACACGAGTTCCTCATAACAGATGCACTACTATGCATTTTTAACTTGGGTACTGGAATCAAGTAAACAAATGTACAAAGGAGAGTCATTCTACACAGCAGAATGCTCTCTAAGCAGAGGCAGTATACATCACCCTGTCCTGAACCCCCTTCAACATCCTCATAGTAACAGGTGCTGATAATCCCAACCCTCCACATTCTTGTACTGTACCAGGCATTTATCCAATGCACTGACTGTTCAGCAAGAATGCTATTTTAGCATCCCATGCATTGGGGTAGGAAGGCAGTCAATAAACATGTAAAAAGCATCCGCATGAGAGTGCATTAGTGAACTGCTTCAGTGCATTAACAGAAAAAAACAACTTTAAAATAAGGAACTGCTATAGGAAAACTTTGTCTTTGGTAAGGAGCCCTTTCATTCTTCCCAGTTTATCTTAAGCCTACAATTGTTTAAAGTGTTTGTTTCACGGATATTCCCATTGAGCTCAAAAGCACAGCTCACTGCAATATTTTCATAGCCTAATACTTCAGCTTTTATAGATTGAAGCTGCCAGTTGAGCTTTAACATATTAACCCTTCCTAAATAGGAGTCTTACCTTGGCTGTGGCATTAGCTCTCACTTCTGGGCTACTGCTGATGTCCACAGTCTCATACACGTGCTCATATACCTTTAGAAAGAAAGACAAATCAGGTATGTGATTTATTGGATAGGGGATGACTAAATCAAACCACATTAATAATATTTCCAAATGAACTGTGCGGATTAACTATAATTTTGCATGCATGCATTGAGTTGTGAATCAGGAAACTTGGTTTGTCATTCACTACAGTCATACCTCATGTTATGTTTGCTTCATGTTATGTTTTCTCAGGTTGTGTCCCGCAGCGACCTGGAAGTACCGGAAAGGGTTACTTCCAGGTTTCACCACTCGCGCATGCGCAGTAGCGCTAAATCATGCCTTGCGCATTCGCACAAGTGCCAAATCGCACTGTGCACCTGTGCAGATACGGTGCTTCAGGTTGCGGGCTTTTCACACTGCGAATGGGCCTCCGGAACAGATCCCGTTCGCAACCAGAGATAACACTGTATTATCTTTTTGCTTGGAACTGCACTTCAACAGAAGGCAATTCCCAGTGTAGCTCCCAAATATTAATGAGAAGACACTGATCTATACATTCTCCACACACTCCTCAAAAACATACCTCCCGCACAGCATTACAGAATTCACTTTGAAGGACCCTTTGCAAAGCCTGTAGTTTTTGTGGGGGCACTTCTCCGCTCCTTTGCAACTTTTCCAACAACTCAATAGCCCGACAGATGTCTGTAAAAGAAAGGCAAGGAAAGAACATGAACTACTAAAATCTACTCAGAGGGTAATGATACTAGTTCTGACCATTGAATTGGGCTAGTGAATCAGACCATGTGATCAGCCTACATACCTCAACTGTGTGGGAGCCACTCATAGAAATGTGGCTCCCACGCAGCTAGAGTAACATTCGAAAGCACTCCTTCCCATTCATCTGGAGCAGGAAAAACCCAGTACAGATTTTGTACCAACTTGCTCTTCAATGTTTGTTCCATGACTAATGAGCATCAGACCAATATACTTGTCAACAAAATCCCAAGGACAGAATCCTGATGATCATCAGCTCTCCTGTTTCAGGCAAACCTTGTTCCTTGCAATGTATACCTATTAGGGATTCTTTATTACAAATATTTCAGTGGCAGACAAACATTCATGAAAAACAATCTGGACTCCCTCTACCATTCTTCCTTTGTAATATGCAGATGGAGAATTAAATGCCATCCCAAAGCAGCAGAATAAATATTGTTCTAGGCTCTGTTCAATGTTCACATGCTTAGATGACAAGGTCTAATACATGAACCGTCTATGCTCCAGATTAGAACAGACTCCTGAAGTCACTAACAGACAATGCACATGGTTCCCAAAGCAGACAGCTCTGTGCAAATGCTGTAACAAGCTTGGGGCCCCTCTCCTGAGAGCAAAACATACTTGAAATTGCTTGAGTACAGGGAAAGCCCACAGAGAACATTTTACCCAAATGATTAAGTTAAAAGGTGGTTCAAGGGGCAGAGGACACTGATATTTGCATTTGAATAGAAACCAGAGCCTCTGAAAGAGTACATTTCCATAGGATGACCATTGGAACACTGAGAGTCAGGCATTGACGATTATGCAATGAGCTGTTGACAGGAAGCTAAGTACAAATGTTATTGCTGCCGGATACACCTGCCATCTCAACTTCATGGAAACACATGGCATTTTAACTTTTTCTCCACTATCAATTCTAACATCTTCCTTAAATATTTGCTTCCACAACCAAGCACTCGCTCACTACGGAGCATGGAAAAAATTAAGTCATCTGTTGTTGCCTCTGTTACCCATCAAAACAACAACTTAGCAAAAAAATTGTACTTTTCAAAGCTTAGTCTTTGAAGATTAGAAATAAAAACACAGCCTTTGCATGACAAAGAGCAGAGCCAGCAGTTGAGTCCAAGCATCCGATTTTTATTTTTATTTGCAAATATTACTTAATTTTCCTTGAATGACTGAGGAGCAAAGGATAAAATGTTGTTCAAAACAAATTTGAGGTTACAATAAGCCACTACTGTATAATGAATGTTAGAAGTTTCAAAAACAAACAAACCTAGCCATATTTGGAAAACTAAAACATGACAACTGATTGTCAATTACAGTGGTGCCCCGAAAGACGAGTGCCTCGCAAGACGAAAAACTCGCTAGACGAAAGGGTTTTGCGGTTTTTGAGCTGCTTCGCAAGACGAATTTCCCTATGGGCTTGCTTCGCAAGATGAAAACGCCTTGCAAGTTTGTTTCCTTTTTCTTAACACCGTTAATACAGTTGCGACTTGACTTCGAGGAGCAACTCATAGAACGCGGTGTGGTAGCCTTTTTTGAGGTTTTTGGTGATTTTTGAAGCTTTTCCAAAACTTTTCCGACACCGTGCTTCGCAAGTCGAAAAGTTCGCTAGACAAAAAAACTCGCGGAACGAATTAATTTCGTCTTGCGAGGCACCACTGTATATGGGTTACACAACATCCATTCATGGGAGAATATCATCATGACTTTAACTGGCTCAGTTACATCCTCCCTTCTATTTCTGAGAATTCCTGGGTTGTTAGACCCAAAAGGTCAACTGTTACTTAAGAGTTCCTATTGAATTTTGCCTAGCATGGACGTTTTGAAAACAGTACTCTCCAAGATAGTAAAAGAATTTCAATTAGGCAAGAAGAATTTCCCAGAGGTGTTTGCACATTCCCTATCCTTTCTTCAGTGTGAGCTGGTGACCCAGTTCTGTTTGGAATCATGCATGTACAAAGGGAGGAAATGTTTCTGGGAGTGGCAAGAGATTCAAAGGCTGAACATCAGATGTCGAACACTACTTTTGGGGTGGGCTTGAGCAGCAAAGTTATGCAGGGTGCAGTGCTCAAAGTTGCACATACAGCAAGCTGCATGGGTGATGCTGTTTGACTTCATTCCATAACTAATGAGGAGGTCAGTCATCAGTGATACTAAATCTTGTCCTCTGTCATAGCTTTACACAGACACTACATTTTAACCTGCTATTTCCTTTTTCTTTATCTGAACTGTTCCCTCATAAAACACAGGATTCCCCCGGGAGCTTGAGACATCAATACTTTGACAATTGACCCAAAAATAGCCTACTTGGTCATTATTTGCTAAGTTTAGTTTCTATTGAAATACTGTTAAGATACAATGTACATTTCTTCAACAGCAAAGTAACAATCATTCTGTTTTCTTAAAAATGTCATCATTTGTATCAGCAATTCTATGAAAACTTTGTATCAGCAATTCTACGAACCTGCCCAAACCCTGTGATCAACAACTGAGGCCCTTCTTCATGAGCAGTGCTAGAAATTCGCCAAGCGCCAATTTTGCAGCTCCAATTGTGACCATGTGGAGATCTCTGAATGCCAGGTTGCTGAATGACATCTCCATCTGGCTACCCCCTCCAGCTTTCTTAAGCAGGTAGGCAGAAAAACTTAATTGCATTTATATCCCACCTTTCTCTCTAAGGAGTACATGGTTCACCCCCTCAGTTAATCCCCACAACAATCCTGGGAGGTATGTTAAGAGCCTGTGACCGGCCCAGGGTCACCCAGTGAGCTTCATGACTGAGAGGGGATTTGAACCCTGATCTCCCAGTCTGACTAACCACTACACTACACTGGCTTCCTACAGTACTTCTGCCATGGGGCAGCTATACAAATTAAGTGGGTAAATGAATACAGAAAAAGCAAAATGTCATTTGGAGAAGGATTTGAAATATTTTCCTTGAAGCCTGAATTTGCTTTATTCTGGATTGTTTTATTTGATGTTTTAATGCGTTGTAATGTGCTTTGAGATTTTTTTCTTTAAAATATAAAGTGATATAGAAATAACTAATGCTAATGATGATGATAATAATAATAATAAAAATCATTGTAAACAAAAAAAAAAGACACCTAGGTATTCTGTTTTGGTGGCCATAACTAGGTTTAAGGCGTCATTTAGTGATTAACTTATATATCTGAATTTCTAAGGCAAACAAGGCCAACAGTGATTTAATGCCTAATGAGATATTTGAACCCTCATCTACCAGGTGTAAGAACCACACAAGCTCTGAGGAATACACACACACACACACACACAAAAATACCATATATGTGTAACATATGTGCATTACAGTTCAGGATAACTCAGAGCGTAAAGCCTAAATCCTGTTTAATCACACGAGTTCACCTAAAAGTTTGGGGACATGCAGCAGTTCTTAAGATTCAGTACCTAGCCTTTCCTGTAAAACTCAGCTCAATGAGGACTGAGCATATTCAGTGACCACAGAATGTTGACCAAATGGGGGCAGGGTGTGTGTGTGTGTGTGTGTGTGTGTGTAGGAGCACCCTGGAAAAAGAGTATAGCTGGCTGGTTCCTAGAACACCTTGCTATGAGCACTCAATGTGACAACATTTTGCTGCAGCGCTGTAAAAAACTTAACCCACTAAATTTGATTCTGTGCCAAGAATCCGTTATTTCAGTCTGCATTAGCATTTTGCAGTCACAGAGAACCCTCTCCCCCTCACAGAGCAACAGTTCCCCGAGTTCCCAGGGAAGACATACTGACTGTTAAACCACTCTGAAAACTGCCCATCCCTCAGGGGAAGAGGAGGTATCTGAAAAGCACTCAGCACTCTTAGCCCACGACACTTCCCAGTCCCAGGATTCTTTGGGGGAAACCATGATAGTTTAAGGGACGTGGGTGGTGCTGTGGGTAAAACCTCAGTGCCTAGGACTTGCTGATTGCAGGGTCGGCGGTTCAAATCCCCGCGGCGGGGTGCGCTCCCGTTGCTCGGTCCCAGCGCCTGCCAACCTAGCAGTTTGAAAGCACCCCTGGGTGCAAGTAGATAAATAGGGACCGCTTACCAGCGGGAAGGTAAACGGCGTTCCGTGAGCCGCGCTGGCTCGCCAGATGCAGCTTGTCACGCTGGCCACGTGACCCGGAAGTGTCTGCGGACAGCGCTGGCTCCCGGCCTCTAGAGTGAGTTGAGTGCACAACCCTAGAGTCTGGCAAGACTGGCCCGAACGGGCAGGGGTACCTTTACCTTTATGATAGTTTAAAGCAGTATGATGCTCTTTAAATGTACAGTGCAGATGGGGGGCCTAGATGCTTCTAGGCTCATAAATTAGACCCTCCCACCTAACTATACCTAGTAGCAGCTCACAGTGCATTTTCCACCGAGGCCTAAGAACTCCGATTTAAAACTTCCATAACTTTACACCCAATATTGGCAGCCAGAGAACCGGCTGGCTCCACAGGGGCCTTGTGTTGTCCATTAACCTCCTCGCGCACCCCGACCCACAGGGGAGCGCGCAGGCCACGGTCCTGGCTCAGCACCAGCTGACCCGGACCAGGCAGAGAAAGAAGCAGCCGAGGCTGTTCTGACAGACGGGCGGAGGGAGGGAGCCAAGAGCAGAAGAAGATCCCCGCCGGGCCGGACGCCACGCCCCCATCTGGTTCTCTCTCGGCAGCCGCGCGCTCCCCACTTGCGACGGCCATCCCAGCTAGTAAGCCTGGCACTTCTCTAATCCTCTTCTTAAACCACCTAAGCTGGAGCACTGCTGCGGAGGATCTCTGGGTGTGGGAGCGGGGGCGGGGGCGGGAGAGGCAAGGGCACCCCCTCTCCCCACTCTTGGCGGAGGCTTGCGGGGCTGCTGTTGCTGCGGGCAAGTAGTTGCGCCTGCCCTGACCAGCCTCAGGACCTAAGAATGCTTTGGGGCTTAGCCTGCCTGCTCCCCAAGGCGAAGACACACGTCGCCCCTGCAGGGCATCGCTCAGTAGATCCGGCTCTCCAGTGGCTGCAGCCGAGGCCAGCCGTTCCCCGCCCGCCTGCCTTTGCTCTCACCTCTCTCCAGCCGCACCGGCTCCCCCAGCGCCGCCATCTTCTCCTTCTCCAGCTGCTCTCGGGGAAGTGACGCCGGGCAAGAGGCGGCGCTGCTTCCAGGACGCGCCGAGGCGAAGGAGGGGCGAAGGCCGCGGCTTTTCCCGGCTCTCGCCGGAACTAGCGAGGCGCGCGAGGGGATGGCGCGTCGGGTGCTCTCGTTCTGCCTCTTAGGTAGGCGGGCGGGATTCCGGAGCCCGTTCGCCCAGGTGGGCGGAATGTAGCTGCGAGAGAGAGAGAAGAGAGAGAGAGAGAGAGAGAGAGAGAGAGAGAGAGAGAGAGAAGTAAATGGGGCGCGTGTGTTAATGGTTACCAAGTGGGGTCCAAAGGCCGAGAAAGTGCGAGCAAGATGTTTGCCCAGCACGGATGGAAACGGAGGTGCCCTCCGAAGAGCAGAGAGGTCCTCCCAGGGCGGGTGCGACGCGCTTGCCGGGTGAGATAGGCAGGCAACGCAAAGAGAATTCGGCTCCCGCAGTTTCGAGCCCTTTAGGGCATGAGTGCAAGACTGGTATGCTGAGGGCGACGCTTTGCATGGCGAGTCCCAAGACCAGAGGAGCCAACTCCTAGGGGTTTAGGTCCCTTTGGCCCCCCGGTAAAATATTTGAGGGCCCCCAAAGTTGATGGACATTGCCATTCAAAAAGTGTGATCGATGATGCAGGGCGGACCTTACCAGGGCCCATGGGCATAGCCAGTATTTATGTTAGGGGGGAGCAGAACAGAACTATCAGCAATGCAGTTGGTCAGTTGGTTAAGTATTTTTATTTATTTACTTGATTTAGGGGGGCAGTTGCCCCCCTGCCCCCCTGGCTGCCCCCCATATTTTATTCCAGTTGGTACCCCTGCCCAAAATGGTGGTGTGGAACTTGACCGTGAAGTCCAACCCAGCAACTATATTCCACAGCCTCGCTTTGAAATCTTTGGTAACTTTGAACTCTTTGTTTCCTGGGAGACTGAAATACTGGTTTCAAAAGGACTTTGGACTGACTAGGTGTGTGCTCCTTCAGCATTTCTGGCTCAGTGTGGAGGTAAATTCAAAGGTAAAGGACCCTTGGACAGTTAAGTCCAGTCAAAGGCGACTATGGGGTGTGGCACTCATCTTGCTTCAGGCCGAGGAAGCTGGTTTTTGTCCACAGACAGCTTTCTGGGTCATGTGGCCAGCATGACTAAACTGCTTCTGGTGCAACTGAACACCATGGCAGAAGCCAGAGCACACAGAAACGCCATTTACCTTCCCACCACAGCAGTTCTGATTTGTCTACTCGTGCTTTTAAACTGCTAGGTTGGAAGAAGCTGGAACAGAGCAACGGGAGATCACCTTGTCGCATGGATTCAAACCGCTCACCTTCCGATCAGCAAGCCCAAGAGGCTCAGTGGTTTAGACTACAGTGCCATCCTCTCCCTGTGAAACAAAGTAGTGGAATCATCATCCTAGAGATAATAGTCCTGTTCTGAGGGTCACATCCATGTGTACAGTAAATTTGTGGAATGGAGAGGGGAACCTCATTTGCTGGCCCCACCCTTAAGTGGCCATGTGTTCCACTTGCCCCCAACATCTGTGTGATGTGTGAAAAGGGAGCCTTATTTCTTATCCAAAAAACCTACATAAAATCAACATAAATGGCGTCTATAAAACTACAGATGCACTGGCTTTTGGAACATGTGAATGTCACACCCCTAATATAATGGTGGCACAGGTAAACTTCAATACGGATTATGGTGCCAAGCCCTAACACACAACACAAGGATGTTGTGAGGGCAGCCCAGATAACATTTGCAAAGTGCAGCCTATTCTAAAAATGCCATCAGTGTGGTCTTGTGGGTGGAGAATTAGTTAAACTTTGAGTAATCTGAGTTCATATTCCACAATGCACCCCGTGCTTTTCAACTATTTTTCTGTAGGAGTAAAATCACCATACTATTGAAAAATATACTGAATGTTTAAAGTGGCAATCCTATGTATACTTCCTGAAGCTGGGTAGCCAATGTGGTGCCTGGCTCCACTGCCCGATGTTGTTGGGCTCAAGCTCACATCAGCCTCCGCCAGCCTGGCCAATGGTTGGGCATGATGGGAAGTAGAGTGCAACAACATCTGGAGGTCACCATATCAGCCTTCCAAGTCCTTGGAAATGAGTTCTATTGGACTAAGTTCTGAGTAAATGTGCATAAGATTGGCTACACATCTGCTGCCTGTACAAGGGATGCTTTTTGCTAATACTGAATCAATCCCTTCTTGATGCACATGGCTATGTCCTCAGCACTATGCCTGCTGGCTGTATGTGTGATGCACTTTTTCCTGAGTGCTTCATCTGTCGTCAATTTAATCTTAGTGTGTGGGGCGAGTTTCTTCTGTGTTGTTAAAGTGATCAAAGCATCGGGTGCAAGAAGGACAAACCCATTGCATGCCAAAGCTTTTTTTTTTACAGAAATGGGTGTGGACTAGGGTCTGCCTGAAGGGCATGTGCTTATGTGTTGTTAATTTCATCCCAAAGTGTTTGAACTCTTGTTTGAAAGCACATGCTTTGGCTTAATAAATGACACGACCAAGATGCCCACTACTAGCCCTTATACACCCAGAGGGACTCCCAGCTTCTGGGATTCATTTTAAGGTTGTCACTCCTTCAGTTGTGTGATGGAGCATTCTGCTATGTGCCTTTCAATGAGACATTCAAATGTGAAGGAATTTATGTCAATGAACAAAGTCAAATCACAAACACGTTTTCGGCCAGGGACATGCTGGGGCTGAAAACACTATAAAATGTTTCTGTAATATAATCCAGATGTTTGCACTTTATGGTGTTCCATGAGCTAACTGCCAGTTTGCTTTGGCAATGGTGTCCTTTTTAGGAACCTGCAGCCGATGTGTGGACATACAAAATTAGCTGGTAGAATAAAATCCAGATATGTACATCCTCTACACCATACATTTCATAAAGTCATAGAATTGTAGAGTTGGAAGGGACCAGGAGGGTCATTTAGTCTATCCACCTGCAATGCAGGAATCTTTTCCCAGTCTGGGGCTCGAACCCACGCCCCTGAGATTAAGAGACTCATGCTCTACCAACTGAGCCATCTCATTTAAAGCACTTCCAATGTATATTTAAAGCACATGCCACCCCCATCCTAGGAACTGTAGTTTGGCACTAAGAATTGTAGCTCTGTGGGGGGCAAACTACAGTCCCCAGGATGCTGTGCAGGAATCACGTGATTTTAATGTCCATTTGATGTGCTTTAAATGTATGGTGTGGATTGTGATCCACAAACCACCAAAGCCAGAGTAGCTTCCCACAGATCACAGTACAAGCTACAACAGGACCAAGGAATTTATTCTCATGAACGCTTTAGTATTGTCCCTACCTCTGCATCACATAGTAGCAAGGCAGGTGTGCTCCTCTGCCATCCTGGGCTGAATTCAGCACAGGTTATCTCTTAACAGGCTACTGCAAGCGCTTCAGCAGCTATATTTGTGTTGTCATGTCAAAAGGTGGGGAAGGGCTTGGTAGAGTTTGCATACAAAAGGCCCCAGGTTCAATCTTGACATCTTCAGGTAGGACTGAGGACTTCTGCATGAAAATCTGGAAAGCTGCTATGAGTTAGTGTTAACAACACCCAGCTAGATGGACCAATGGTCTGACTCAGTAGAAGGCAGCTTCCTGTGTTCTAAGGTGATCTACATCAGGCATAGGCAAACTCGGCCCTCCAGATGTTTTGGGACTACAACTCCCATCATTCCTGACCACCGGTCCTGTTAGCTAGGGATGATGGGAGTTGTAGTCCCAAAACATCTGGAGGGCCGAGTTTGCCTGTGCCTGATCTACATGATCTCTCTGTGCTGACATGGCTGAGATTAATCAGGTGCTTGATTCTCTACCTCTTTCCTGTGGCCCCCATGACCTATACTGGTACTGTATGATAAAAATATATGTTGAGTTGACTCATGTAGAACTAACTGTATAATACAGCCATGGGAGTGGCACTGTGGTCTAAACCGATCAGAAGGTCAGCGGTTTGAATCCCCACGACGGGGTGAGCTACCGTCGCTCGGTCTCAGCTTCTGCCAACCTAGCAGTTTGAAAGCACGTCAAAGTGCAAGTAGATAAATAGGTACCACTCCAGCGGGAAGGTAAATGGTGTTTCCGTGCACTGCTCTAGTTTTGCCAGAAGTGGCTTAGTCATGCTGGCCACTTGACCCAGAATAACTGTCGGGACAAACGTCGACTCCCTCAGCCAGTAAAGTGAGATGAGCGCCGCAACCCCAGAGTCGTTCGTGACTGGACTCAACTGTCAAGGGTCCTTTACCTTTACCTTACTGTTATTGTGTCTTCATTCAGTCATCTTGCAACAGAACCCATACTTAACATTGCAATAAATATTGAATGTTTATTCAGTATGTTTACTCAAAAGTAAATCCCACTGAGTTCAAAGGGACTCCTTAGTAAGTGTGTTTAGGATTGTAGCCTTAATGTGCTGCCTCTTGAGCAACTTGGGGCAGCTCTGAGACAACAGAAGCAATGCAGGTTTGAGCTGAAAACAAAACATATTGTTCGTTAAGAGGCACATGGGCACATGCTTGGCTGCAGCTAAATCTGTTAAGAACTCTTCCGAAGTTACAACTTGCTTGCGTCATGCCAAGAATAATTTTTGAGCCTCTTCTCACTAGATTGAAACACATTTAATTGATCTTGAAAGGTCATCCTGTGCCTCCAGAAATGTTAATCAAGAGTTTTGTGGGATTGCCCCCAGTTACAGAGGGAGTCTTCCATATGCCTCAGCAGAATACACTGATCTGAGTAAAAGAATGTAGAAGAAATGTTGGCATTGTACTCAAGTTTGGCAGAATGCTCATTCAGGCAGGTGAAAATGGTTGGGAACTGGATGGGATATCTCGGGGTAGGGTTTTTTGTTTTTTTATAACCGTCTTGGGTATGCGGATATGAATGCTATTTTTTAAAAATAAAAAACCTGCCTACATTGCAAGTCACTTTTGTCCTGGCTTAGCCCACTTTTTGATTATTTTTAGCTATTTTACAATTACTACAGCATAATCAAACTCCTGCTTCTGAGAATTTGGCCTCGGTTTTTGTTTACAACCTTACTTATTGGCAGAACCCAGAATAAGTTTCAGCACTCGCTTTGCTTGCACAGTCTCATAGATGAATTGATGACACCCCATAGTAGAGGCCACCGTTTTGTGCATGCTTTGGGAAGTGTTTAAGGATTCGTCATGCATATGTTCATGTGGACACCTGGCCTCACGTCACATAGCAGATTTCTGTACTGGTACACATCAGAGAAAATGCCTTATGATTAATCTGAAGTGCCGACTGATTTGCATGTAAGAAGAACCCAGCATTTTGTTATATGCCACAGAATGCTTCTCTTGATTAATTTTGCACAGAGATTGACTGGCACAAGCTCATTTAGAGAGTTTTCACATTCACTTCTGGCAAGTGTGGGAGTGCACAGCGGACATATGGAAGGACCTTTTTGTGCATCAGCTGTTGGAATTTATGTCATTATGATGCTTTTCTCCCTTCTGTGCACATGAAAACTCTGATTGATATGATAAATGTGACTGGTATGATAATACTGACACAGAAGAACTTGCTGATTCCTTGGAGAAGGTTCTAAAAGACTTTGGATGGGAATGTTAATTAACTTTCACTTTCAACCATGTAGTTTGTTAACTCTTTATTTATAGGATCATAGAGTTGTGAGGCTGCCAGTGGATAATCAAAGCCAATGTCCCTCCAGATTCACTCTGAAGCAGGGCATCTTAAACCTGAATCGTCACACAGGCCCTACCTTTCCTTGAAATGTCCCTGGAAGGAAAAATCTGGTATCAGAATTTCACCATAAACCAGGAGCTTCAATAAAAGATAAACATGAACATAGCAACAGCATAAAACTAAGCATTTCTGAATGCCTGTGCAAAGAAAGACCTCCCCCCCCCCCAGCTGCCACCAGGAAGTGCAAGAAGTGCCTCTAGGGCTAGATTATTCCAGAGATGGGTTACCACCATGGATAATTTTCTCTCCCTTGTACCTCAACTGGGACCGTGACCAGTAAGAGAACCGCTCCTGAGCAGCATGATATGGGGTGAGGCATTCCTTCAGCCCCAAGTCATTTAGGGCTTTGCAAGTCAAATTAACACTGTGACTTGGCCTCCAAAGCATATAGTCTGCCAACGCAGTTCCCTCAATACCTGTATTATGTAGGCTCATCTAGAAGTACCAGTTAATATCCAAGCAGCTGCATTGAGCACTAGTTGCAGCTTCTGAACTGTCTTCAAGGGTAGCCCTACAGGAAGCATATTACAATAATCTAATCCGAAGGATAGGTAACTGTGGCCAGACTATGACCAGCCAAGGCCCTTGTTGATGTTCACCTTGATTGGCCTTTCCCCCTCCCCTACCTTTCCTGATTTCATGCAAGTAGCTTACCCTGCACATCAGGACTTAATTGGGATGGGCACAGGATATCGGGCATAAAATTCAACTTGAACCATGGGAAAGATGATTAAAGATTGATATCAGATTTACAGCATCCAATGCAATTAAAGAGAATATTATGAAAATGTTTCATAGATGGCATATAATGCCAGTAAAACTTGCCAAGGTATATAAGTCAAACTCCAGTTGCTGTTGGACATGTAAAGATCCTGAGGGCAGACTAATTCATATGTGGTGGGGTTGTGGGAGAGTGAAAGTGTTTTGGAATAGTGTGCATGAGGAGTTGAAAAAAATGTTTAAAATTCCTTTGGAGAAAAAAACCAGAAATATATTTACTAAACTTTCTGGGCAAAGAGATCCCGCAAGACAGAAGAAATTTATTGCTTTACGCGACAGCAGCAGCAAGGTTACTGTTAGTGAAAAATTGGATAAGTGCTCACATACCCTCAAAAGGGGACTGGTTAAATAAGTTATCAGATTTTAAAGAACTGGCAAGACTAACTGCGATAATAAGATATCAATCAAATCAAAAACTAAGATCTCAATGGAAATACTATGAGGAGTATATTGATAAACATTGTTCGAACAATAACATGCTGATATGCTTGGAATAAGTTTGCACAGTATAATCAAACCCAAATGAGAAGAGGAGTAAAGATCGGATAATTACCGTAAGTTCATAGATTCGAATTGGAATATATGCAATGTAGAACGTAGTTTATGGGATAAGGTACAGATGAGAACTGGTGGAGGGAAGACACATGGGGTGGGAGAGCTGGGTATAACTTTATTATAACTTTTGATTGTTGGTAGTGGCATTTGTAGTGTCATCTCGTTTTTTTCTTTTTCTTTTTGTATATGTATGTTGACTTTTTTTAAAAAAATGCAGAAAAAAAGGACTTAATTGGGTTAGTGATGCGTCAGCTGATATTGGGAGTCAAGACAGGCTCCTGCCATTAATTACTACAACACTATCTACTTTGATATTGTTGTGCACTTCCTTGATTGGTGAGATCAGGCTTCCTCAACCTCAGCCCTCCACATGTTTTTGGCCTCCCACTCCCATGATCCCTAGCTAGCAGGACCAGTGGTCAAGGATGATGGGAATTGTAGTCTCAAAACCTCTGGAGGGCCGAGGTTGAGGAAGCCTGGGTAAGATGCTCTAGGGACCACACTTCTGAGTTTAGTTTCCTTTGAATGAAAACTTATTGAAGACATGGCTGCTTTGTCATATTTTACTGATTGACAATTATTAAAGCAGAGTGGAAGTAGAAGTAAATAGACAATCCTATAATGCAGCTCCCCAGATACTGTATCTACTTTGGCAGCCCCTAGGCTTCAACCCAAATTTCAGTGTGTCCATGTGCTCATTCTCTCTCTCTCTCTCTCTCTCTCTCTCTCTCTCTCTCTAACACATACCTGTTACTGTAATCAGCTGGAGGGTGTCAAATTGTGTAAATACTTTATATACATTTATGACATTTGTAATCTAATATTAAATTTGTACTCCATTTTAAATTGCCTATTCTTACTGGCGGGTCTGTTAGTGCAAGAAAGCCTGTTGAGCAGACACACGCTCACTGACAGTCACTTTTGCAGCAATCAGTATTGAAATAGTAGCTCC